AACGTCTTTATTTACTGCTGGTATTCTAAACTAACACCACAAAATTTCAAACTAACAATAGTCCATCTGGATTGGGCGACTCTTGTCCGACAGCGACTCCTGTCCGACTCCAAAGTTAGGTTTTTCAGACAATAGTTTAAGTCGGATCCTACCTTACGATTTTCTTCAAACTTTCCATAAAGTATGATGGTTATAGGACAAATAATTTGTGTAAGTTTGTGTCGGTAACAAGACATTTGTCCGACAGCGACATCTGTCCGACTCAGGGTACCAGGAAAAGACGACATCTGTCCGAAATTGTGATCTGATTTCAAAACGACACATTTCCAATTAGAGACATGATCTGAACTGTTACTTGCTAATTTGTATACGTAACATTTCCAATTTGAGATATGATCTGAGCTGAACTCTACCAATTGGACAATTGTTTTAATGTTATATAAATTTTATATAAATTAATTCAATAAAATACAATATCAAAGAAACAAATCTAAAGCAGAGTCAACTTTCCGATAGCTTTTAGGAAATCCATAGAGTTGCTGTAGTTGTGTAATCATCTACAATTCTCTGAAGAGTCCATGAGGATGGATTGTGGTTGGTAGCCCCCAGAAGCCCAGGTGTCTATCTCCTCGAACATGTTGCGGTAGAGGGTCGTCGTTTTTCCAGGAAGGAGTCCATATAGAAGAGGGGGAGGTGCCCCTGTAGGCTGTGTCCGGTGATGTGTACGGCTAGCACGATTCTATCCTCAAATAGTCAATCACGTATCGATGGATCAGATCTCAATGGATTACATCAGCATTAGAACAGTGGGAGCAACGTCACAAGATTACCCGTGAGCTTGTGATACACGAATGTGATCCGAAATTTCAAATTACAAATACGATCCGAAATTCGGACAGATGTCGCCAAAAACGACTGCTGTCCGACAGCGACATCCGTCCGAAATCCCAAATTCGGCTGTCGAACAGTTGTCGCCCAATCGTGTAAGTCAGGTGAGCGATCAAGCTGATGGGAGATCACTGAACCTGGATCACGTACCTGGAATACAATGACTACACTGGTATCTCAGGAAATTGGGAGTTCTTACAACTAGTTCATCTGCTACACCTATTCATCAGTCTTAGTATCATTCTATGATGTTTTAAGTTTCACTCTCATCTTCTTTCTGTAACTCTGTAATAGTTCATCTGCTACAACGTCGACTCCATTGACAACCTATTTCAACTCCATTACACCCTATATTCCCATCCTATGCTCATTTTCTTTTGTACTGCAGTGCTTCTGTAATAGTTCATCTGCTACAACATAGTCATCAGTCGTCTTAGTATCATTCTATTTTGTTTTAAGTTTCACTCTCATATTCTTTTCTAACTCTGCAATAGTTCATCTGCTACAACCTCTACTTCATTGCCAACCTATTTCAACTCCATTACACTGTATTTCCATACCCTTCATTTTACTTCTCACTTTCATCTTCTTTAAATTGTGCGTCATGTTCCCCATCGTAATAGTTCATTTGCTGCAACCTAGTCATCAGTCTTAGTCTCCTTCTCTATTTACTCCTCTTTCTGTTCGTCTTCTTTCAATTATATCATGTCCCCCATTGTAAACTAGTTCATCTGCTACAACGTCGACTCCATTGACAACCTATTTCAACTCCATTACACTGTATTCCCATCCTATGCTCATTTTCTTTTGTACTGCAGTGCTTCTGTAATAGTTCATCTGCTACAACATAGTCATCAGTCGTCTTAGTATCATTCTATTTTGTTTTAAGTTTCACTCTCATCTTCTTTTCTAACTCTGCAATAGTTCATCTGCTGCAACCTCTACTTCATTGCCAACCTATTTCAACTCCATTACACTGTATTTCCATCCTATCTTCAAGTTCATGTTCTTTTGTACTGTAGTGCATCTGTAATAGTTCATCTGCTACAACATAGTCATCAGTCGTCTTAATATCATTCTATTTTGTTTTAAGTTTCAGTCTCGTCTTCTTTCTGTAACCTGTAATAGTTCATCTGCTACAACCTCTACTCCATTGCCAACCCGTTTCAATTCCATTACACTGTGTTTCCATACCCTTCATTTTACTTCTCATTCTCATCTTCTTTAAATTGTACGTCATTTCCCCCATCGTAATAGTTCATTTGTTGCAACCTAGTCATCAGTATTAGTATCATTATCTTTCGTTGTAAGTTTCATGGTTGTCTTTTGATTGTACATCAGTGCATTTGTAAAAGTTCATAAGCAACAGACTGCACATCACCTGGATCCATCAAAGACAGTGCACAGTTTGTCTGATGGTCGAAAGATACTACGAAGCATATTGATTAACGAGCGAAGTGAACCGGAATGATCCTCTGGCTTTTTTGGGTGACCTCTTCAGTTTCCATCATATTGCTATAAAATGGTGAGGTTCTAAATGTGTCAGTATGAAATTTAATATATAGACATTTTAATTGTTCTCATCTCAGTATGGTTAAACCTCTGATCAGAAAAAAGCATGGTCATAATATTGAATACTCAGCTATCCGGCCACCCAGCACTCAGCAGCGAAACGTTACGCCACTGTCAGCACGCAGTAGCGTAACGTTACGCCACTGCCAGACTCAGTAGCGTAACGTTACGCCACTGCCAGCACTCAGTAGCATAACGTTACGCCACTGCCAGCACGCAGTAGCATAACGTTACGCCACTGCCAGCACTCAGTAGCGAAACGTTACGCCACTGCCAGCACGCAGTAGCATAACGTTACGCCACTGTCAGCACGCAGTAGCATAACGTTACGCCACTGCCAGCACTCAGTAGCGTAACGTTACGCCACTGCCAGCACTCAGTAGCGTAACGTTACGCCACTGCCAGCACTCAGAAGCGTAACGTTACGCCACTGCCAGCACTCAGTAGCGTAACGTTACGCCACTGCCAGCACGCAGTAGCATAACGTTACGTCATTGCCAGCGCCCATGAGTAGCGTAACATTACGTCACTGCCAGACTCAGTAGCATAACGTTACGCCACTGTCAGCACTCAGTAGCGTAACGTTACGCCACTGTCACCACGCAGTAGCATAACGTTACGTCATTGCCAGCACCCATGAGTAGCGTAACATTACGTCACTGCCAGCACTCAGTAGCGTAACGTTACGCCACTGCCAGCACTCAGTAGCGTAACGTTACGCCACTGTCAGCACTCAGTAGCGTAACGTTACGCCACTGTCAGCACGCAGTAGCATAACGTTACGTCATTGCCAGCACCCATGAGTAGCGTAACATTACGTCACTGCCAGACTCAGTAGCATAACGTTACGCCACTGTCAGCACTCAGTAGCGTAACGTTACGCCACTGTCACCACGCAGTAGCATAACGTTACGTCATTGCCAGCACCCATGAGTAGCGTAACATTACGTCACTGCCAGACTCAGTAGCATAACGTTACGCCACTGTCAGCACTCAGAAGCATAACGTTACGCCACTGTCAGCACTCAGTAGCGTAACGTTACGTCATTGCCAGCACCCATGAGTAGCGTAACATTACGCCACTGCCAGACTCAGTAGCATAACGTTACGCCACTGCCAGCACCCGTTGTAGCATTCTCTAGCTTTATAGTTATACAAACAGAAAATGGTTCGATCCTAAATATGTAGGTCCACCGTGGATATGTAATTTAAACTAAATGATGAAACATAAATTAATAAAAAGTATCCACTAAATAAGCATGTATTTGTGATCTGCTCGCAGGATCAACTACTAAAACTGAACAACCGAAAACGCTACGTGGCTTGGGTAGACTAAGTGAGTAAGCCCAACCTGCAAAGAAAACTTGACCGTCACCGAGACCGAGGTATAATCTAGTTATATCTTTATATCAAGAAAAGGGGACCTATGGCCTATGCTATTGCTAAATATTTGCGACCGGCGACCGTTTAAATAATGAATGCTCAATGAAATCTATCATTTACATAGATTTTCAGAATATTTACTATCAATAAAATCGGGTTTCAGTCGTATCAGAGCTCTACAGTTCGTGACTCGTGTAGTTTGTAATGAATTTATATCATAGATCATGTCACGTATTATTAATAATACCACGTTTGATAATCATGATCATATTTTTGCACAACATTCCTTACACAGTTTATTCGATTACAAAAATAGTCAGTAATTTATTCGTAACCGTTAACGCAGGTCTTAATTTCCCATTTTAACTTTTACGAAACGGAGTTGAAAAGATCTATTAAATTACAAATATTAAGTTCTATCCTGGAAAATGTAGAGGTCACGCTCTTTTATAGCCCGTGTAATAAGCGCCATGAGTTGGCAGTAGTACCTAGTACGTACCTCAGAAGGCAGAGCTCCCGCTTCCGAAAGCCGAGCCGACATTATTATGTAAATGCAGCAGTTGCGACACTTATCATTCCAATACCAAGTAAATAATTGGCTGGATCATAGAAACAAATAGAAACGAATATATTAAAATTTCTTGCCATTTTTGTACGGCTTTTCGATCTTAACTTTCTATATTATCGAATGTAATATTATGATAATTGATATTTGATCGTATTAAACTTAAATTGGATTTTATTGACTTTTTACTTTAATTCCTCAAAGAAGTGTAGACTTCTGCTAGAATTATGCATACAGCTGGAACGTCCTGAGATTTACAGTGACAAACAGGGTCTCTAAAATCTTCAGTCCCTGTCAAAGGACAGCGTTTTCTCTGTAAGTCCTCTTCACACATGGCTGCTAACAATACAGACCCCCGACCCACCGCCCAATTGGGTTAGCGTTCCACCTTGACAGAAAAGATGCAGGATGACACTTGCCACCATCTGACACCCTAACAGTAACTCCACTGACACAACAGCCTCAAAGAGAGGAGGTGGCCTGAATAACAATAGAGTTACAAGAGTTGATTAGACATCTGGTCTGGTATCTCTAACCTACCTGTCAGACCTGGTTGTTAAAGGAGGGATGTTCTGTAAATCAAAGTAGGATTTCTATTCACAAAGTTTCGTCGTATTTTTATAAGTGCTGAGTTTAACTTGGTTGGAGAATTATATTATATTGACAATGTCTCCGACTATATTGGTAAGATTTTAAGACTTACTTCTGTTCAATGATGTGTGCACGATACATTTTCAAAGTTATTTTCGGAATGTTTGTCGTCTTTAAACAAATTTTTAAATCTCAGGCCAAATTAGCAGTTTTGCTATCCCTCAACCTTCTCCTGGTTCAAGGTTAGTCCGGAGATTTGAAATAATAACTGCCTCGTCAACTTTGATAGCATGAACAATTATTTGCATTACCACAATTACAGTGTTCAAGCCCCAAGGAAGCTTTAAGTTTAATGATTCAACTTATTTCTAGTAAAAGTAATACGTGGTGTTACTTCTCATATTTCCCATATAAATATCACATGACTTACAAGTGATCTCACTTATAGTAAAGACTAAAAGCCCCCCCCCCCCCCCCCAGGTTTTATCCCCCCTCCCCGGGTTTCACCCCCATGGTGTCGTACTCGTAACACCTAATAACCCCTAACAGGGTGTCCGTCGTGTGATAACTGGAGGGGAACAGCTGAAGTGATCTGCGCTATCGATGGGGTCACGTACGACTCCCACTGTGAACTCTTCGTGGCTCTGTGCAATCAGGATATGATAACCATAGGAGATGATGTCGATATCAAGTAAGTTATATGTCTTAAATAATAAAGCTTATCTACAGTTTAACTAAAGTTCATTTAATGAGCTTTTTGTGCGTTCGTTTACAGGTCATGTTTAAATGAATTAGCAGCGAGGTCACTGGATGGCGATTTAGATAAGGTTCTTGAACTTGTTATTTCTAGGCACAATCCGAATATTTTCTAAAGTGTCTAGGTTTCTCGCAATTTCCTGGCGACCTAGCTGACCCTGCTCCCATTACAGTGACCTATCAGTGCAAGGTATAGTAGGAGGGTACATATCCCAGAAAGGTAAATGTCCCACAGACGGTGGTGGAGGGAACTGTCCTGACTGCACCGGAGTAGCACCCTCCCCCGTGTGCGACACCAGTCTGGTGGAGTTCACTAGCAGTTGTGAGCTGGTTAAGGAACTGTGCAGTCTCTCTATTGTTGCTTTTGATGACGGCATGGTATTCACTGGGTTCTCGGATGCTGATTACTTTGGGTATTGTCAAAGTTATGTCGGGTGGAAAGGACCTTGCGCTGGTTTGTAATTAATAACAGATAATTATGTCGACTTTTATAACAAAAAACAGTGAGCTAGATTATGACGGGAATTGCAGAAATGTGATGGAATATTAATTAAATTACATTTTTCAAAGTCTATAAATCAGTTACGAGAACCTACAAACTTTAGATAAACCCTCCTTGCAGGACCATGTAACGAGGGGATGAGCTCCGCGAACGGTAACTTCCCCTGCAGAGACTGTGGTCCAGGTTCCTTTCAGGATCAGAAGGGGCAGACACAGTGTAACCCTTGTGCTAGAGGTTAGTAAGAGTACTGAAGTAGTAACTAGAGGTTAGTACCGTCGCTTATACCGGCTGAAACTTGCAGGGGAAGTGAATAGTGATGTGGTTCGTGTTCATGATTTAATTAAGAATCAAAAATACGATCGAATCTTTTAGTTTAAATACTTTCAGCACTAACGTATAACATTTGAGGTTCACTCATGACGCTTTAGGGAGGATATCGATCGCTATTCTATTTATTTCAAGTTTTAAAAATTAACGTTTCCAGGTTTCTACCAGGATCAGCCTGGATCAACCTCGTGTCAAGCATGCCCAGATGGTCTCACAACCGTGGACACGGGAGCAAGATCTATATCAGACTGTAAAGACGGCTGTACCCCTGGTACTATCTCCGCTAGTGGTCTGGAACCGTGCCAAGCTTGCCCAGCTGGAGAATACCAGGCAGACACAGGTACTGCTAGCATGATAACTTCGCATACGAGGCTTGGTTTACTTTTTTCCCGATTTCTGTCATTATTTGTACTACTTAGAATTTGTACTTCTGTTAGAACGAAACGTCGTGAAACTGTAACGAGATTCACACCAGGAGGAGTGTCGTGTGTGAAGTGCATGTCAGGAAGCTACAGCGCCTCAGCAGGATCTGCAGGCTGTCAGCAGTGCCCTGCTGGGGAGTACTCCGGGGCTCCTGGCAGTGCGGCTTGTCTCAAGTGCACTGCTGGTACCGCTTCTCTTGTTGACGGCAGCGACAGCTGTGATAAATGTGGACCAGGTAAACTTTCTAGCAATCGAATTGAAAAGTGAGATTCTTAAAGGATCACAGGTGTGATGTGTTGTTTGAATTAGTACACATCGTGCGTGATAACTACGAACAAACTAAGGTATCCTGTATTTTCTTCAAACATTGGATGATTTCAATTTTAAGATTCTCCACGTGATATTTCCATTAATCACATCGTCCTTACAGGTACATTCTCCCAGAAAGACTCTGCAAAGGAGTGTGAACTGTGTAAGAAAGGATATTTTAATGATGGAGCTGAGAACACAGACTGCAAGGTACGTCCAGTTTATTAATTTTAATGTAGTATAAGATATCTTCGCATTATAAGCTTGTCATGTAAAATCCACAATAGCCTCACTATTTGTGTGACTTATTCAAACAATAAACCCCTAAACCCCTAACAACCCACTCAGTAATCAGTATTACTTTATAGAAGTAATTTATCACGCACCCTCTCTCCCCCAGACCTGTACAGCTGGCAACTACGCTGACGAGGAGGGAAGTGCGAAGTGCAAACAGTGCCCGGTTGGTACCTACTCCAGTGCTGACGGTGCTGAAACCTGCACTCCTTGTGCCAAGGGAACTTACTCTGACACTGTCGGGGCTCTGTCTTGTAATGCTTGCCCGGCAGGTAAATCATATCTGCCGTAATTAGTTCAAAACCCCTTTTCTCGGCTATACATTGATTGCTTAACTTCTCTGATTCCACCGAAAAATTCGAAACTTTTCCCCTACAGATGTAAGTTACTGAGTACAGTCACTGTTCATAAATATTCATGAAAGTGCATTTTTGGGTTTTTAAAACTCTTGGTTTAATGAGCAATTACATGAAATCCATATCTGATCCATTTACTTTGCTTCAACTTATTATTATTATTATTATTATCAACTTGGTAACTAAAAACAAAAGTAACCATACTGTTATGTCCAGGTCACATGTCAGACGATGGAGCCAGCAGCTGTACAGCTTGCCCAGCCGGACAACACCAGGACAGCAACAAGTGTGTGTCGTGTCCGGAGAACACCTTCAGTGCTGGTGGTGTGGATACTTGTACTCCCTGCCCTTCAGATCAGGTCAGAGAGCAACGGGTATCCTATAACTCTATAAATGTAATAAGTTTAACCGATGTAGCGTCGGGTGTATGGTAGAGTGGGTTGCTTCCTATGAATAATCATATCGACCTATTTATATACTTTATACAAAATTACAAATTATCTAAAGCTAACATTTTAATTTCTGTATAAATTTGTCGGCCTCCAGATCTCTGCGCCAGGAAGTGATAAGTGTATCGCCTGTGGAAAGGGAAGTTACATAAACCCTGCCGGTAACTGTGAACAGTGTCCTCCTGGACTCTACTCTGACGTCATTGGTTAGTTACAAAACAAACTTAGCTTAATCATTATTATTATCTAGATTTAATTCTGAATTTATTATTTTATGAGATTGATTATATTATTGTCATATATATTTTGAGTAAACATTAGTGGGCACTTAGGGCCAGTCCCCAACCAGCCATATACAGTAACTGCTATTGTTTTCAACCACTCTGGAATTGTAAACTATACTTAACACAGGGCTTCTGCTTGACAGAGTTATATCAATACTCAAATTAACTAATTTACTAATTAGTAATTAACTATGCCGATGTGCCCAGGTGCCAGTTCCTGCACCCCCTGCCCGGAGGGTTACTACAGTGACCTGATGGGGTCTACCTCTTGTAAGATGTGTGGAGCTGGACACTTCAGTAACTCTTCTGATGCCACTGCCTGTACTATGTGTCACCCTGGTTAGTTATTCATGGTTATGGGTTGAATCTGTCGAAGGGGGGATCAATGGGGATGCGCCTCAAAGTATTACCTTACGAGACATATTTAAATGGTACGAAACATAAATATGTCTCGTAAGGTACCTTAGTTCCCAAAAATTTGTGTGCCATTATATTGAGCACAATTTATTTGAGCCCGAAAAATTTGGGCAGAAAATCTGAACTCATTTGGGCGACCGAAAATTTGGGCACAAATTCTTCGAAAAATGAACGATTTTCCACTAAAATTTCAGTTAGATATTTGCCTTAGTTCATTATTATTCCTTATTATTCCAGTCATTTTGCTTTCAATTTTAAGCATGTAGGTGGTAGTCTGAGTTGTTTCACATTATGAAATTTACGATTTGCCTTAGTTCATTATTATTCCTTATTATTCCAGTCATTTTGCTTTCAATTTTAAGCATGTAGGTGGTAGTCTGAGTTGTTTCACATTATGAAATTTACGATCTGCCCAGTAACTACTAAAAAATACAGTGATGATGGCACAGTACAAAATGATAGATATACAATAGTGATATTTAGTCTCTCAATCAGATAGTTTAGTCTACTTACACTCAGCATATCTTATCATACCCCTTTCACATACAATTATCATTATGACGCCTCACCAGATGGTCGAAAGGTTTGGAAGAAAATTAGAAGGTTTACATCATGATCTATCAAACTAAGCGGCACATACGCTTAGCTTTGGGGGAAACAAAGGTGTACATAATTGTGTGTAGCGAACTACTGTAAACCCGGACCAAAGGTCTTGAAGTCTAATTCCAGTTATTTCTATTCATTTAAAATATAAGCCTTTTTACTTGGTCAAGCCAAGAATGACAGATTAGAAAACTAAAATTTCAAATATTATTTCACTTGGATTATATGAAGAAAAAGCCATCTTTCTATAGATTTCAGGGCCACAGGCCGAATGCCAAAAGTTTGGTTAGCAAAAAATTTAGCAGACGGAAAAGATTTATGCAATTAATTTGGTCTGCAAAAAATTTGGGCGAGAGGCCCGCTCAAATTTTTGGTCGCCCAAATTTTTGGGAATTAAGGTACCCGTAAACCGATAGTTTCAAGATCGTATTTTAGGATATTTTGTTTGCACTTTGAATCTAAGAAGGCTAATAACATGAAACACTTTAACTTGAAGTACCTGCTAACGTTCATCTCAGGTTCATTTAACGGTAAGATGGGAGCTAAAGAATGCGAGCTGTGCCCGGAAGGAAAATACTCTGCTCAGGCCGGATCTGTAGTCTGCTTCGACTGCATTCCTGGAACTTTCTCTAATACTACAGGTTTTTAACATAGGGTTCTGTGTCTCTATTTCGGCAGTAGCGTTTTAAGTTATAATATATAACAATCTTTCTTTTATTGAAGAATTTTGGGAACGGAGTAATTTGTGCCCCTTACCGTAAGGTTTTGGGAAGATGGGTTGAGAAGTATGGTATAAGGGGTCTAGGATCATAGCATCAGGATTATGGTTAGGAAATAGGAGTTTGGATATGGTTTGGATCTATTTCTTTTTGCAATTTTTTGATTAAATCAGATATTTCACTATTTTGTGCATTGAAGACAGTAAAATTGGTTAATCATTGCATGTGAGGGCAGCAAACCTCAAAATGTATCATCAGACATTCAATATCATTTAAAAATGCAAGTTTAATTGCTCTCCAAAGGTTGTCAAATATAAACATCAATTTAATAATGCTAATGTCATAGACGAATATTTCCAAATATTTCCGAGTTATTACAAATATTTTGAATTTTCTCGAAAAATTACAAATATTCACGAATATTCCCGAAAAGTCTTATTTATCTGCGTTCGCCGTTCTCCTCGAGGTTGTTGAACTTTTGCTCCGAGTTGATCACCTCCTCACTGTCTCCAGAGGCCCCGTTGTCTTGCTGCCACTTTTTGAGAGCTTTATGCCAGATTGGATAGGCTCCGGTAGTATCCATTTCTTCGAATAGTAACACGAACGAGATTAGTAACAGTATAGAAAACATCATTATTAGTCACTTAATCTGTATCTCGAACAAATCAAACTATTTTGATCCGTCCAATTCTTCCTTTTTATACAGTAGCCATCGTATGCCATCCTTTTGTTTCGCGGAGTTCGATTTTTAGCACTTTCCCGACAAGAATTGTTTTCTTATCTCTTTTTCTCAACCTTTATCAATGCGAGTGAGTCAACACCTTTATTTTGTGACGATAGGGAGCTAAAGCTTGATCTTTCGAATCGAGGTGTCAAGCATTCGAGACAAATAGCTTTTGTCCTATCACAGAGCTATAGATCAAACGAAAACTTGTGAATGAGCGCAAAGAAATGGATTTTATTAATAGCAAGTGGTCTGGAGTAGATGCAGGATCTTGGTAAGGGATCTGAGTTAACTCCAGGATTATGGCACTTGATAATGTTTCCATTCAAAAAAGGTTCCTCACTCAGATCCTGTGTATACAAGTTTATTATTTAATACCAAATACTTTTCTCTGCTAGCAAACAGAAGCGCGTTTTCACTCATATCTCCGCTCATCATTCATATTATAATTATGAACCAACCCTCTTCCTTCAGGCTTATTCAAGTGCCACGACTGTGACACGGGAAGTTACACTGACAAGGGAGGACAGGAGGTATGCGAGGAATGTCCAGCTGGAAAGTTTAACACTAGACCTGGACTGCAGTACTGTATGGACTGCCAACCTGGAATGTTCAACGACGAGACCGGATCTGATTCTTGTGAATCCTGCCCCAAGGGTGGGTTTCAATTATTTTAGAAATCAGGAACACAAATTGATCCAACTTTCCCGGATATCACAGCGTTAACCACACAACTATATGTTTCCTTTAAAAGATTTTTTGTGTCCCTACAGGAAGCTTTGCTTCGAAGATGGGAGCTAGCATCTGTGACGAATGTCCCAAAGGAACCTACAACATGTACGAGAGAAGCCCTTACTGTACTGATTGTCCTCCAGGTATACTCTAAAACACGTGTTATTTAAAGATAACTGGACTTAAAACACAACGAAATATCTTGTGTCTTATCTATATTATCCCTGAGTCACAGAGAAGAAACTAAATACTCACTTAACCTGCTACTCCACAGGAACGTTCGCTAACTCCACTGGTAATATTGTATGTCATGACTGTCCTAGCGGTCACCACAACTCTGACTCTAGCGGAGACAAGTGTCATCCTTGTCCTAAAGGTTCGTACCAAGCTAACAGTTTCTATTGAGGCGAGGTTTTATATTTATTAGAATTGTCCAGTTCTGCCGCGGAACAGAACGACAACTAAAATGTCGATTGTATTATTTGTTGACAATCATTTGATAATTTGTAGTAATTGTTAGAATATATTACTAACTTAACACCAACACACAACCCCAGGAACGCATGCGGAGGAGGATGGATCTCACCACTGTACCAACTGTAAAGCAGGGTACTTTGCTGACGAGGAGGGCAGTGCCATGTGTCAGCCGTGTGAACCAGGGAGCTTTGCTTACCAAACTGGACAAGAGAAGTGTACTGATTGCCCGGCTGGTAGATTCGCTTCTGATAATGGTGAGAAATATCAGGGTTTTGTTAAGAATCAATTGTTGAACAAAACTCTGACTGTAAACATGTCATTTCGAGGTATAGTTGTTGCAGGCCACCGGCCTGTATTCTTTATTTAGCCGATTCATCGCATGTACTGAAAAAGTCTGTAATTCTCATTAAACCCTCACTCCTCTCTCAGCTACAACGTCATGTGTAGCATGTGATATTGGTCACTTCTCTGTACCGGGCAGTGCTGTTTGCAGTCCCTGTCCTGCTGGTCAATATGGCAATAAGGTAGAACATAATACAGGCAACTTCAGGGACATGGTTTTAAGGATTTTCATATTGTTTTCTATTTCCTCATTCCTAACTTATATTTATGAATTGAATCAGTTGCCTCATTTTAGCTAATGCTTCAGGTTGAGTCTGACTCTTGTAATGATTGTCCAGTGGGACACTTTGCTGGGGTTACCGGTCTGACTAAATGTGATGCTTGTGCTGTCGGAGAGTTCGCTGAAGCAACAGGATCTGATGATTGTGATCTGTGTCCTGCAGGTTTTGATTTTAACAAAAATGTTTCTAGGAATATGGTAAGTAAAGGATATAAGTTCGGTTTACAACAACTTAATCTCTCATCTCCTAAATATTTCTTCTCCTCCAGGATCGTATGCTGACAGTACAGGGTCCAGTTCGTGTTCTTTATGTGCTGCTGGTGAATACTCTGACCAGGGTTCTGGCTCCTGTAAAGTGTGCCCTGTTGGGACATACTCTGACAGTCTGGGGAGTCCATCCTGTTCCAAATGTGCCGCAGGTACTGTTTTATAAAAGGAAGAAGTCGGTTTGTAACTTTTTTGATATTTTGGAAATGAGAGTGTTCTGTTTGGAGTGTGACAGCTTGAAGCAATTTGATTCGACAGAATCATCCCCTCTATAATAATCCGATAAACTAACAAATATCCTTTTTACGAGAATTAGACATAATCACAACTCCCATCACCAGGTACCTTCTCTGACTCTGCAGGAGCCTCATCCTGCTCCTCCTGCGCTGCTGGATCCTACAGCCCTGAGGGTTCCTCATCTTGTGTACTCTGTGCTGCTGGCTCCGTCAGCTCCTCACCTGGTGCTGCTCAGTGTGACATGTGCTCTGTTGGTAGCTACCAGGATCTTACTGGACAGACTGCTTGTAAGGACTGTGCTAAGGGGAGTTATGGCGAGGACGAGGGAGCTACTTCCTGCGATCTTTGTCCTTCTGGTGAGTTTTGTAATTGTCTCTTCCTAGTGCAAATTTAAAGTGATTTTTAGTCGATTACGCTTTCGTATCATTCTTATTTAGCTTTTGATTCCTCTTTTTGTCCAACATTATGCTATGATATTTAGTCCCTACTGACTTTACATGTTAGCAAAATATTGCAATTGATCTAATACCGCACCACCCCAGGTCACTACTCAGACATCACCGGTCAAGAAGATTGCTCTCCCTGCCCAGAGGGTAGTTACTCTGCCAGCACTGGAACTGTTTCCTGTACCCTGTGTCCAATGGGCCAGTTCGCTGCTACTAACGGCAGTGTTTCCTGCACAGACTGCCCGGCTGGGTCTGTCGCTAGCAAAACGGGAATGGTAATTCCAATGTTTTTCTAAAAAATAGTTCGCAAGTTTGTGCTTTCCAAATTTAACTATAGTTGAAAGTGGCGTTCCCAATCTTTAAAAAATCCAACCCTCAGACGTCTCACTGTTTCAGACCCTTTTGACAGAATTGACCTCACTTTCAGATTTCATGTGTAGATTGCTCAGCAGGAAGTTACTCCGGCTCCGCTGGAGGCTCTGACTGTAGCCAGTGTAACGCTGGTAGTTACTCTAACAAGAGGAAGTCTACATCCTGCACACCGTGTGATAAAGGATCTTACGCTGATGATCAAGGTATCAGAAACTTATAATATCCAGATTTGATGTTGTTATTTTCATGATGTGAGAGTAAATTACTGTTGCACACAGTCATCATTTTAGAAAACTCTCAAATTGTCATTTCCCACCTGCAGTTATTTTAATGCCAAAAACAAAAAGGAATTTTGTATAATGATGGACACTGTAACAGGAGAAACAAGTTGTACCCTCTGTCCCATCGGTACTTACAGTGACGTAACAGGAGCAGCAGCGTGCAAGGTCTGTGACGACAGTATTAACACTGACGTGGGACAGGTAGAGTGTGAGGCCTGTGAGAAGGGGACCAGACCCAACTCTGATAAATCAGAGTGCGATCGTGAGTATTGTTCAGTTAAAATGTCAAATACTTCTTTGTGTTGTAATATGGTATTTAGAGATATCTTTTAGGATATCTTAGTTTAGCATAACGTTTAAGGGACGTAGAATTTAGTATGTGTTTCCGGGTATTATATAATAACCAATGTTTTTATATGTTCGTATTTGGGAGTTACACATTTTGAGTGTAAGTCGGTTGGCTGGCAGAACTACTGTCAGACTAACTGTCTGTAACGAGCCGTCCGCTCACTTTGCACCTGACTAACAGCCAGACCTGTGGTTGGTCCTCGCGGACACAGGGTGACTGCTAGTGGAGTGCTCATTGGCGAGACAGCGTGTCACGTGGTGCAAGCAAATGCGTTGTGCCGTCACGCAGTATGGCGTGACGAGTTTTGAGAGTATACCCGGAGAGCCGGAAGTGGAGAGCTCACTTCTTAGTTGCCCCTTAATCATTTTAAGGGATTCAAATTGACGGTAGCCAGTGTTACTGAGCACTACCATTTGTGATTTGTCACGTCAATTGATTGGAGCGAACACTTGGAAGTTTTTATCTGTTGACGTTCACTTTGTATTACTTTTCCATTTAATTAATTATCCTTTTTAATATACTCGTTTCATTTCTACCTTTCGGTACGCCCTGCCGTTCGTGCTTCGTGACTAGAGCTTGACTAGCATACACTAAATACAGAGGAAACTCAGTTTTCTATATCTGGAGGCCACTTTTAGTGTTGCTATTTTTGCTCGTGATCCTTCTAGTATCACCTATATTCAGTATAGTTTCGATTAGATCCTAACGTTGTCATTTGCTAAGCTAAGTTCGGTGTACGTCGCAGTTCAGAAGAATTACGTTGGAGGTTGTTCTAGATCTTGAGTACTTCCTACTAGAATTGGTAAGTGTTGCTACGCATTTTGTGGTACCTGTATATTCCAGTTCAGTGCTATCGTTTTAACGAGCACCCAGTTTTACAGCCGTTTGTAAGCTTCGCAGTACAGTTAAATCTAGATAGATAGCTCGTATTTGTGAGATTAAGCTACCATGAGAAATGATGATCGTAACGTTCGCCATCAGTTGGAAGGTTGTTGGGAGTGTGGTGATATTGGACATTTTCAGAGGAACTGTCCGAGCAGATTAGCTGGTAATAGAGGTAGATATCAAGACAGAGGGTCTTCATATCAGAGTGGGTATGGCCAACAGAGTTGGAACAGAGTGTATAGACCTAACAGTCAGGTGCCTTTAAACTTCTAAAGGGTGGCCCTAGATTTAAGAGGAGGTCACCCGCGGTCAAAAACACACGTATTTATGAGATTGTAATGAGATTTTCAAAGGTGTCGTCTTCTGTCATCAGGAAGTTTCAGGAGCTTGCTAACTGTACTTTTACCATGAAGCATATCTCGGGGAAGAGAAACCAGAAGTGTGGTGGATTTAACCGCTATAAATACCAGGGTTATGGTAAATCTCGAGAAAATGTAGCGAGCATTGGTAGCAGTTGCACTTTTAGTCTTGAAGCTGCTTTAGAGGGAGTAAACCGGGTGACACGTGAACATTATAGATGTAAACACCCGATACTGTTTAAGAGGCTGCAGGTACCGGTTAGCAGCGAGACAGTGGTTAAGGATGATTGCAGTAATATGATCGAGGAATCTTGCAATGAGTTGAGTGTTGAGGATAGTATGATTCCGGGGTTCTTGTTTGATGAGAAGTTTAGTGATGACCATAGCACAGTAAACGTTGTTCAGATTACGCCTGAAGTTGATAGCCACCATTGCAATTGTAGTCTTACTCAGGCTGATACTACAGAGAAGGCATCAGTAGTTGCGGGAGCAGTTGATGCGGTGGAAAATGTTTCAGCGGTTACTAGAGATGTAAGCTCTCTAGAGAGAGGGGTCTTGTGTACAGCAAGTAAGCCACCTCAGGCATACATTTACAATAAGGTTAAGAGCAGTGGAGCTGAGTTAAAGACGGACTCATCGGAGCGATTTGTAGATTATTCCGATAGTAATAGTGAAGAGGAGACAGATTTTCAACTGAGAAGAGCACCAGTTGTGAGGAGAAGAGAGGTTCATCCGAAGAAGTTTCGTCTGGAGAAGGATGGTGCAGCTAGCATTTACAAGCAACCTAGTTTTAGTTCAACTCCTAGGGCTGTTAATAGACCTGCTCAACTAGATCTGAATTCTATAAATCCTAGTTTTCGTACGGTAACACCTCTCACACATAACATTCCCTCAGGCGATAGTGTAGAAACAGTTGATAATTCTGCAGAATTCTTCACTCCAGCTAGAGAGAGATCGGCCGCTAGAAGATCATCGAGTCCGGTTGTTAGTGAAGGAACGATGGGTCATAGCAGTTCTAGGTCATATGATACAGTGGGGCACGACATTGACACAACAGGATCGCTTTCTCCTGTGGATCTAAGAAGACAGAGCCCTCCGAGGGAGGAGCGTAGATATAACACTAGGAGACCTGAGGAGCGGAGACAACCCGACCGTTTGGGGTACGAGAAAGTTAGTTTGGTCAAGGATCTCTTGAGGTATTTAAGCCAGTAGAAGACGGGGAGAATCCCTGACAGGGAAGTTCACTTACTTTGGAATCTAGTCTCAGTACAGTAATATCTTACGCACTTAGCTAAACTTTCCATTTAGTACTTAGCAGTAATTTAGTACCTTACTTGGGTATAACACGTGTATCTTTCAGAACAGTACTGATAGGGATAATAGGATCTTTACTCTCAACACGACTCGCTCAAGGCTGCTTTAGTGGTGGAAACGTAGATACTTTCGAATTTATTTTGACTTCTTTGTTTGCTTGTCAAGGACGTTTTAGAGATTCAGATACATCTCTATCAGATGAGGAAGACTCGACACCTAGGACTCTACAACTTGGTGCAAGAGGGAAGTATTTGAAAGTTTTGAAAGATTTGTGGAAGTCAATTTCAGTTTTAACTTTAGGATTTTGAGGATTTAAATTTAATGCACAGGGTTAGGGCCGTGTATTTTATTTTGAGACTTGACTTATTTTTAAGTTTTGGACTTTTGATGCGTGGGAGCATTAAAATTTAAATTTTGAATAGGGCGATTATTTTATTGTTTTAAAATATTCGAAAAAATTTTTTGGGTAGAGATGTTGTAATATGGTATTTAGAGATATCTTTTAGGATATCTTAGTTTAGCATAACGTTTAAGGGACGTAGAATTTAGTATGTGTTTCCGGGTATTATATAATAACCAATGTTTTTATATGTTCGTATTTGGGAGTTACACATTTTGAGTGTAAGTCGGTTGGCTGGCAGAACTACTGTCAGACTAACTGTCTGTAACGAGCCGTCCGCTCACTTTGCACCTGACTAACAGCCAGACCTGTGGTTGGTCCTCGCGGACACAGGGTGACTGCTAGTGGAGTGCTCATTGGCGAGACAGCGTGTCACGTGGTGCAAGCAAATGCGTTGTGCCGTCACGCAGTATGGCGTGACGAGTTTTGAGAGTATACCCGGAGAGCCGGAAGTGGAGAGCTCACTTCTTAGTTGCCCCTTAATCATTTTAAGGGATTCAAATTGACGGTAGCCAGTGTTACTGAGCACTACCATTTGTGATTTGTCACGTCAATTGATTGGAGCGAACACTTGGAAGTTTTTATCTGTTGACGTTCACTTTGTATTACTTTTCCATTTAATTAATTATCCTTTTTAATATACTCGTTTCATTTCTACCTTTCGGTACGCCCTGCCGTTCGTGCTTCGTGACTAGAGCTTGACTAGCATACACTAAATACTAAGAAACGCGGTTTTCTATATTTGATGTTTGGTTACAGTTTTGAATTTTTTCGCTGCAGTGATGGTTGCAAATTAAACTTTTATTTCACCTAATTTAACTAACATTTAGCGTACAACATTGCTCGGGATAAGCCTGCCTCTCAGTCCACTACTTACAACAGTGGTTCGGACGCTAACCACGGGACTGACGGGGATACCAACGGGAACTATTTGTCAGGGAACAGTTGCACTCACACTGCGTAAGAGTTGTTTACTGATCGTCAATATGGACATATTTCAAGTTTAGCTTAAATTTGCGTCTCCTTGGAAACACTTAAACAGTCTCTTGACATTGAACAATAGATAGGGAATGGCGACAAAAGCTCCATTGAATTCCACCTATTAGCGCACTTCCTATCGTCCCGTGGTTTCAGTCCGTCCCGTGTTGTTGTTGTGACTGAGAGGTTGGGATCCCTGCAGACTAGATACACCACTCTGAAGGTAGGGGAAAATCCCTAACTTGTCTTTGTGTTCAGCGTACAACATTGTCCGGGATAAGTCCGCCTCTCAGTCAACCACTTACGACGGTAGAGCGGACGCTAACGCTAACCACGGGACTGACGGAAATACAAACGGGGATTATAACGCGAACACTTGCACTCACACTGCGTAAGGATTTTATCAGCATATGCTATCTAAAAATTATTAATAAGGCCATATCTTTTGTGATTTTTGAGCCCAATAAGCTGAAACAATTTTGCTGTTTCTTGATCGATAGATAAAAAAGAAGTTCAAAAAATGATGCTCACCTGAAATTGCTCCGATTGTCCCGTGGTTTAAGCTGGTCCGATGTTGTTGATGTAGTGACTGAGAGGAGGGATCCCGCAGACTAAAGTCCCCTCACTGAGAGTGAGGGGTCTCATTATGAGGGGTCTCAAGATGAGGGGTCTCATTCAGATACCCCTCACTCCATTCTGTGTTCAGCGTACAACATTGCGCGGGATAAGCCTGCTTCTCAGTCCACTACTCACTCCACGGACGGAGACCCGAACCACGGGACAGACGGGGATACGGACGGGAGTTTCTTTAATGGGAAGTGCACCCACACAGTGTACGAATTACTTCTAATTCACTACTAATTAGTACTACTAATTATGTTTTATAAATTATTAAAATCTTTGTAAATTATTTAAATCTCGTGATAGCGAGGAAGCCAGTTTCAAAACTATTTGATGGCTAGACGAAAAACTTTCAATTTGAGGGCTAATTATCCTTATCTTATATATTTTGACCCCTTTTGCTACAGAATCATTGAAAACAATGATATCTCCAAATTCAGACCACAGACGAACCCCTGGTGGAAGGTGGATCTAGGAGACACATTCCCAGTAAAAGAGGTGATCGTGTACAACCGTAAAGATTGCTGCGGAAGTGAGTGGATATTTTTTACCAGACGAGATTTCTGGCCATGATTTAAAGTTTTCACCATAATCCACCACATGGTACCATTTTCTCATTTTCTTTGCGAAACTCAAAATTTTTAATTTTCAGATAGGATCGATGGATTCAGGGTACACGTGGGAAACACAGGATCCTCGTAAGTAAATTAGAGCCTGAACATACCATTTTCTATTTATCCTGTGGATTGATTGTGTTCTGCTCGGCAACAGAATTAAGTCTTTGCACAACTTTTTAGATCACATGCCAAATCAAGGTATGAGTTGAAAAGTTAAAGCAAAAATCATCACATAAAGTGACCGACTATTAGTATTATGTAGTGATGGCTAAGTCTTCAGGACCCAACAGAGGAAAGAGTCAGCACTTTGCACTTTGCATGCCCCAACCAAGCGACCATGATCCATCATGACATTTCAGTTCCGACCCGGTATGTGGTGACGATTTGAAATCAGCTGACTTTATCACCGGTGTAAAACACATCAAATGTAGCACCACCGGTCGCTACATCTCCATACACCATCCATCTACATCAGGAGGGAAGGTCCTGACCATATGCGAACTTAAAGCTTACACCGTCGGTAAGGTCGAGGAATTGTTACGAATCTCTTAAGGAGTACTGTTATTTTTTTGTTCGATAATTAGTTCCTTGTTTCCTGGTAATAAATGACAAAAACAATAACTTAATTCATAACTTAAACGGACAACTAAATCCTAAACCCAGTCTGCTGATAGCACAATATTTCAGATCTCGAAAGGCCGTGTCCCACTGGCTTCTACTCTGCAACAGGTTTCAGACCCTGCAAGCCCTGTAGAGCAGGATCCTACCTTGATAACGGCTCCTGCAACATATGTCCTCGTGTAAGTAAACACCCAATATTATTACTGGAAACTGTTACAAAAACGATAAAATGTAACTGTACATTATAGTAAATCAAATAGAAATGCAGACAGGCTCTCAGAAGAGGTTTGTAACCATCTCTGCCAACTCCTCCAGGGAACATTCTCGACTCAAGACCGTGCTACCAGCTGTAAAGACTGCCCGGCTGGACACACCACCTACAAGCCAAACACTAACAAGTGTTACGGTCCCAAACTAGAGGGTCACTACTACGGGAACTGGTACGCTAGATACGTTCAGATCCCTGATCTAGGTGAGTTTTCACTTCAAAAACAGTCTGAAGTCTTATTGAAATTATCATAAGCCAAAATAAGGCTTCTTATTGTTTTACGTTTTTATAGGGCTTGTTAAAATGATACAGTTTGTTGATGATCGTCTAGCAGCAACTACAGGTGAAATATTAACAAACTCAGGACAAGTAAAAGACAGGATGAACGGATGGGTGGCAAAGATAGGAGACTGGGAACTGTTTGACAAGGATTACTATAGAAGCCAGAAGGGAGTTGTTAAACATGGTCAGACTATTCCTTATGATAACCCTACTGTCAACTCTATCAAACCAATCAGTAAGTTATCAATCCTTATATTTCCGAGCAGAAACTCATTGATCAGTTGGTTAGAACGCCAGCTTTACAATCGTGAGGTTGCGAGTTCGAATCCCACTGTCTGCCTGGTCGTGGGGTGAGTGTCGTTGACGTTCAGCTAAGGATCCTGAGTGGTCTATGCAGCCCCCCGGTATACTCAGCCGAATACTCGAGAAATCGGGTGTGAGGGTTAAATGAGGAGCTGCACATTGCAGCAAAGTATCGGGCGAAGAAAGTATGGTTCACACTACCTTAACCGTCACTGGCCAAATAAATCCTTCGGCATCCTGTAATTGGCTGGTGGCACTTGGGTAACAATGTGGCTGTTGGAATACACCGAAGTAAAATTAGTGTCTTGATTAAAAAAATTTTATTATTTCAAATTCCTGCTTTCAGCTCCCATTTTCTTACAATAAATACAAAGAATGAGCCTCTAAATTCTTTACATTTCTAAATTCTTTAAATTTCCAGTAACGAACAAGTTCTGCTACGCTCCCCGTGACCTGGGAAAGAGTTACAGCGGTTACAGATCTACAACAGTATCCGGGAAGACATGTCAGAACTGGTCCTCTCAATCTCCTCATACACATAGTTACGGTATGTGTGGTATGTTGTCATAGTTACGGTATGTGTGGTATGTTGTCATAGTTACGGTATGTGTGGTATGTTGTCATAGTTACGGTATGTGTGTTACGTCGTTATCTATTAGCTGTTTATTGGGTCCTGTTTATTGTTTGTGACCTGAAATAATAGTTCAAGCAGAGCATGTAGTTTTCCGGACTACCTTTCTAAAACTGTATGTATCCTATTTAAAAAAGCTCATGAAATTCAATTTCTCATCCTCCACTCTTCTCAACGCTGTAGGCTCTTGCCCCTCCTCCCACCCTCACGTCTACCTAAACGGTGACTACTGCTGCAAATACTCCCGCGAGAAGCACTATGGTCCTGCTGGTGCCACCTGTGATGGAGGTCCCATCTCCTTTGGTAGCACGTGCTGCCAGGGTGACTCCTACAAACACTGCCCCAATCCTCCTTGTAGTGGTACATATTATACAGGCTGCTGTTACTCCAGCTGTACTATTTTATACGCTGTTAAGAGGAAGGAAGGTTCTGGTATGTGGATATGAAATGAGATTATAGAGGACAGGACCACCCAACCCAACCCACGTAGAACCTACCTTCCTCTTCAACTTCTGAGCTGAGTTTTGAGACTGGAACATATTTCAGGGGGAACAGTGTCTGCTTGCTTGCATTCGTATACCGACTTCTGGGGGGCTGATATAGAGAGTTTTAATGTTGTAAATGTGGAGGAGTGTGCTATGAGGTGCAAGTCTAGATCTGGCTGTAAGTCCATAACTTACCATGCAACTGATAAGTATTGCTGGTTGAAGAGGAAGGAGTTTGGTGAGAATGGGAAAAGTGATCACAGCTCAGTTCACAGTCTTAACATTGCTTGTGTTAAAGGTTAGTAATCGAACTTGAAGCCAGTTTCATTCGATTCACTAAAATAATGCTGGTCATTCAACTCCTCTAATAAAGTTGCATCATTCCATTTATCATGATGTTCCTGGTAAAGTGGCTCCTACACTTCCTACACTTCCTACCTTCCCAGGAGGATCTGTGAACTCCTGTGTGAGTTTGAACACTAATTTCTGGGGTGCTGATATAAGAGACATGAGAACTAAGGATATAGAGGAATGCGCGGGTAGATGTATGGCAGAGCCTCAGTGCAAGTCTATAACATTCAGTAAACGTGATAGGAATTGTTGGCTAAAGCACAAGGTTGAGGGTGAGAATGGACCCAGTGGTGACAGCAATTATTCTAGTATCAGAGCTGATTGTCTTATTGGAGACGACTTTGGTGAGTTGCTTCAGCTGAAAAATCTTTTTTCATCGAAAAGAAAATCATTTCCCTGAATGATGCAACGCAAAATTTGCTTAGATATAATGGCATGGTCCTTTTTATTATCCCATCAGCCCACCAAAAGAGGCGAATTCTTGAGTCGATCTTAGAAGTCCAAATGCTTGGATATCAGCACTGTTCCCACCTGTATATATATCTGCTGTTTTGCATTGTCTAAAACAGCCGCAGCTACAGCGTACAGGCTACAAACATCAACTGCTCTGTCTACAGATGCCGAACCTGCTAAAAGTTTAGAAGATTTTGCTACTGCTACTGCTACTGCTACTGCTGCAATGACCAAAAGAAAACTTTGATGCGCAGTTTACGGCCTGCTAACAAAATCCGAGTCGGTTTTTACAACACCGTTGCGCCTTCAATTATATATTGACATACGCTGCTTCTCCCTATAATAATCTACATTTAAACACACTATTGCCTTTAACCAAGTTGATCTCAGGAAGTATAGGGAACCACAACTTCTGCAGAAACCCTACTAATGCTTCTGGGGGACCCTGGTGCTACACAACAGATGCCAGTACTAGGTGGGAGTACTGCGATGTTCCTAAGTGCTGTGAGTTTTATCGAATATTTGTACCTTATGCTGTGAGTTTTAGTGAATATTTTATAAGTACAGGGTGCCTCAACGTTTTACATTTAGAGTAAGACATTTTTGTTACTGAGAATGAGTTTAAACAATGAATTTAAAAACGGTAAGGTTGCATCTATATGATAATGTTTCTGATAATTGAACATGATATGAATGTTTCTCTCAGCTAATGATGTTGATTGCTACCTGGAGGAAGGTCAGACCTACATGGGAACAGTCTCCACCACTGAGGACGGGCAGACTTGTGACAACTGGCCTGGAACTAGCACCAATATCTGCAAGTTAGTACTCAAGTTATGAACTGTGTTTAAATACTGTCTTAATTCCCACTGTTTTTAGAATTAGTACAACTTACTTTACTAATAGTGTTTATACTAAGTACTAATATGATCCCTTCATAGAAACACAGCGAACTCTGGTCTCCATAAGCCTTGGTGTTACAAGAGTGGAGCTAAGAAGACCTGTGCTGTTGACAAATGCGGTGAGAGTCAACAATGATGTCATTATCAATTTTTATATTTCAACTATTGCGTATTTACAACTTCTGAAACTAACCTCTCTCTCTAAAGTTCCGATCAATTTATTTGTATATCCGACTTATCCACAACACATTAACCACCTCCACCTCAGAACAAGATTGTGGAGACCCAGCTTCAGGAATCTGGGGACGATTCCTGGCCAAGAACTCAGGACTCTGTATGGACGTGGCAGGCTCCCCTCACAGCAGTATGGGAGATAACGTTCAGCTCCACAACTGCGAGGTGCCCCACAAGAGTGCAACTGATCATGTGTTCAAGATGAATAGTGACGGGTATATTATCAACAAGAGGACTAACTATTGTGTCAATGTGCTGGGTTACAAGAGCACTAACCGTAAGTTTTTGAGCTGTTCATATTTTTATTGACCTTTCTCACGTTGAATAAACTTTTTAACCAAACTTTATTACAGAGGAATCTTTTGTGCTAATAGTAGATAATTGCATGGAACCTTCACATCCCAGCTCTAAATAGTCTGTCTCCTCAGCTAACACTAAATAGTCTGTCTCCTCAGCTAACACTAAATAGTCTGTCTCCTCAGCTAACACTAAATAGTCTGTCTCCTCAGCTAACACTAAATAGTCTGTCTCCTCAGATAACACCAAATAGTCTGTCTCCTCAGCTAACATTAAATAGTCTGTTTCCTCAGCTAACACTAAATATTCTGTCTCCTCAGCTAACACTAAATAGTCTGTCTCCTCAGCTAACACTAAATATTCTGTCTCCTCAGCTAACACTAAATAGTCTGTCTCCTCAGCTAACACTAAATAGTCTGTCTCCTCAGCTAACACTAAATAGTCTGTCTCCTCAGCTAACACTAAATAGTATGTCTCCTCAGCTAACACTAAATAGTCTGTCTCCTCAGCTAAAACTAAATAGTATGTCTCCTCAGCTAACACTAAATAGTATGTCTCCTCAGCTAACACTAAATAGTCTGTCTCCTCAGCTAACACCAACCTGAACATGTGGACTTGTCAATACAACATGGGAACAGATCAGAAATGGGAGGTGCAGTGGAGCAAGTTTGACAGCTGTGCTTTCAGACTCAAGAACAAGGACACTCACCAGTGTATAGATGCGCCAGGTATTCTTTGAGACATGTTATCCTTAGTTTTTGGATGGTGTTAGATGTTGATGTGTTTTCAACTTTCAAATTTATAGTTTCGTATAGAAACTGAATTCCAGTTTTTTTGTCGGTCTTAATTGAAATCTTGTTCGCTTAAAGTTGCTATCACGAAAACGAATAAAAAATTTAAACCACAATCGTTTGTAACTGTTCAGATTTCAGCCCACCTGGATTCAGATAACATTCTCCAGGCAATTTTAATTTTATATATGAATTAGTTACTTCACCTAACTGTGGTTCAGGTTCTGCACCTCTCCCCGGCACAAACCTGCAACAAAACTATTGTGAAGATGACGGTACCAGTGATCACTGGTTCTATTTCATCCCAACTCAAGGTAACACCTTTTACCACTAACACCTTTTGCCACTAACACTTCTATGATCTAGGCTGGTCGGACATTACACCAGGAACTAACCTGCTGCAGTACCATTGTGAAGATGATGTAGGAAGTGATCACTGGTTTTACTTTATCCCCACTAAAGGTAGCAGTTTTGGCGCTTTGGGCCAGCCTCATGATGAACGCCCAGCTGTACTGCTAACTGCTACGAAAGTTTTATCCAAAAAAATGCTTTTATTATATGCTAATATGGTAGACTGCTTGGGTTATTATACCTTTTAGCAAGCTAAAGTGGTTGTTTTTGTTCAGCTACCTTTTCTGTTCGATTCGGACAATTTAGCAATCCAGATTTTGTTTTGAATTTGATCGAGAGAATTCTGATTAAAATTTCACCATAATAAAAGTGCAGGTGATCATCGTATTTAAAACATTAGTGTGATTTAGATTTGAACGCAACAATGCTTCCAGAGCTAGAACCCGCAAACCATTAAATTGTCAATATTTAAGAATTGCAATGTTTTAAGAATTTGGCTAATATATATAATTACCAGTTGCTACTCTGTAGCGTCAAGCTTGGATTGGTTCAGTTGGAAACGAATCTACTACTTAACAAATAGATGACATTGACACTAATCTTAGTTTATCACGTATACCCTTTTAACAATCTTGTCCCCAATAATGTTACATATTAGTACTTATAAAGTGTAAAGCTGAATTTTTCAAGCTTCATTCATTGTATACATGGTATAGCAAAAATGATAAAACGTTCATCTCCCCAGATCGTATGTGTGACTATCAGTACTACGCTGGCAAATACCTCTCTGGTTCAGTTCCTGGACATGGTTACTACGCCAGTCTTGCTTCAGCTCAACAGGCGTGCAGCAGATTGGGTATGACAACTTAATTCTAGTTATTTAACTTCAGAAGTAATCCTCAGCTAGTCCAATTTCAAAGTTTTAACCTTCGTTAAACCCGAAAACATAAAGTAAACCACAACTTTAACATGACTGTGAAAGCATAAAGTGCAGGACACGGGAAAATGAAGCAGAGTGTCCTCGAGGAAACGACGAGGGTCACCAAAGCAATCCCAGCCTTGTGAACAATTATAGATACCGAGATTTCCTAAAATAGCACCAAAAGTAGTTAAACCTTTAAACAAGATGTCCCAGCTGCTAACTCGCCTCTGTGGCAACTAACTAATAACTGGTCTCTGTGGCAACTAACTCTACTTATAACTGGTCTCTGTGGCAACTAACTCTACTAATAACTGGTCTCTGTGGCAGGTGCAAAGTGTGGTGGAGTGACAAGATCAGGATCCAGCGGACAGCACTCCCTCAGAACTAGTTCTACTCCGTCCGTCAGTTCGTCTGGAGAGAAGTCCTGGGTCAAACAGGATTGCGGTAAGTTGACATATTATTGAAACAGAAATTATTGCACATTTATTCATCGGTATTGCGTGAACTTGGCATTTTACTGAATAACTCTAAATATTAAAACTCGTATCTTTCAGAGGACACACATTACAACTACTTCGAACAAGAGTTCATGTAATGATGCCTTCTCCATCACTGTAGAAAAGACCGTGACCTGTAAAGCTCCTCTTATGGATGAAAGATTGAACTTTCTCGAATTATTATGCAATTTTGGTTGATATTATACTTTAAAACTGTCTTTATCATTTTTTATCAAAAATCATTTTGTATCAGAAATCAATCAAATCTGCACATACCCAAATTATTACTGCGATAAAAGAAAGTCTTGTAAGCCGACCAAAAACTTTACCACAAATGACAAGTGGCCCCACGAATCACTGACTATGTCTCCTATCGCACAGCTTGTGCACAATGGATTTCAGGCGGAAATAGGGTGATTTGAAAATCTGACATAGAAATTGTGTAAAAAAAGGGCTAATCGGTTTCCGGGTTAACCCTAGGTACCTTACAAGACTTTTTTATAACGTACGAAATGCGACGGTTTTCCCGAAATTTCGCCATATTTTCGGACCGCCAAAATTTCGGTCGTCGTAATAGAATCCGTCGCATTATTTTTAGCTTATTCCAATAATTGTGGCTTCATTGATTCATTTTGTTCTTGAAAAGTTAGTGATATGATGGTGGGACAAATAAACACAATATTCCATGATGAATTTGATGTCAAGTAATACGTTTTAAATTTACAATAAATTACATTTATGTGCTAACATAAACGTCTTATAAGAGACTAAGTCAAGATAAACAATTTAATACCAAACTCAATAAGTGAAACTGAAAGAGTCGAGCCGGACCCCTTAGAGGAAGATGAAGAAATCGATTTATAAGTTTCATTTTGTTTCAACATGATTTTACCGATTTTTAGAAAATTTTGAATTTCCTTTGTGTCAGAAAACAAAATGATGAAAAATTCCCTTATTTTCTGTGACGTCCGAAATGTGACGGTTTTTGTTCAATTTCGCCATATTTTCGGACCGCCAAAATTTCGGTCGTCGCAAATTGGTCCGCCACAAAAATGTCTTGTAAGGTAGCTGTGTAAAGAGTGAGCTTTCCGGGTGCGCTAACCCTAGCCTATCCTAGCTGTGTGCTACTATATTCCTAATAAGGTTTGTGTTGTGGTCTAGATGTGTAAAAAGTTTCCGTGTTATATGGTCTTGAGTTATTGTGTGTAAAAAAGGGCTAATTGGTTTCCAGAGTAGCTGGGCATGATAGTGAGTTTGAATTGGAGTTGCTGGATTAACCCTAATTGATCTGGATATAGCCCATTAGGGTTATGGGGTCTAATAATTTTAATTAGAAGAGAAAAACTAAGAGTTTCGGAGAAAAGTAACTTTATAAATTGTAAATAAAATAATGAGAGAATATAATAATCATTTTGTAAATAAAGAACAGAAGGTGGCTCTAGGTAGCCCTACACAGGTAGACTATCAGATGTTTTTGTTACATTCTCAACACGCTGATGGATAACGGAGCATCGTACGAGTCGGCGTCTTTGCAATTTTCTCACCCGCTTCTTCCATAAATATTCGATGTGATCCAAGGTTCCGAAGCCCTGCACCGGGAGCTCTCCGTTTTCTGAAAACACTATCTTCACTCGTTTCAGCTTTCCAAACATTTCCCCAGTAGCAGTGTGTATTTTCTGCAGAGTCTTTACAGTTCCCAAACATATGGGGCAACAAGTGTCATGATTCTCCCGAATCCTCTGGCGTATGCATTTATAGCAAAATCTATGTCTGCACTCCTTAGAGAACGCGACCCCCTCTATTACGATATCATCTAAACAGATGATGCAAATCATGTTTAAGATAATAAGAGCTACATTAATTGAATGGAAATTAAATATCTGCTGGTATGCTCTCATAAATGATGAGGCAATTTCTGCGAGTATCCGTCTTCTGCCACCCATCCAGGTAGTAAAACTCATTGGCCTTTAGTCCAACTCCGTCCAGGTTCTTGGCGAACACGACGTGACAGAATATTACATCGTCCTTATTGAAGTAGAGTCATGTTCTTATTAAGGGAGACGTGACGACCTTTACCAGTTCCCAGCATCCAATGAGGTGATTTGCCGGCTCCTCGTTGCAAGAGCACTCCATATGAAGCATATGTTGCAGGTGTCAAATGAGTATTCTCTAGCATTAATCAGCTTCTTGTAGAATCTGGAGAAATGTTTTACCTGAAGAAATGTTAATTAATCAATTATTATTTAATAAAAGGTAAGATATAGAATAATTGTTATAATAATATTTATTTCTAATGCGAATAAGAATCAAATAAAATTACCTTGACGTCCAGCTTCATATCCTCCTTGATCGTGTTGTATAGAGGATGAGAGGAGAAGATGTTAAAGCGGAATGTGCGTAGCCAATAGCCCATCTCTTGCTTGACCTTAACTGTATTGTACGTTGCCTCTTTACCTTGACGTTGAACAATCCTCAGGACTCTAACAAGGCAACTTTCAAAGATGACATTGCCATCATCAGGGGCAATTTCCTCGACAGAGTGATGAGCCTTTCTTGGCTGAGCATATAGGTCAGAATAGTTGACAGAGGGTAGTTTCCCAACGAGAGGGGTTCATCGGTCAGGTCATTGTATAAAGCCGTAATGGGAGGTAGTTCAGTCTCCTCAAAGTTCTCGAAGGAGGTGAAGTAGGAGTAGGGATACACCCCTTTGCGAAGAAGGAGCTCTAGTTTCTCAGGGTCCACAGAGCCACACTTCTGCTGAAGGAAGTCTTGTGCAGGTTTAAAGGCTGCACACTGCAGGTCCTGACGAATGAAGATAAGACACTAGTTTTTCTAGAGAGGAGTTTAGGTGAGCACATGAGTCAATCAATCTGAACTTTTTAGTCATGAGTGCTGTATATGATTCCATGGACTTGGGGATAACATTGATATCCCATGGATCGTCAAAGCGATCTGCAATGCCTTCAATAATCATGTGTGAGTCGTAACCTTTAAGATTGAAGAAAATCGGTAAATACTTTGGTGTTTGACGCTCCAGGTTACATAGTGGGTGAGTATAACCTAACACTTTACCGGTGTAATGACAATGATCAAGATGCTTTTCTGCAATATGTTTATGTTCACAAATAACACAATTCGGATCAGCGTCGAGACGATCCAAGGTAGCCTGGTCTACCTTCTCCATTGGCTTATTCATCTCCAACCAAGGTCTCATACGCTCATACAGTAAATCAAGGGCTTCCAAGAACTCATCGACACATTTTGGTCCATGGAAAATTACCACCGGCTCATCTTCAAACCCAGCTAGGTGACTATGTAGCTTATACGATACCGTGCAGGGGATGTGCTCTGCGGTCTTCATATACTTCCCGCGGCACTAGGATACATTGAACGGATGTTTAATAGTCTTCCTTCGCAACTGTTGAACTTTAAAGTCAGCAGCTCCTTTGCCGTCTTCTTCTGCTTTAGACTTCCTACTGGGTATTCTCGCTGTTTTACTTCATTTGGCATGATGGTTCGTTGTGCTTGAAATTTACTACAATCAATTTCGTGTTCAATCAAAAGGTCACTTCTTGTGAAACCTCTCAAACATCTAAGACAATAAAATTTCGCATGAGTATTCTTGCTCTGTCCACTTAATAGTTTTCTAACAGTGCAGTATCATTTGTCGCAAGAAATCAGAATAATAAGAAATTATTTGGAACTCCCAAAAACTGTCTTAATAGTTTTGATAGATCTTCTACCCAGACCCAATGGCTCGTCCTGTCGTTCTCCACCAGCAGAATGTTTATGCACGTCTCACTGTTAGGATCCTTACAGAGTCTGATGGGGTAGAATCCCTGGTGAAGTTCATGCGGGTTTCCTGTTGCAATTGTCCCATCATCCCATCCAAGAACATTGATAGAAACGTTGTTCAACTTCTCAACCTTACAAATCTGAAATAAATAGTGGATGAGTTGTTTAGCTTGCACAGCCGGCGACATTTGATTCTAAGCTAAACTAGAAAGCCCGGTCACAGGTAGGAAGCTAATAGTATTCTTGAAAGTCGGTTTTTATCGCATCAGAAAATATTCGTTATAAAGAAATTTACAGACTCGAACACACCTGCATTTGCCGCATCCATCAAGGCAAGCTCTAGTTGAGCATCAATACTACTCCTAAAGATATGATAAATCATCTCCTGATGCACATACAAGGGACTGGAAACATAGCGGACACCATTCGTGACATTCACTGTCAAAAGTGCCTTAACCCATATTCTTCCACGGTACTTTTAAAAGTACGGTTCATAAACAGTGACCTAACTTGTCTCGTGACAAATATTTTTTGATGCAGTTTTTTGTATTAGGTTAAAAAAGGTCTGCTGATTATTTTAGCACCCTGACCAGATGGTTAACAAAAGCAAGAGATTTATAGGATGTTGGCAAAGGTGGTCAAAAATGGTACTTTCAAAAATGGTAAATTTTCGGTACCACCAGCCAATTCTCCAACTTTGATGGATCCCAAATTTGGTTTTTTAATATTGCCTAAACGATTATGCAATAAATAGGCAATAATGTGGAGCGACATAAAAATCATAAATTGCCTCTAATTGAGATGTAAATTGGGTGTACTTTTAAAAGTACATCATTCTAGACAGTGATGTACTTTTAAAAGTACGTACTTTTAAAAGTTCATTATCTTTGTATGATGTACTTTTAAAAGGACAGGTTTCACGAAAAATGTACTTTTAAAAGTACAGGTTTATAATTATATAGACTACACAATGTCTGCTGGCTTAATTAATGCCGGTAAGACTGTCATGACAGGTAAATTGTTCTGAATCAGAACGGAAGTCACAACAGAAATTTTCCGCTCTGATTCGCCAGCACTGGCATAATTTCACAGTTGACTATCACTTCATGTAATTATAGTGTGAGGTCTCCTTATGCAATGTCTTAATCCGATATCATTTATATTTATTACGTCTTTATATTATAAGCTTTCAGTTTCATTTGGTGCAGTTTATAATAAACTTCGGTCTCAATTTATTAGACTGTCAGCAGTGCTCTCCGTGGGGCATGAAATATCGATTTTGTTGTAACGCCTTTTGCTGGTTTATTGACTAACATTTCTTAGCTTAGTATTTTCTTTTCTTATTGTAATTTTTCTTTTCTTAGTATATTCTTAGTTCATTTCTTAGCTAAGAACAGGACGTGTACATGGATTTGTCAGATACAGCGAAAAGGAGGAGGAGAAAGAGGAGCCCTGAGAAAGATGCGACCCTGGTGTGTTATACACTACTGTTATGCTATATAATATTACTTCTCTACATCTGTCATCATGAGATACAATCCAATTATAGGCATTTTCACATTGATGAACTTATTTATTAAATGGCTAATACTCAACTACACCAGGACCATAAATTCGACGTAGGCGATCTTGTTTACAAAGAATGGGGGAGACAGTGGGAGCCGGCTCGAGTACTGAAGATTTATAGAGGAGGATCAGGAGGGATCAAGATTCAGTTTGTGGAATGTAAGAGAATGCTAGATGTCCACAAACAAACCCTAAAGCTCCCAGAAGCTTTTCACAACTTAAAGAATACCGAAAATGGTGAGAATGAGAAGGGAGTAGCAGAAGCCGAGAGAGTTCTAGAGGAACAGAAGAGAGTGGCAGAAGCTGAGAGAGTTCTAGAGGAACAGAAGAGAGTAGCAGAAGCTGAGAGAGTTCTAGAGGAACAGAACAGAGTAGCAGAAGCTGATAGAGTTCTAGAGGAACAGAACAGAGTAGCAGAAGCTGAGAGAGTTCTAGAGGAACAGAAGAGAGTAGCAGAAACTGATAGAGTTCTAGAGGAACAGAAGAGAGTAGCAGAAGCTGAGAGAGTTCTAGAGGAACAGAAGAGAGTAGCAGAGGTTGAGAGAGTTCTAGAGGAACAGAAGAGAGTAGCAGAAGCTGAGAGAGTTCTAGAGGAACAGAAGAGAGTAGCAGAAGCTGAGAGAGTTCTAGAGGAACAGAACAGAGTAGCAGAAGCTGAGAGAGTTCTAGAGGAACAGAAGAGAGTAGCAGAGGTTGAGACAATTCTAGAGGAGCAGAAGAGATTTGCAGAAGCTGAGCGAGTTCTAGAGGAACAGAAGAGAGTAGCAGAGGCTGAGACAATTCTAGAGGAGCAGAACAACGCAGCTGAGGAAATGCATAGACTACAAGAGGAAAGGAATCTTACGTTGGAACAGCAGATTGCTGATGGCAGCCAATCATGTCAGTATTCAATAGTAAACATACATCGGAAACCAGTTACAAGATCTAGGATTGTAAACATTAAGAAAGAGTACATTGAAGTAGAGGCCGCTCTGGAAGACGTGGAACAACCGGGTGAAAAAGTGGATCCTTCAAGATCGACTAAATCCCCAAAATCAAAGAAGATGGCTGAAGTTAAGAGAGAAATTCTAGAAAAAGATGTGAAGGAGTTAACAGGATCCAGACAATCAGCTCGAAGCAACACGAAGACCAAAAATAAAGCGAAGAAACAGAAAAATGTCCGTATTAATGTTCGAGAAGAACAAACTTCTTTGCATAATAACTTGAGAACGCTGGACGAAGCTCTAGAGCTGGCAACCACAGTGTCTTCGAATGAGATAGATGTTGTCATCCTTCCTCCGGATGGTGTTGAGAGTGATACGGAAATGATCGATGACAATGATGGTGACAATCTCCCCTTGTCTGCGGTAAAAGATACTGCTGGAACCTATGAGCTACATTTTGTAGGAGAAGAGTCAGATAATGAATTGGACACAGAACAATTGACGAACCCTGCCCCTATTACACGAAGTTACTATCACAAGTTACCTCAAGCACACCTCTATTGGGATTCAAATGTTGATACTAATGTGAGTGTGGTTACTGATGCCATATCAAGGAACCGATATAATTTGCTGAAGAAGTACATTCATTGCGTGGACAATCGAGATGTGGACACCACAGATAAGTATTGGAAGGTAAGACCTCTCTACGATATCATGAATCAAAGTCTGGCTAAGTTCAAGAACCTTGATAATACGTTTAGTATTGACGAGCAGATGGTCCCTTACACCGGGATGCATAGCGCTAAACAACGAATGAAGGATAAGAGTATCCGATTTGGCTATAAAAACTTTTGGCTGGTTGGCTCATCGGGATTCCCGTACCACTGCCTCCCTTACTGTGGTAAGAAAGGAATTGGCGGAGATCCCGGAAAGAACCTCACCAGTCGGGTTACCTTACAACTGGCCATGGAGATTCTTGAACCCAAAGAAAGTAACGTCTTTTATGACAATTGGTTTGCCAGCTATAAGCTGTTGGCCATATTCTCTGCCATGGAGCTTGGAGCATCTTGTACCACCAAGACTGATTCTGCACTTAAGAAAGAAGGGCGTGGGAGCTTTTCAAAGGGAATTGACGAGTTTACAGGGGTGACCATTGTAAAATGGCATGACAATAGCGTCGTGAATGTTGGTTCCAACATCTTTACTGTTAATCCTATCACAGATGTGGAACGGTACAGTCAAGCAGAAAAGAAGAAGATTCAAATCAAACGGCCATCTCTTGTCAAGGAGTATAACAAGGGAATGGGTAACGTTGATGTGTTTGATGGCCATGTTGCTAGCTACAGAATCTCTCTAAGGGGAAAAAAGTGGTGGTGGCCACACCTAATAAATACGCTTGATTGCCTGAAAGCTGCATCATATTCTTTGTATGAGATATGTCATTCGAATGAAAAGACGAAACTGACATATCTGAACTTCATTCGACGAATAACAATAGCCTACCTGAAAAAGAGATTGCAGCCCCCATCATCGCTATGCCAAAGAGTTGCAGTGTGGAAGGGTGACAACAGAGTTACCCCAGAGGTCCGCCTGGAGAGTAGAACTAACACTCACTGGCCAGTAAAAACAAAGCAGAGACGATGTGCTTTGAATGGCTGCAAAGGTCGCAGCAACTATAAGTGCGAAGTGTGTGACGTTGCACTTTGTGTGCTTTGTTTTAAGCCTTATCATCAGTTAGAGTAAAAAGCACAAAACCTGACAATTTTAGTAAAATTGATAGTTAACTGGTAAATGGAATTGTGATAGTAGTTTATAAGTATAGCTGTTCCCACCATCATGATTTATTCAGTGTACCACTTAAATTTTGTATGGTATTGTTTAAATTTTATTCAGCCATTCTGACAAAGGCTTTTAGTTTTATTATCTGACCCTGAGTTTCTATTTAATTAACTAATGTACCTCCAAAAGTACACTATTCATTAAACCCGTACTTTTAAAAGTACATTATTTATTAAACCCGTACTTTTAAAAGTACATCATTCAAATATGATGTACTTTTAAAAGTACGATACAATTTTCCAAAAAAGTAAGCTCCAACAATGACCTTTTAAAAGTACGGGTCGAAAAAGCTATTAAAAATATAAATTTTTTCAAAATTATTATTGCATCGTCGGAGTTGGTGTCTTAGTGCTTCGGAAACAAAATTTCGTCAAAAAATTCGAACGTTTAGAGTTGTTGGTATTATATGGGTTAATGGGATCGTTATCCCAAGCACGCTAAATAGCCTTGGAAACCTCCGCAAGGGCATTATCAAAATCACCACTAAACTTATAGGTCATAGAAGGACCGTAATGACAGGGACGCTCAGTCATAACGGCAAATAGAGAAACAAACTGACAATCGGTTGTTTCAAGATTCGATAATTCAACCAACGAATTCAATCGAATAAGCAAATAGTTAATGTTAGCTGTAAAATTATTGGTTTATATAGCGATCACTACCTCTATTAGCACCGGATATCCCGTCTCCTAGACATTAGTTAACAACCCTGCACAGATGTTAATTGAGATGTTAATTGATATCCTGATCGGCTTGTCAGACTGCCGGTCATGTCTTCATGTAATTAGTTCCGGGACCAGAGTAGAATAATTGACTAGTCATCCTGATTGGCTTGTCAGACTGCCGGTCATATCTTTTACACATCTAGACCACAACACAAACCTTATTAGGAATATAGTAGCACACAGCTAGGATAGGCTAGGGTAAGCGCACCCGGAAAGCTCACTATTCACCCAGCTACTTAGGGTTAACCCGGAAACCAATTAACCTTTTTTAAATTTTACACACAATTTCTATGTCCGATTTTCAAATGATTGGGCGACATCTGGTCGACAGCGACACATGTCCGACAGCTGAATTAGGGATTTCGGACAGATGTCGCTGTCGGACATGAGTCGTTTTTGGCGACATCTGTCCGAATTTCGGATCATATTGTAATTTCTGTTCACATTCGTACATATTTCACAAGCTCACGGGTAATCTCGTGACGTTACTCCCATTGTTCTAATGCTGATGAATTAAACTTGAACTTGAAATTACCAAGGAGAACACTAACGGACTCGTTTTGGCTATACATCAATTCATAAATAAGTTCATATATAAAACAAAAGCCGAATAAAAGTATGAAAATAAAATCTTAAAATTTAACCGCGTTACAATATCACGAAGTGGAAATAAAATCAAATATAATAATTTAAATGCTAATAGAAATTCTGGATGTGTGCATAAAAGCAAGTCCAAGGAGATATGTTAAACTAAATAAGTTGATGGGACGATGAAGGAGATGAGTAGGGGACGTGAAGCGAGGATTAGGACTTAATCATAGGATTTCGAAGGTTTGAAGAGTCTGTTAGGTGGTGATTGCTAGGAATTCATAGGAGGTGATAACTAGGACTTCTTTTCAGGAGGATGTCGAAGGTGAAAGGATTCTGTGAGGTACTTTCCAAATTCAGTAGCATGGAATGAGTTCATGATGGCCCCATATTCTTTGAGCATTATGAGGCTTTTAAGGTTGTCTGAGAGGTTGGACCGGAGGGAGTTGTAGCTGGGGCATTTATTTATAACGTGGTCCTCGGTTTCAAGGATAGGTGTTTCAAAGAATGGTAGTTCTTCGAAGAACCGCATGACGTCGGTGTCTGAGGAGCAGCAAAAGCGACATGTTTTTAGTGCTGTGTTGTAGCGATCTCCAGTGTAGCGACCTTTCTCAATCCTCAGATCGTGACTGCTAGATCGAAGTTTTGCAATGTTAGCTCTTTTGACCCTGCATGGGAGCTGTAAGTACAGTTCTTCACCAAACTCAGCTTTGACCGCAGTGTAGAATGACATTTTGGGCTGGTTGTGAAGATCCTTCTTCCAGTGGTTGACAAATGTTTCGTGTATGTGTTCACGAGCCGCAAGGGTGTGGGGTAGGTGTGGCTTAGCGACAGTGCTCGTCTTGATGATAGTAGACCATGCATCATACCAGGTAAGGTTCAGTTGTTTCTGTTCCTGAAATGTATGGTGCAAGAGGGTGTTCACGTTACCTACTACCGCTTGTGATGCTCTACAGAAGTAGGCAATACATTGAGGGAGGACGGTTACTGTCCAGGGGGTTCTACCTGTATCTCCGTAGCAGAAGTTGTTATTTGCCTTTTTGTGGACACCCAATATCCATTTAAGAATTTTCAAGTGAGTAGTTTCAAGAGCATCTTTTGCTGCTGCTTTGGGAAGACTCGCTTCTTGATTTTTTGAGAGGATGGCTTTCACGATGTTGGTTGATGGCAGCCAAATAGGGCATCCATATGTGGCCACTGGCTTGACTAAGCTATCAATGAGTTTTAGCATCGTGCTAGTGGTAAGGGCTCTCGTGTCAATAGTTCGTCTCAGAGAGAAGAATGAGCGAAGAGCTTTCTTCCTAAGTTCATCGATTGCTTGCTTGAAGGAATCTCTGATGTGATCCATTGAGATCTGATCCATCAATACGTGATTTACTAGTTGAGAACAGGTTCGGGCTAGCCGTACACTAACAAGCTGTCGATCACATTACAGGACACAGCCTACATGAGTACGGAGATCAGTTATCGCTATCCACAATGGCAACCAATCTTCAGTTTATCCCTGGACGCAAACAAGGCTCTGAGAACCCTGTCCTGCAGAATGGCTTCCGATACGTCTTCGACAAACGAAGAAACGACACTTCCTTCTGGAAATGTCGGGTTTCCAAAAGGGTTGCAGAGCCCGCATCTCTACCGTGAACAAAAAACTGATCACTCCTACTACTGACCACACTCACCCTGTCCACCATGCTGGAACGACCGTTCACGTCAGCAAACGGAACTTGAAAAGAAAGGCTTCTGGTGGAGATCAACCGATGAAATACCTCGTATCTGAAGCAGTTGGTGGATTGGGTTACGAATCTAGACTTAGAGCAAAGCTTGGCTGCCAGCTATCATCCCTCAACAGAATGGTACAGAGAAGCAGCAAACAGACACCCTTCTAACCGGAGAGATCTGAAAACGCTCTCAATTCCTGCAAACTACATCCTCTCTCTTCCATCAGCTCTTCACAGTCCACGGACACTTCCCTGACGGCTGGCAACTTCCCCTCTTCTATGGATTACCAGACGTGGATGCAACTTCCACTACAAGAAAGCCCTCCTGAAGCATGTTAAGCAGACCAAAATCTGGGAGGAGTATTTGACTCCAAACTCTCCTGTTCGGGATTTCTTCGCGATTGCCTACGTACCGGAGACTGACGTCCCTCGAATCTGGAGACACCTGAAGCCCCTCCTTCCTATAGACCCATGTCTATAGGAAGGAGGGGCTTCATACTACGAAAACACTTGGATCAACCACCAATCCTAACTTCGCTCCCCACATGTGGAATCAACACGAAGCCGCACAGATGAGAATTCCTCGCTCATCCAATATCGCAATTTGGAAGTTCCTTGTTCTGCCTTAAAGCAGAACAAGCCCTTACAGACGTGAAGAAAAGCAAAAGAGAGGGCGGGAACTACCTGAGCCACGTGCACCCAAATGGATCCGTTATGATCGATCTTAACTTCAGAGAATTGTAGATGATTACACAACTACAGCAACCCTACGGATTTCCTAAAAGCTATCAGAAATTTGACTATGCTTTAGATTTGATTCTGTGATACTGTATTTTATTGAATTGATTTATATAACATTTATATAACATTTAAACTATTGTCCAATTTATCGACATCAAATGAAAATAAACTATGGTAGTAATCTATGGCTCAGATCATATCTCAAATTGGAAATGTTACGTATACAAATTAGCAAGTAACAGTTTAGATCAAATCAGGTCACAATTTTTTCTGGTACCCTGAGTCGGACAGATGTCGCTGTCGGACAGGAATAACCTTTTCAAATCACCCTATTTCCGCCTTAAATCCATTGTGCACGAGCTGTGTGATAGAAGACATAGTCATACTACTAGAAATCAATCAAATCTGCACATACCCAAATTACTGCGATAAAAAGATAAAAGAAAGTCTTGTATAAGACGACCAAAAACTTGACCACAAGTGACAAGTGGCCCCACGAATAACTTCGAAATCGCAAACTCAGCCCCAATGAAAGGCGACCATGCAGTAAAAGTAAAACCAAAAATAATAAATATAAACCAAAACTAAACACCACAACTATACATTAATTCCATGGTCCTTTTGATTGATTATTGGGACTTGCACGAGTCATCCTTTTTTGATTTTTCTTTACTTTTAGCTGGGATGCTGTCCCTGCTAAGATCAGAATCCGAGCTCGCTGCCTCAGAGGGAGAGCCCAATGTTTCGGAGGCTGGACTACCTGCTTTTGCTTTTGTTGCCTCCTTTGAAGAGCCCTTCTTGGCTTTAGAAGCGGGTCTACCTGCTTTAGCTTTGGTTGATTTTCCCTTCTTTGACCTGATGTTGGTCTAGAGTTGTTCCAATTCCGATTGACGATCATAATTAAGAGGTTTAAAATCTACCTACAAGGAGAACTTATGCACTTATATAGTATGTATATATTTTTTATTTTAAAAATTGTTCTTCCTCAGTCTTACGTAAAAAATGTGGCAGTTCTTGTAAACTTCAAAACTGCAGATCTGTAAGAAGAGGAACAACTCATCACCTATTAAAATCACAATCTGATCAGCTAGCCCCACAGCTCAGCGCCCTCTACCTTACGCTCTGACTCTCAACTTTCTCTAAAATAGCAGTGATCAGCTCCTGCTGGATTTGCATTTTCTGCTTTACGTATTTCACTAGGTTAGCTTCTGTGTTCGCTTGTTGCTTTGTCACTATGGATGTTAGTGTGTCGCGGGCTGCTTTTACCTGCGTTGATAATAGTAATGTTAATTGATGTGTTGCTTCAGATAAGTTTTTAAAATGCTTGTAAAAACAATAAACAAAAGTAAATCGAATACTTGTTAAAACAATGAACAAATGATTAAATCAAATACTTGGAATAAATAAATCTGTAAACCTCATCCTCAAAGCTGTCATCATCTCGCACATCGTCGTCATCATAAAACGCTGCTGCAGGCGCGTAGTTGTAAGAAATATCTGCCGGAATTTGTTTCCATTAGAGATCTTTGACATTTTATGTAAGCCAGATTTTTCCATTTGAGGACCCTATCTCCGTGATTATATTGTGTACTTAATGTGTAGAAATAACTTTAATGAAATTGCCTCACAGGCTGAAAATTGTAGAATAATAAGTTATTTTGTACCAAAATCATCATACCTATTAGGTGATGTTTCCTCCAGTAGCTAGGAAGCTTGTTTTCTATGCTCACTATCATAGCTGCTCGTTCAAACTGCGAAACTACCAGTGCATTTTCGTAAACTCTTGCAAATGTATCTGTGGAAGTGAAACGGTGAGTGATCAGTGAATAGTTTCAGATCACGCTAACTCTCTCTCACGCCAACTCTCTCTAAGGTCATAGTTGTAGATCGTTATTAGAGTGTAAGTGATTTACTACGGTTACAAATTCTTATCTCACTTAATAAGAATGATTATAACTATATCGATTTCTCTGCTATATGTCTGAATGAATGAGTCCTAAAATTCACCTGACATAAGAGCAATGAAGATGTTGAGGAGCAGCACAGCAGAAACTAAAATCCAGTAAGCAATGATGATCTGCGTGAATGGAAAGTACTCTGGTTGCAGTCTCTTGTAGGTTATTTGCTTTAGGGTTTCGTACCCGTAATCTCCCACAAGCGTGTACACAAACACTGAATATTTGACATCTTTTTAAAACTTTAATTTAGAACAAACCTAATCTCCTAATTTTGAAGTTGATAAAACAAAAAACAATTTAAACAGAAAAAAAAAAGAAAAAAGAAAATAATGTGATTTTTAAGATTATCCGTAGTAAAAAATTGTTAACCTACAAATATGCACCGCTAAAATCTTATACAGTTAGAATAATCTGCATTTCGATCTTTTTCGTGCAAATCATAGAGATTTTACTTTGCAAGTAATAACCAAAAAGGCATGTTGCCACCGATTCCTCCACACCATACTACCACCACTATTATACTACTAGAATTAATCTTAACAGTTTACATTCCTTAACTTACTCACCCGTGAAGAATACTTGTGGAAGATCCCCGTATAAAGATTCATCAAAATCTTCATTTAATAATAAATCTTCATTATACGGTCCGGAGAAGAAATGATAGAACAAGCACACCTGTGAGTATGATATTTCAAATATTTTATAATATAATGATATTTTAGATATTTTATAATATAATCCACGGTCTCTTGTGAATAATAATAATATAATAATACTTGTTTTAGGTTCCCATAAAATCTTTCTTCAAAATTGGAACTATATAATTCTTTTTGACTATAAGGCCCACAAAAGACGTGATAGAACACAAATACACCTGTGCAGATTGGAGACAATTAAATGCCTAACTCATCACAATCGATAATCTTGGTTGATACTTGATGATTTCTTAACTTAATTGGGCATTATAAAAATACTCAAATTTAGTTATTTGTTAATTCAAATTTAACAACAAGAAATTTGTTTACCATGGGTATGTACAGAATGATGTAAACCGTAGCAATCTTTATGAAATCCATCGGGAGAGATGCGATGATAACGCAAAATGGACCTGCAATAGTTATCATCATTAACTTGTGTTATTTTGCAGTATTCGTACAAAATTATGATACTGCAGCTATAGCAGTCTGATCCGAGGGGACGCTCATTATCAGCAAATACGAAGCGAGAAAACTTAATTTCTAGATAAAATGTTCAACAACTGAATATACATGATTGAATTTGGTATTTTGTATCATGAATACATCAAGATACATCTTTAATAAGCAAATACAATATCTACAATTTAATTACATCGTGATGACTACTACTGAGTACTGACTGTGTCGTAATTACGATTTACGACTGTTCCAGCTCCCCTTGCAAATACACCTAATTAATTATGCGACACCTAATTAATTATGCAAGTTGCAACACCTAATTAATTATGAGATTATGCAACACCTGAATGTAAACATTACTTACCCAGTGTCTCCAAGACTCTGCAGTATTTGAACATCTTTAACCAAACAATAACGAGGGTAATCGAGAGGAGGATACCTCTATTTACCGTATACTGCGGGAACGCGTACTTGATAAGGAAATGTACCACCAGTGTTACTGCGGGGGAACTTTGTTAGAATACTAGTGGGGTTGTGGGGATATTAGTGGGGTTATTAGTGGGGTTATTAGTGGGGTTATTAGTGGGGTTATTAGTGGGGTTATTAGTGGGGTTATCAGTGGGGTTATTAGTGGGGTTATTAGTGGGGTTATTAGTGGGGTTATTAGTGGGGTTATTAGTGGGGTTATTAGTGGGGTTATTAGTGGGGTTATTAGTGGGGTTATTAGTGGGGTTATTAGTGGGGTTATTAGTGGGGTTATTAGTGGGGTTATAAGTGGGGTTATTAGTGGGGTTATTAGTGGGGTTATTAGTGGGGTTATTAGTGGGGTTATTAGTGGGGTTATTAGTGGGGTTATTAGTGGGGTTATTAGTGGGGTTCTTAGTGGGGTTATTAGTGGGGTTCTTAGTGGGGTTATTAGTGGGGTTATTAGTGGGGTTATTAGTGGGGTTATTAGTGGGGTTATTAGTGGGGTTATTAGTGGGGTTATTAGTGGGGTTATTAGTGGGGTTATTAGTGGGGTTATTAGTGGGGTTATTAGTGGGGTTATTAGTGGGGTTATTAGTAGGGTTATTAGTGTCTTCCCCAAAAGGTTAATAAATATTGTCTGTATCTTCATCTTATGGATAAATATAATAATTGTAGCCTCACTTACTCAGCATGAGAAAAATTGAGAACCAATCAAATATGTTCCAGTAGTCAGACGTGTACAAACTCGCAGATTTGCTGAAATTAATTTATATTTATCTAATATATATATATAGATATAGAAATTTTATTCAGTAAATCAAATCAATTTCCTCAATCGAAATCTAAGGTGGCGCAGTATCATTTATGGCCTCATGTATCATACGACTCTTAAGATGGCATATTACACAGTTTGGAATTTGTTGGTTATGCTTACAGAGATCGAGCACATAAAGGAATACTTAGATGTTATAAAATATGATACAAATATTTATTATCTAGTCAAATTATGTAATTTTAAGATTTTATACCGGACAAGCTCTTGTTCATTGTGCAAATATTCTTTTTCCTCTTCTGACAGTAGCTCGAGATACTTAAACTCCATTTCAAGTTGCTTCAACCGCTGCATCACAAAGTTTTTGTGTCTCCTCATGTTTGTTCTCATTTCTCTTGCTTCATCGAATGCCTATTAATATTATTATTGATAAGACAGTTTATTAAAATTGGTGGAATTTAAAAAAGAAACATGAAACTTGTGAAGCAACTTAATTAATTAATTACTCTACTGTACGTGCGGTTTCCAAATAAACTTTTGAACATCATCAGTGCGTACTAGAAAAGGTCCAAAATCTTCTGGTCGATGATCAAATGCAGTCGATAAAACATTATTTAATAAACGAACAGTTCTTACTACTGCACATACCTGGTAGAAAAAGAACATTACTGTCAGAATTTCGTTAGCAATCTCAACGTATTGTATTCCTTTATCATTGTGACCATCATCATCCTCTGAAATGAGTTTGTAGATTCTGTTCTGCTTTATCAGTTTATGTTGCACCATGTGCCTCACACGAGTATCTATAGGACATACTAGACCTTGTTATCATCGGATAGATTGGCGCCATCTGATCCGTTAGCAAAAACGTTTTATCATTAATTATTGTTATGCAAAAGAATCGGCCGAATCTTCAAACTATAAGCTTACCGAGCCGAATGGGGTTGAAAAGACAAAGCAAACTCCAATTTATCAGCACAATGACGTATGCAGCCAGTTCTTTGATGTATCCTGCAACAATATTTTAAAGGTTTGTCTCTTATAAAATATCTAAAGATGAAAGTGCATAAAAAAGCGCTTTTTCAGAGATTGAAACTTTGATTTAGACCGAATTCTAAATTATAGAAATACCTCTTCTTCCAAACTGCCTCCACTTAACGTCTATGATTTTCTGTATCATCTCGTGTTTTACGATCTCCAGGTTAGAGCTTCCTGCTCTGACGGTTTCTTCCAGCACAGTAAACGTGGTCTTGGCACACTGAAACGAATTGTATGACTACAGGCTACTACAGTACTAGTTACATACTTCAATGTCCTTCAAAATTTCAAAATAAATTCATCCGTGGAAAAGATTCGAAAAAGAATTGATTGCCATTCTCCATTTCCATTTCGAGCAAGGATAGATCGCCTAAAGTAAGTATAAACACCAACTCTGTTATTGATCCTCCAGAATTACAACTTATTAACTTCTTCTTCTGGCAGGTGGTCATTTACTTTTTACTTTGGTCAAAATAAGCTACACTTTTTTTTACAAAACCGTTAAAGTTGCATGTGAAATTATAATTTCTAATTTCTAAGAATCTCGTGACACCTTCATATTGAATCACTGAAAAACGGTTCATAGTAACAACATGAAGTAATTAATCCCAAATGTTGACATCCATCAACAAAATTAACAAGATTCTCGTTTAAATGTTATGCCTATCGTAACGTATATTTGAACAATTATAATACATATAATATACATGTAATATATAATCCTCGATTAAACATTTCTCTTGTATTTTCAACTGTACATTTTTATCCATGGATGATGGATCAAGGATCCCAGGTCGATCCTCCGATTGGGGTCCGCCTCAAGGCACATTTCAATAAAGTTCACTCCTTGACTGCTGAGAGTCTTCTTGTCAACCTTCCACTGCAGGGATTCGAACTCTAGAACATCCTTCTTAGTATTAAATGGACAGTGTCCCGTAAATAACACGTAGGCAAGACACCCGATGGACCACACACAAGCCGGAAATGGATCGTAGCACTTAAAGTGGTAGTACTCTGGAGGTAGATAAACGTCCGTCCCTTGGTAACTTCTGTAGGAGTCTGTTGTGAGGATCGATGCGGATCCAAAGTCAATGAGTTTGATCTGCCTTGTTTTATAATTGTACAGAATATTTTCGTCTTTGATATCCCTGTGATCCACCCCTTGCTGAGCCAGGTAGTATGCAGCTTCGATAATTTGACTGATAACGTTTGCAGCATCTTTTGAATTAAAACGACCATTCACCTCTACAAAATGAAACAAATCATAAGCGTCAGGATCATAGTCTGTGACAAGGTACCAATGTCCAGTGAAGCTCTCGTAAAATACATCGTTGAGGGAAAGGATGAGAGGGTGAGAAAGGGGCATCCAAAGTGCAACTTCGTCGGGCACATCGCAATCACGAGTAGGGCAATAAGTTTTACGCCTGCACTTCGCTTCAGATACAATCTTAACGGCACTCATCTTAGCGGGCCGCTGCTTCTCCTCACATGCCCACACCATACCGTAACCACCGCTCCCAAGATGTTTTCTTAGGTTGTAGTAACTGTAGAATGATTCGTCGGTCATATGGCTCGGAGTCGAGACCCCTAGAAGTCCTGATTTTCTTCTCGTGTTCATCGTTGACGACAACGCAACAGTAGATTTGAGTAACGCTAGATGGACAAACGATTATAATTTCGGATGCAAAAGTAGTAATACGAAATAACGATAACTGTATACATCTTTATACACTGGTAAATAAGGCGTGGAATGCTCATTGGGTAATTAACGGTTCAAATTCATCGGACTTTACGTGCAATTGGATCCAATGATAAAATACTTCCCATCTTAAGCCCACAAGTAGTTAAGTTAGGTAATGAAGTTTGACAGTCTTAATTAGCTAATCAGCTAGATTTCCAGCCCGACGGATCGGATTACGGTGGCTTAAGTGTGAAACGTGGCCTTAAAATTGCAGTGTAACAATTACTTGTGATAAAATGCCTCATTATTGTAATGGCCAATTAATACTACATTCATCAGTGATGGTGAAAAAGATAATGGCTGGATATTCATGGATAATTAGGAGCGAGAGAAATCTGATGCGTCATGCGTAATCTCATGTTGTGTCAGACGTCAGTCTTGATAGCATCGACCCGATCAATCAACGATTTAGAATTAGCGGCAACAGAGATCTCTGATAATAATTAGCCTTATTAATTCCACTCGAAACGCTAGGAAATTTGATAATATTTTCCTTAAAACTTATTTTGACCGTAGAATCGATTAAAAGTTATCCGGTAATGATTGGATCGATTTTAATGGGTATTTTGATTGGCTGACTAATTCTAATTCCGTAGTTTAAAGAAAGTTAGTTGTGGCTTGCACCCTAGGTAAACCAATACATACAGAGTCATTGCAGAGAGTGACTGGTTCTAGAAACTGGAGGGAGTAGTACTGTTTCCTGTTCCTCAAATCCTTCTCAACACACTGATCCAAAGCCTGAAATGTTGTCATGGTCAATTCTTAAAATCAAAATGTGCTTTTAGAATTTTCCTAGAAAGCACTAATCAACTGTAACTTCAATTTGCTGACTAATTATCAAATTCTATGATGATGACCAACCTTGATTGCAAGCGGAGGGCATTTGTCCACCATAGCACTGATTCCGTACATTCCAGTAAAGTCGATGGCATAAACCTTAGCTCCACATTCCAACAACATGGCACCTGCACTCATCCTGCCCAGTTCTGCAGCCAGTAACAGGGGCGTTCGTCCTCTGTAGTCCCTACAGATAAACGGATAATAGGAGTAGGATATCATTCAGATCATTGGAAGTGGGTTCTTGGAAATCATTCGGATTATGGTGGTGTTTTTTAGACTTATTGATCAGTTCATCTTATGAAAATTTAAAAAGTCGAATTTCTAGCTATATGATTGACCAATTGTTATGAGCATAATATCAGCCCCTCAAAGTATTATGCTGACTCGTACTGATACTTCCGAGAGGCTTCTATTTAGTTCAAATGATGAAAAGTTAAGATGTGTACCCTATCCGATGTTAATCAATTATCTAATTAAAATTACCTGGCTTCAATATCAGAGCCCATCTCGACTAGCTTCTTCACCGAGCTAGGAGAATTATACCGAGCAGCGTAATGTAGAGCGGTCTGGAGCATGTAAAAGTTAGTGGACTCCAGTAAACCTCCATTACTTGCCAAGATCTCTACAACAGCAGAGTTGTTGAAGGCAGCTGCTACGTGCAGTGGGGTCACACTATAGTCACTTTCTGTGAAAAGTGAAGCTTTAAAAAATGAATTCATCCACAAAAAATATCGCTACTAATCTAACAAATACCTAAGTAGAATTCCAAGTTCTATGAAGAACAGAAATCAAGAAGCGCTCTCGACAATCATGCTAATTCTGTAACCTTACTATGACAAATGTTCAAGTTTGCTCATGCCTAGCTCATTCTTACAGAATCAAATTACTTCAATCGATCCGTATACTGAATGGTCATTTTCCATTTTGTTTCAAAACCGAGCGACTATCGGAACCGTTGCGTCTAGACAGTAGACATTGAATATTTAAGTCTGTTCATTTTTTGGGCCGCTGTGGCTTTACTAAGAGTTGTAGTCTAGACAGCCTGTTGTATATTATATATGAGGCATGTCACGAAACGGCAATAAAGGCAATCTATACCGTATTGCACGAATTGTAAGTACAGACTTTTTCATCTTTTACCAACCTAAATTAAGATTAACGTTGTGTTTGAGAAAAAAATAACAAATTTCAGCATCGTGATAGCGAGCTACTTCGTGCATGATATTCTGTCCCTGGTCATCACAGGCATGTATGTCAGCTCCATCCTGGATCATCTTCTTTATCATTGACAAGTTGGCTTTTACCTGAGTGGGCGAGGGGTTATTACTGGTTAGTGGTTAGGTTATAAAGGTACAAGTAGGAGACCGACCAGAACTGATAATCATTGTCACCAGGGGTGACAATGATTATCAGTTCTGGTCGGTCTGTATAAAGGGGCCAGTATGTGAAAGAGGAAGAGTTGACGAAAGTGGTTATAGTGATAAGGCAGCCACTGGAACAACCTCATGTCAACTCTAAGTTGGTTTAACCCAATAGTTATCAATCTGATAAGAAAGTACTCACTGTCTCCTCTACTTTAGTAGTTAAAGCCAAATCTCTAAAGTAATACAACAGCTGCAGCTGAGGATGCTCCTTGTACTTCTCGTGGAGTTTCAGGGTCACTCGGTCTCGTTTGATATCTTTTGTGCTAAGGAACTTTGAGATGCACCACCATTCAAACCTTCTATACGACCTTGAGGGCCACGTCAACAAATCCCATAAGTGCTTGAATTTCTTTGGTAAGCCGTGTTTCGGACCTTCCTGAAAAAAGAGGTTTTGTAATGAAGTGTTCACTGAGTTTTATCTACGTCCATGGAGCTGCGTAAATCGTACTCAGATATTGGTAATTCAAGATTTAGCAAGTTAGAAATGGTGACGGTTCTTGCTACCTTTATTTTGGGTGATGCCTTCGTCATAAACTCTTGTTGAAATGAGTCCGCTTCGACCGTTTGGTCTTCCTCAAATTCCATACCGTGGCAATATACTAATGTAACTTATATAATTAGCTACTACTACTACTGTACTACTAGGTTAATTATTAAAGCCTCAAGTCAATAACCTAGGTACATAAATGATATAATGTCCATCGCGGTTAGTTTTAAAATTTTAGAAATCTTTGACATGTTTTTATCAAAATTTTGTCACTGTCAGCGTGTGCCTAAAATCACTTTTTGGCCTATAACTAAAAAATTAGGTATTTTGTCATTGTGGCAATTGGCATAATATGTTATTTCATATGTTGTGGATAAATGTGGCCAGTGCGGTTAATTTGAGCCTATCCAAAAGTCTCTAAAATGTTCAGAAGCTGAGATAACTACATAATATATATAAATATAACACGGGTGTGGCCAAAAAGGCGATTCTCCCAGTCTGAATTAATTTTGGATCTTTAGAACTTTTGGACAAATATCAAAGACTCAGGTCAATTATTAAAACAGGCATATATCAAATGTATCAACATTATTGGCATTGCCAATTGAAAGATTTAAAACTTTCAACCTCAAATTTATAAAAATAGCTGTAAAACCAAATTTAGTGCCAACGTAACAATACAAGTTTTTGACAATTTGTTCGGATGATGATTAATCACTCTACACTCGACTGTCACGTGACTTTTTCAACCCGTTCTCAAGCTGGTCCTGAACGACTATTCGAAACCCTAACCCTTTAATCTGATCCCAACCCTAACCCTAACCCAATCCTTAACAAAAGCATATACTGAAACCGTAACCCTAACGAGAAATTAGACTAACTTCCTTATACGGTCATATCACGTGATTGAGACAGTTTTTCGCCAATATCTCGTCAGGGGATTATTTTAACCCTATGTCATGGGAGGGGGGGGGGGGGGTGACTCGGAATCAGCGTCCGAAAATACAACGAATGAAGTTGGTCTCAACTGTCGGGGGCCCTTTTAGAACAATCTCGAAGATCGACTGTACTTGTACTTGTAGAGTGATTTAGCACGCTCGAATTTGTTCAGTAGATTGAGGCAGGTTTGTGATGGTGAGTTTGTTTCCATAATTGGCGGAATTCCATTCCCCCCCCCCCCACCCTTACATAATCCTGTGCTCCCTAATAAATGGAGACTTATAATCAATGACCCTCAAGAAAAGAAATTGAAATTGAGTCACTTTAGTTATGATTAGATATATTATATTTATAGTTACATTTAGATGATATTATAGTTTGCAGGAATTTTAGCTTATACACACAATGAGTAGGAATCTAATGTTTAGTTGTAAAGTTATAGTACGAATATTGAATACTCTGCCTTGATTATGCTCATTGCTCACAACTAGCCCCATTCATCATGCCCATCAAAACTTCTATGAGGGTTATTCTAGATTTATATATTTTGCATTTCCAGGAAACTCAATGTAAGATATTAATCTTATAAGTTAATAATTGTATTAAACTCAACAATCGTGTAATGCAACGTTATATTCTACGCTGCTGAATAATCTAACATAAAAGTGCTAAAAGGCTGCAAATTTGGCAAATTAAATTGTTCAAATTAATTGCGGTGTTTTGTAATTTGGAATCGCACTATTTGCAAAAACACCTACATGTTGCCTCTGATTTCTAATAACACGATAAGAAGCAAACAGGCTCGCAGCACTAGATTAGAATGTATCGGAAACAAATGAAAGTATTAGTGGTACCTCCAGGTGTTACCTCGGTAAAATATTACTAGCATAGTGAGCTCAAGTCAGTCACAGCTGTGTGAATATTAATTCAACTTCACAAAGTTACTTGGTATATTTTAGTACAGCGCACATGTAAAGGTACTGAATACTGATGACCATCATTGCGTAATTTCATGTTCATTGTTCAATTACGTAAAAAATAACTATTTCTTGGCGCCATATCGATCGGCTCTGTAATGTGGTTTATGTACACTTAATATACGTAAGGTTAATTGCTTCATGGCAAGCTACTTTGAAGTAGAGCGATCATGAAATTCACGGTATAATCCAAATTGAAAAAAATTTAAAGTTTATTTACAGTTTTAATAATTATAAGTATGTAAGTAATGAAAATAGTCTGGTCATTTATACACCTAGGCCTGCATTTCATAGTAGAGGGTTGAATATTTTTAGGGCCTTTCCAAGGTCTGTAGAATTAAAAATTCTAGCCCAAATATTCAGACTTGAAAAATCGACCTTTTGGCCACGCCAAAACATCGTAGAGACTTTCCGATAGGTTCCAATTAACTGAAATGGCCACATATATGTAGACCTTGAAAAAATAAGCAGGTCTGGTCTAAGTCGTTATTTCACCATGAAACTAAAGCTGTCTCTGATTCCAAAATTAAATAAATCCATCCAAGCTCGAACTCCACTCAGAATACCAAACCCGCGACTCTTCTTCTGACTATCCCATCTAGTTATTCAGTTAAATTACACGCATATGTTATGTAAGCTTCTTTGTTAACAAAAGCTTTTACGATTCAAAGGGAACATTGCAGAATCTTGAGGTTCGCAGAGACCTTTTGACGACATACGTATTGTCTTATTGCCTTGAGTTTCCTCTGGATCATCCTCATTGAGTACTTGCTTATGCTAATTTTACCTTTTACACCGTTCACACGAACATAATCAGTTGATCGGCATTGATCATTAATTTGAATATGTTGTTAATAATGATTCCTTTTTAATCGCTTGTTTTGTTTAAGCAAATTTTTCGGGCACTTATGCACTTAATTGTTCTCATGATAAATCGAACGTCACTGATCGAGAGACGTGAGTCATTGCACTTGATAGTTGAAACTTACACTAAGATGACATATAATTTGCAGTCACTAACTCTCTAACATGTTTTTATAAAAAGTTGGACAATGGAGAATGGAGAGGACCCAAATTATACAGCCCGCCACCATGAAAAGCAGGTAAACATTTCATTTGTTCATATCTCACCAGACTATAAGAAAAAATTACAAAATATTTACCTGAGCATCACCTCCTGCATTATTAGATGATCTCTTCAAATCCTCGTCTGGCTTCTCCACGAAAAAGTCTGCCATAGTCAGACAAAAAACGGTTGGCTTATAATAACTTCAGCAATTATAAACGTGTAAACACTAGAGTTGACATATTATCACTACTTTTGGGGTGTCAGTGAGAATAATTCGGCAAGTGAGAAACATAGTAAATATAATTCCCTCGCAAGATAATTGCAAAAAAACTCAACAAATTTACAATCGAATGGTTGAACAAAAAACAAAATGGTTAATGTTGTAATCAAACTCGAAATAAACTAGGTGTCAACTCAAGTAAGGACAAAGGATATAACTATTGAAATATGTTTTTAGTCTAGTCTATATCACTAGCAAACAATGTTTAAGATAAATATGACGAACTACAACACAGGATATCGAGAAAGTGTAAAACACACATAACGCATAAGGATAAAGGATATACAGTCACTAGTCAGTGTAATTAAAGCAAAGAAAATGAATAAACCGTATAATCACATATGGTTTTTACGCAATAGCTCAATTAACAAAAGTCGGAAAACCCCCCAAAAATATCACGCACATTTTTGAACATTACAACTACTACTACCTTACTACTACTATTACTACTACTACTACTACTATTACTACTACTACTACTACTACTACTACTACTACTACTACTACTACTACTACAAGGTCAGAACTAAGTCCTATCTACGCCAGATGCAACTATAGAACATAATGTACACACACATCCAAACGAGTGTATCAGGATTACGAGGATGGAGCGTGGAGAGAGAAAGGTTGTGTATAAGATCAGGGTCAGAGACAAAAGATACACCTCACCGGATAGCAGGGACGTGATGGTGCTGTTATACAGTGTCAGGGTGTGAGTCATCCTGTGATCACAGTCACATTAAACAATAAACTAATAAAAATAGACTAGTGTTATGCATAATACATTCAGCCTGTTCTCAATTTGTTTGGAACTGGTCTGAAGAATTACACAACTACTTATAGCTTTATAGGTAAACCAGCTAGAAATGAGGAAAAGGCTTTTCGTGAATAAATTGTCACGATTCCACCATCATTGATCGGTACTTTAACAAATGTTAAAAATCAAAAATTTTACAAAACTGATTCTAATACTGGACATTAAGCGAAATCACTGTCACTGTCACATGCCCTTGTTAGAGCCAAAATGAATTGATTAAAACACTTCATTAAGAATAAACAATTCCTTATAAAAACCGCAAGAATGTTTGTCTCTGGTTCCTTTTTGATGTCTGCTTTTGATGCTAACTCACACATATCATGCGACCACTAGTGCCGAGTGTGCGATTAATAATTACTCAGGGACAGGGACAGGGACAGGGACAGGGACAGGGACAGGGACAGGGACAGGGACAGGGACAGGGACAGGGACAGGGACAGGGACAGGGACAGGGACAGGGACAGGGACAGGGACAGGGACAGGGACAGGGACAGGGACAGGGACAGGGACAGGGACAGGGACAGGGACAGGGACAGGGACAGGGACAGGGACAGGGACAGGGACAGGGACAGGGACAGGGACAGGGACAGGGACAGGGACAGGGACAGGGACAGGGACAGGGACAGGGACAGGGACAGGGACAGGGACAGGGACAGGGACAGGGACAGGGACAGGGACAGGGACAGGGACAGGGACAGGGACAGGGACAGGGACAGGGACAGGGACAGGGACAGGGACAGGGACAGGGACAGGGACAGGGACAGGGACAGGGACAGGGACAGGGACAGGGACAGGGACAGGGACAGGGACAGGGACAGGGACAGGGACAGGGACAGGGACAGGGTGACATGATATTGAGATAATCTTGGCCGATGGGGGCCGATGGAAATAAAAATTTTGATATAATTTAGTCCGATGATAGAAATTGAAATTGACCAAAAAAAAATTGACCAAAAAAGTAGTCATATCCTGGACAATAAGTTCGAAATGGAATACTTTTGGGGAAAATTGTCAACAGATTTTGACTTTGACTTGGACGGAAGACTTATTCGTACAGACATTAAAATAAACGCTAGGCAGGGCATCCACCGTCCAATTAAATTGTGTTCAAATAACGTCCGATAAGGCTAGGTATGATTGAAACTGTCACTTGTTAATTAATCCAGCAGGTGGTCTTGTTACTTCATATTATAAATCAGTAATCGAAGATCTATCGGAAGTCGTTCAGGACAGTGTTAACCTAATTTCGGATTCGGACAAAGGTCACTGTCGGACAAGAGTAACCCAATCCATAATTTTTAGTCCTTTGAACTTATTTCCATGATGATAATTGTACATATTGAATATGATACGACTATATTTTCATTAATTTTAGACAATCGATTAATATTTAATGTGGTTTAGATGAGCAAAGTTTCCAAATTCTAATTCGCAGTGTCTAGTGCTCTAGTGCAATTATATAAATGATAAAGCATCAGGGTGACATGATATTGAGATAATCTTGGCCGATGGAAATAAAAATGTTGATATAATTTAGTCCGATGATAGATATTGAAATTGACCAAAATTAAAAAGTATTCATATCCTGGACAATAAGTTCGAAATGGAATACTTTTGGGGAAAATTGTCAACAGACTTTGACTTTGACTTGGACGGAAGACTTATTCGTACAGACATTAAAATGAACGCTAGGCAGGGCATCCACCGTCCAATTAAATTGTGTTCAAATAACGTCCGATAAGGCTAGGTATGATTGAAACTGTCACTTGTTAATTAATCCAGCAGGTGGTCTTGTTACTTCATATTATAAATCAGTAATCGAAGATCTATCGGAAGTCGTTCATGACAGTGTTAACCTAATTTCGGATTCGGACAAAGGTCACTGTCGGACAAGAGTAACCCAATCCATAATTTTTAGTCCTTTGAACTTATTTCCATGATGATAATTGTACATATTGAATATGATACGACTATCTTTTCATTAATTTTAGACAATCAATTAATATTTAATGTGGTTTAGATGAGCAAAGTTTCCAAATTCTAATTCGCAGTGTCTAGTGCTCTAGTGCAATTATATAAATGATAAAGCATCATGTCCTACTAGTACTACTATTGAACAACATTGAAATGAATCGTTCCTCGATCCACAGCTGAATCAATTATTCTAGTCGCTAACCGTAAGCCGTAAATAAAATAAAAGTTCGCGTTTTATTTGTCCAATTTAATTGATAATTAATTTTTTCTGCTGTTTGCAAAATTATGATGGAAAGTTTTATCAAATCGTGTTTGTACTTATAACGGATGTTTTCTTTGGTAACACAGAAAAATATCTTACATGCAAATTGTAAGCTATTCTTAATCATAGTAGCATAATCAGGACACGCCTTCGTAAGCTAATTAAGGCCATGACGTCCAATCAGAATTGCTTTTATAGAACTTCTGTCGTTATACTGCCACCATTACTGTCTTATTCGATTCCCTTTCTCGAATATTGAACGGTATACTACATCTTAACCTGGGGACCTCAGGCTATATTGTTCATAAATATATGATTATAAACAGAGAATTCCGCCGAATAGAGATTCGGCGGAATGACAGGCTGAGCGTCGCCCAGTAAACTAAATTTATAAGCTGGTCAGTACAGTCATCATAATATTCTGTTGTCCTCTCTAGATTCAAAGTTTTTTGAGTTTTTTTTCTTACCCGCCAATTCGGAGTACATATTATAGTGAATGTAATTTTTGTCTTATTCAATACCTGTTGGTTAATTTCTTCAAATATAGAATATTGAACTTCATTGTACAATCTACATCTAAAGCTGGCAAATTCAGAGAAAAAAATCATCATAAGCCTATACATTGAATAATATTGAAATATACTTATCTACATCACGATGAAATAAGCGAGCATCATGAATAAAGTGCATATATCGCTACTCCGTGCCCATCGAATATGTATTTAATATAGCAAAACTAATGTCAAGCTAGTGAACAGGTATTTGTGACCTGTATTAAAAGTTCACTGTTCACTAGCTTAACATTGGAATAGTAATACGTGCAATTTATTCATGATGCTCGCTTATTTCAACCGGCCTTCATTTTATTGATTTTCTGAGCAGTTTAGTCGCGATTTACGTATGATGCTAACTTAGGTCTGGAATTTGGGTACACTCTTTTATTTTCTTGACTACATTAGCTGTGAGCTTTGAAATCATCGCTAATTTGTTTTTGAGTTATTATATTGTCTAACATTTACTCCTGACAATTGACGTTGGTACACGCTAAATCAATTCGGGGATGGCGGATTTCTTTGCTGAGAAGCCTCTGTTCATGGAGAAGCAGAATGACAACCCTTTGGTTATGCAGGTTAAGAGTACAACACTTACTTTTTATATTTTTATTCCCCACAACCTGACGTACTTTATCAAATGGGAGGGTCTCGTAGCCGTAAATATATTTGTTTGATGATTTAGATTCGAGTAAGCTATACCGACCGTACTCAGCTCCTATAGAGTATAGTAGTACGGTCTTACGGTCAACAACTTTGGGGTATCCGGAACTGTAAAGTGTAGAGTGCCGAGGAGGATTAGAAAGAGGCTTATCTAATATTCTAAACTCTCGACCAAGGGTTATTTGGTAAATAACTGGCATGAGACTTTCAAGTTTCATCAAAGTCTTATCAACAAAATGGAGACAAACACGATACAATTATTTTGATATCGATTTGATACGAGTAAAAAAAATGTATACTTAAAAATAACGCAATCTTATGCAATTTTGACCGTGACAATTAATTTTAATTTTATACATAATATTGATGACGTTATTGTTTTTAACGCGTTAAATAGTCCAACAATAATTAGCTTCACGTTTAGCTAGGATCTAAGACCGGATCACGTTTTGCGGTCTGTCTCAGTATGCGGTACGTGCCGTCTAGCTAGGATGAAAGACCCGGTCACGCTCTGCAGTTTGTCTGCCGCACGTGCTGTTTGGCTCAAGCTGAAACGATCACGACCGCATCACGTAGGTACTAAGAGAGTACCGTCTAGTAGTAGCTAGAACGGAAACTCCATCTCATAATTGATTACGTGACGCGTTACGTGCCGTTTAGGTAGGGTCTTATAATGCCGACAAAAAAATGTTCAAAATGTTCAAAAAACTTCAAAATTAAACCTATTTTAGCAGTTCTTGGCAAATTTTACCGTGAAAATTTACTTAAAACTACTTAAAACTTAAAGTGATTTTAAATCAAGCTAACTACCTTATATGGTCATATCACGTAATCGAGGCAGTTTTTCGCCGATATCTCGATAGGGGAGCATTTTAACCCAATGTCAGCTGATGGGGCGATTCGGAATCAGCGTTAAAAATACATCTATTCAAGCTGTTTTCAGCTGTCGAAGGCCCTTTTAAAAACATCTCGAAGATCGAGTGTGGAGTGAATTTAGCACGCTCGTTTAATTAATAATTCACTCGCCTGTCACGTGATCTGGTTTTATACTGTTTTGTAACCGAAAGAAACGGTTTCACCCTAACCTGAGCTGTGAACAATCGAATTCGTGTTTTACTATCCTGTCAGGTAACCAAGACAGTTTTTGGTCAACTTCTCAGGAAAGCCTTTTAACACTATGAAGCTGAAGCGTGTTTTGGAATCAGCATAAAAAATACATATAAGTGCGGTGGGTGCGGAATCGTACTATTGATATAAAACCGCACTTTTCCTCACCATTGGCCGATATTCGTTCTATCAGATCGGTGCACAATACTGATAGAATACTGCAGCGGTGCACAAAAACAAACACTTAAAGTTTCCCTCAACAGATTGAAATTGAGTCAATAATTAAATTACGTTTAGATAATATAATTTGCAGGCATTTTAGCTTGAACACACAATATAGTGTTGGAATCTATAATGTTGTAAAATAAAATTACAACATTGTATACCCTTCCTTAGTTATGCTCATCGCACTCATTTAATTGTAAAAGCTTCTATGACTATGAGGGTAATTCTACAATTTTACCTCATGAATTTCCAAGAAAGTCGGCGCTAACTTTGTAAGTTATTTGATGTGTTACACTAAACAAGATCGTGCAGTACAATATTTTTGAATCGAATCTGTTCAACTATCCCACAAGCCTTCTTTGCATCATGAATCGTCTTCATACAAGAGGACATTTTCCCTGTTTACTAAACCAACTTCTGTTAAAAAGTTTAGACGAAAACCCTTTTCCACAGAAGGAATTATAGGGGCCAACGTGTAAACTTTATCACTGCTGTTGATGCAAGTAATTGCAACTGTAAGTTATAACGGTTTAGTAATATTAAGTAAATACTCATATTTTATCGGGCAGGAGATATATAAAAGGTGATAAGATAATTTGTTGGTAACCGAAGCTTCTAAAAACACGTGATCAGCGTTTTCAGCTAGGGATGATGAATTCTTTCGAATGATAAATATTTTGTGATAATATTACTTTCCTTTTAATAATTTATTCTCTAAATTGTACGTGTAATAATGTAATTGCATACTTGTGACCAGTGAGAATAACATTAGTTTTTCTGTATATTAGTATTACGTGTTTCTAATTACGGAATAGCATTATTTGCACTTAATTCATGATGCTAACTGAACCATTCCTTATTTTATTAATTTTCTGTGCAGTGTAGTCGAGATTTAATGATGCATCTCATTTAGTAATTTGAGTATGCGTCGTGATTTTGCTGACTAGATTCTGTGAGTTTTGAAATCGTTGGCAATTTGCTTTCGTGTCATATAATTGCCGAAGTTTACTCTTGATATTGGTATACGCTGAATCAACTCGAAGATGGCGGATTTTTTCGCAGAAAAACCGCTGTTCATGCTGGAGAAAAAGAAAAGTACTGGGATGGCAATGGAGGTTAAGAGTACATAATTTATTTCGAAATACATTCCCCGATCTGAATACTAACTAGTCGTCATGATTGACCGATCTCTCAACCAATTTCTATAATTTACTCGCAGTATTTCCAAACGATTAAACTTTGCAACCCTTTAAGTTTCATATGCTCGACATAACATAGCACATTTACTGTTTTGTACTTTACTGTTTATGTGATTCAATATTTTCGTATCTTCCACTACCTTAAGAACGACAAATTTAGTCTACCATAAATTAGTTGTAGTGAACGGTGGATTTTGACGTATTGAACGCACGTTCCAGTCATTTTGTAGTGAACGTTATTGAACGTTTTTAGTGAACGTCAGTGATTATCAAAAACAAAAATTATGAAAATAAACTTTTTGAAATATTAATTTCCCCAACTGATAATTATTAATTTTCCCAAAATGAAGCAATACAATTTCGGTGCACAAAAGATTAAAATTAAAAGGGTAATATTATTATCAATAATTTATAAGGTAAAAAAGGGTAATATTGTATCGTATCGTATATAAATTGTAGTAGTATTTATGTTACTGAAGGTACTACACGTACTCAAGTTCGACACGCACTCTAGTAGTAGTTCGACACGTACTGTAGTTCGACAAGCCCTCAGGTTTGACTCTGTCGAACCAAAGCGCGCTTTGAAATCTCCGGTCTCAAGCAACGATCCTTTACGAGCTTGTAATCTATTCGTTTGTTTGCTTTCTACTTGTCTCATGCTGTTCAATTATGTGTGAATGTAATCTCTATAATCCATATTCCATATCTCTGAACATTTAATTGTCCTCATACTCGTAAGTTAATTGTTAGTTAGCAGAATTGTAGACTTAGCGGAGAGATAAAAGACTAACGTAGTAACTCGTACTCCGTTTTATAGATCTAGATTGTTGAGTACGCTATATAAATATCAACCACATACCATACTTTATATTATCACAAACGACTAGTAACCGAGTACCGGTCTAGACTCTAGAGATTTGGCTGCTGAATCGAAAATAGTCGGATATCAATCTATTTCCTGATCATTTCCTGTCAGCTAGTGACCAGAACTGAGTGGAAAACAGGAGAATTAAAACTATACTGGAAGGTTCTGGAATTTCTAGCCTCATGGTTGCTAGATGTCAGAAAATTTTTAAATCTGCCATTGAACCCTGTGATCCTAATCCTATAAATATAATGAGGACCTGGCAATAGCCATTGGGTCACAAGCAGAAACTATTTGTCGAACTAGAGTACGCTACCTGGACTCTAGTTCGACACGTACCGAAGTACGACAGGGGTGATATATGGCGAATTTAATTTGTCGAACTATAGTGCGTTTCGAACTAGAGTACGTGAATCGTACTGAACACCACTAGATATTTATCCATAACGTTCAGAACATGAGATGAGTTTTAGTGAACGGATGTACAGAAAATGTTTAGTGAACGTTCCGTACGTGCACTACAACTAAAATAAATTTAGTCAAACTTTTGACTAAAATTGTTGTAAACCAAATTTCATGTGACTAAATTTTTCGGCGACTAATTTTGAAGTAGACCAAAATTTTTGTAGAGCATATAATATGAGTTGATGTAATTGAAATTCCTGAGTAATGCATTGAAATTTAATCTGTAATGCTCAGACGTATGCTCACTGCTCATTGCTGAATCGATAGATAGCAGTTTATTTTAGAAATTGATTGTTTTATTTCTTTATTGCAACAAATCATTTAATTAACACGCCTAACGTTAAACGTCTGACTTATATGTGCGAAATTGAAAAAAAAAATAACTAGCTTAATAATGGAAAAATCAAATAAATGGAATGGAAAGTGGTCTCGAAAAGTCAAAAAATGCGAGTAAATTGTTGTAGACTAAAAATTTGCGAAATTTGTGCACAAAATTTTGGTAACCAAAATTATAATAACCAAATTTATTGTGACCCAAATTTGTTGGCCCTAAGGTATATATATATTGCTTAATTTTAAAATAATTTGTTTTGAGTAATTTTCATTTTTCGAACCCTCCATGCTCCAAACCTTTTAAGAACCCATATTTTTTTTGCAGAGGGGGCACTTCTTTAATATTGCTGATGAGCTTTAATTAGAGGATAAGAATAAAGAAGGATATGTAAAATTTATATATTATATATCACTATCACTATATAAATATTTCACAGAATTTCATCAAAAAAAATCTGGTATATCAAATATTTTTGGAGTATGAAGTAAAAATAAAGTCTTTCGATTTCTTTAGAGGCCAATCAGTCTTTAATTTGGACGAAAACCAAACGAGTAACGACTGTACACTTCCTAATGAATTAAACTGACTCTGATCAATAATCAGTGACAGTTAATAAATCCTCCCGGCGCGGATAAAAATTTTTCTGTAAAAGGCATTCGCTACCGAAATATATCGTTCATTTTTCTTTCATATTTCACAATTCTGCTACGAGCATATGTCCTAAATTAGTAAAAACTTAAATAGTAGTAAATGAATTTAGTTACAGAATTTTCTATCGTGTTGTTCCCAAATTGGTAGATAATAGATATGCAATTTATCAGCGCTTTCCAATGATGACCATGGATCCACGGTGTTTATTTTGTTATGTTTTTACTCGTACTAGAAGAATCGATGATCACAGCAAAATTTTGAAATTCTACAGCAAAAAATTTTATCAGATACGGTTGGTTGAATTCAAAAATTCTGCTCAATCAGTTTTCAACATCAAATTGTTGTTCACAGATCCCGCACTATATACTTAGCTTCAATTCCGAGATTTAGATATCAGATAACATCCAGTGATCCAACAACTGATCAGTCCCTCCAATCACCAGCAGCTCAGTCCAGTAAAGCCGATTAAGTCTTCACAAGGGCCCGGCTCTCACAGATAGGAGACATATGAAACTGAATCTTCCTCACGTAACGATGGTTGTTGCAATTACATGTCCGCTAGACGAGCGGAGGAGAGAGTGAACTGCGGCCACATATTATAGTCGGATCAGACAATCATCTGTTTCCATTACTGGTTAGCTTAGTTCGTCACTGTCTGTCTTGTTACTAGAGCTCCTTGTCTTGCTACCAGAGTTGAGTAGATATAATGGACCCATTCTTTGGAGAACATAATGTTCAGACGAAAACTAGAAAAAACGGGCCTCCTAATGCAAAAGAATTGGTACGCGTGTTTAATTGTATTGTATTCAGGCTGTATATTGTATAATAATGTATATGGCGACAAATATCGAAATTTTCCAATGACCATGAAGTCATCTAACAGTCAGAAAGCTTGTAAAGCTTAATTTTGTTCTGACATCAGCTACCCTCAGGATCCTAATGCAGCACCGAGGAAGCTCAAGTACTTGTGGCTGTTTGTTACCAGTCCCTCCCGAATGTACCGAAGGTTTGAGTGGTGGTGTATTTCCAAGTTTCTGGCAACAAAAGATGTAAAGAGGGAGCGGATAACCTTCAAGCTTCATGAAAAGTACAGGGAGAATCCCCAGCTAGCACTGTTGTACTATTTTCATGACTTGGCTAAGACCACCAAAACTGAGGACACAGTAAGTTACTGAGTTCATCTTTAAGATTTAAGAGGACAAGTTACTCTGATGTATTTCTCACTATAAGTATACCCAGTGTCTGGAATTTTAACGCGATAAATTCTGAATTTCAGCATCACCTTTTACTTACATAAACACCAACGGATAGAATAATTTCAGTATCTCAAAACTATAATTACAATCCCCAGATTAAAATGATAATGTGTTCAGGTGACAGCTGACCTATACGTGATAAAGAAGCTATTAAAGAACGGGGCGGACCCGCACGCCTGTGATGATGGCGGACAGAACATGATGCACGAAATAGCTCGGTACCACCGTGCTGAGATCTGCTACTTCTTTCTAGAGTACAAAATCAACATTAATCTAGGTAAGAGACTGAGTAGCTATGCTGGGATAAGTCATTTTTGCAAAGTTCAAATCTTTAATTGTCTACATCACGTTTACGTCCTTAACGTGCTAACATTTATAACGAGGAGACCAGATTGTCTCAGTCTACAAACCTAATGATATTCGCAGAGAACGACTATTGTGTGACCCCACTACACGTAGCAGCTGCCTTCAACAACTCTGCTGTAGTTGAGATTCTGGCTAATAACGGTGGTATCCTAGAATCAACAACCTTTTACATGCTCCAGACCCCTCTTCACTATGCAGCTAGATACGACTCCCCAAACTCGGTCAAGACGTTGGTAAAGATGGGTGCCAAGATCGAGGCTAGGTAGAATTATCAAAATGATTAATTTGATCGCTTCAATCACTTTAATTCGTTCTGTAGGTGGATGACTAAGAGTAAACTCATGTTTTATAATTTATCTTTTGTATCTACAGAGACTACCGAGGAAGAACGCCCCTGTTACTGGCAGCAGAACTGGGCAGAGTACAAGCAGGTGCCATGTTGCTGGAATGTGGAGCTAAGGTTTATGCCATCGACTTTACTGGAATGTACGGAATCAGTGCTATGGTGGACAAATGCCCTCCGCTTGCAATCAAGGTTTGATATTTCAAATTTTCACATTAACATATTTAACTAACATACTTTAACATTATTATTGTATAAGTTGTGACTGCAGGTACATTGTAAGGATTTAATGCGTAAGCCACTGCAATAAGCAATTGGATCAATCGAACGTTATCTCTCACATGATAAGGGAAGTCATAACGAATCAGTTGTGTTAAAATAACAAATTAAAATAACAACGTAAAATAACAACTTAAAATAACAACTTAAAATGATAACTTAAAATAATAACTTAAAATAAAAACCTCCAGGCTCTAGAAACTTGCGTGGAGAGGGATCTGAGGAGTAGAAAAGAGTACTATTCTTTACAGTTTCTTGAACCAACTACACTCTGTAATGACAACGTGAGTACAATGACCTTACAATGTGCACTGCCAAATAATAAAATTACACACAGTATACTTTCAAAATTTACTCTAATTAGGAAAAATACTATAACAAAAATATGCGGCCAACAAACAATAAGCCAAATATTAAACTTGAACCTTTTTGGCAGTGTGCCAAAACCACCTTTACTGTGCTGGAGGAGACAGTCAGAGCAGGAAGCGGGAACTTGGATATTGTAAAACATTCCATGATCCAGAAGATGATTGAGGTCAAGTGGTTACAGTTTGGGAGAAGAGGTATGGACGGTTTAAATTATGAGCATAAAGTGGTTGTGTTTATGTATTTTATAACTGTGTTTACTTGAACCGATAGTTCAAGCCCACTTTCGTAGTTGTGGCCGAAGGGGCATTTGGATAGTAGGTACTCATTGTGACAGAGATGTTTCACATATTACCGGAACCACATTTGAAAATGGTATCGGCTTCAAAACGTGGCTTCTGCAGGTAGTGAAATATGTGAACAGAACACATAGTAAATGAAGTAACACTAAGTGCAATAACTCTGCAGGGTACATTAAGGAACTGGCTGCCTACATCATAGTGTTAATTAACTGGAGTTTGTTGTGTCTCTTCAACCCTATCCGACTTCGTAAGTTTCTGACAAATTAGTGCGTTTCTTATATCGCAAAGTGTTCAACTAATGTGAATAAGAAAAAGGATACTTTCGGATAAAGCGAATGAAACATAATAATCCAACTGAAAGTTTCATGTGTATTGTGTAAAGCAATCCTCAGGGACATATAAAGTTTCTTAAATAAAGTTTCTTAATTTCAGCGGAGGATATGAAAAACAAAGTCATTGACCCAGGTATTCAGAGGGTAGAGATTGCTAACGAAATACTGACAGTCCTCTTTTTCTTCTATCAGGTAAATGTTATATCCAATAATCAATATTAATTAAATAATCAATTTATAAATGATTATTTAATGAAGCACTATAATTAGTGGTAATTAACTTTAAGCTCAATAAAACTAACTTAAACCTAACGTGATTTGTACAGAGGCCACGAAAATCGACCTATAGATGGAAGAATACAATTTGATCTTGATTTGATAATGCATCAATATGTGATAATAAATAACAGGTATTTGACGAATCAAGAGAAATGAGGACAAATATGAGAAGACACAGCCAATTTGTACTGCAGCGGATGAAGCAACTAGAAATGGAGTTTAAGTATCTTGAGCTACTGTCAGACGAAGAGAAGGAATATTTGCACAATGAACAAATATCCGTCAAGTAAGTGCATCACCTCTCCCTGGCCCTGACCAATAGCTATAATTGGTGTATAATCTCAAATAACGGAGCGCCTGTGCCGATATGTTACTTGACTTCCAATAAAAGTTTATTAGTTTTAAAGTAAAAATATGGGTTTTTGCAGGCATTCAAAAAGTGTGTACACAAACGACGCTTGGAATACATTTGACTGGTTTTCCATTGCTCTGATGTTTGGTAAGTACCACTCAACTCTGAATGAGTTTCTGCAGATGTAGCTGCAATGTTTGATATATCTGTTAATTAATTTGGAGACATCTGCGATACTATAAGGGTACAATGTACGAGTATAAACGCAAGGATCCTAACAAAAACCATGGCCCCAGTGACGATGGTAGTCCACTTCACGATCAAGTACGGTTTTCCAGACTACTTTGTTCAGAGAGGTATCCTGCTCTCAATTACCCTTGTTATTGTCTGGTTGAAGATGTTCAAATATTGTCGGGTCCTTAAAACTCTAGGTAAGTGCGGTAGTCTATTTTTGAAATTTCGTATTGTATTATGCTCTGTGTAAAGTATTTTGCAAACAAAATATATTACCTTATAAGGACTGATCAGTGATCAAATATTACTAGTATGTGGACTCTGGTCAAAAGCCCCTTATGTAAGTATGTACAATGTAGGGACCTTTACTGATAGTTGAAATTCGACATATGACGTCATCTAGCGTCATCTAGCGTCATCTAGCGTGAAATATCGCCAGATGATGATAGATGACGCTAGATGACGCTAGATGACGCTAGATGACGCCAATTAGCGACATTGTCGCTAAGTGCACGGCACCTTTCGAATGTCGCTATCTAGCGCTATCTAGCGCTATCTAGCGCTATCTAGCGCTATCTAGCGCTATATGACGCTATATGACGCTATATGACGCTAGATGACGCTAGATGACGTCATATGTCGAATTTCAACTATCAGTAAAGGTCCCAATGTAGGTGTGTCTTATAAAATATTAAAACTTATACTTTTCACAGGGCCATTTTGTGTCATCATCGCCTCCCTTCCGAAGGATTTCATGAAGATCGCTCTCGTGTACATCATTCTTTATGTACCCATGGTTGGTTTATATTTTTGACACTATAATATGGAAGTTTATTTTTAGCTGGAGGTGACTATCGTCTAGGTAAGTTCGTCGGGCTAAATGTTGGTCAAACCAAGAAAATTAAAATGGTTTTGAATCTTCACAAATCACGTCGTTTAGACGTGATTGGCTACCATTTACTGAAACGGCAGATGCAGAAATTACAGAAATTATCGCTTAAATGGGATTATAAGGCCATTTAGTTTTTTTTATTCCGACCTAACTGTCAGCCATTAAAGAGTCATGCATCCGGGTCGAAATTGAGACGTAATGGATATATTCCAATACCGAGGAAGCTATAAGCAGACTAAACTTTTTTAAAAGTATTGACTAAACTAAACTAAACTAAACTAAACTAAACTAAACTAAACTAAACTAAACTAAACTAAACTAAACTAAACTAAACTAAACTAAACTAAACTAAACTAAACTAAACTAAACTAAACTAAACTAAACTAAACTAAACTAAACTAAACTAAACTAAACTAAACTAAACTAAACTAAACTAAACTAAACTAAACTAAACTAAACTAAACTTAAGTTAAACCAAACCCCTTGACAGGTGTGTACTTTCTTCCATTTCTTCTGTGAACCATATGCTGATGAACTGAAATTGGAGGATGACTTTGATGAAACCCAATACGGCTCTCTTCCACAAACTTTCTTTACAGGTATTGTTAACTTATTGTTAAATTATTAGTAACTTACCGGTAACTTGTTGGTAACTTATTGCCAGTCATTTTTAACTGATACCTCTTTGGCAAACGCACGATCACATGTAATTGATACTAAAAATATTGGAGATCTTACAGTAATGATCAAACAAATTCAGAGTTTTCTTGAAAACTATTCAAACCTTTCCTCCTCAGTTTTTGTGTACACGCTAGTTGGAGATTATGGGTACGAAACTCTAAAACTTATCACTGCTCAACGAAAACAGTACTTCGCTTTCACGCAAATTATCATTGCTTACTGGATTTTAGTTTCTGCTGTACTGCTTCTCAACATCTTCATTGCTCTTATGTCAGGTGAATTTTAGTCGAGGAAAATTAATTTGGTTGTTTGTTTGAAGTTGAAGAAAATAATCTGATTGTTTCTCTTACGAATACGATGAATTATCTTTTAAAAATAACCATAAACAATCAGGCGTTCTTCTTCAGCTTTAAAATGGTCGCTGTAAAACTATATCATTACTAATACTATTAGTTACCAAACGTTGTCTGCCACTCGCTACGCCTGCCTGCATCCTTAATCTCCAATCTCCATGCGGCGGTCGGCCGTGCGTAGCAACACACCAACATAAATTAGAGGCGTAACAAATCATAATCAGCTAAGTAATAGCGCACAGGCTACAGATGCATCAGATTGATTGGAAATAATTGCATTCAGAATAAGGGTAAAAGATGTTGGCGTTATGATCATAAAGAAAAAGGTATCCACCCAAGCTATGATGAAACTATCCGTTTAGTATTAGAATTAGATCAAGTTACACTAAACTTAAAGTATAATAGCCTTTTCACATGACACAATTTACTGTCCCTCTCAGATACATTTGCGAGGGTGTATGAGAACGCCCAGGTCGTCTCGCAGTTTGAACGAGCAGCTATGATAGTGAGCATAGAAAACAAACTTCCCAGCTACTGGAGGAAACATCATCTAATAGGTAAAACACACCAGATCACTTCTATTTCATTTATGAATACAAGCTTTTTATGATTTAAGAAAGCCCGGCCTGCATTTTGCAATGTCTTTTTGCCGCTTCAACAAAAAAAATCAATCGCCTTATACTCATGAAAAAGATTTCCAAACTGAAACTATGCGTTAGCCTGCACTGCTAAAATTTGTTGATATGATTCCATTATATAAAACATTCTATTTTAGCCCTTTCCAATTCCATTTAATTCCAGATATATCGTACAACTACGCCCCCGTCTGTTCTTACTTTGATGACGATAGTGTACCAGAGTCTGAGGCGAGCTTTGAAGAAGAGGTCAGTTGATACATTTTCTTGTTGGGTATTAATATCTTCTAATCCTTTTTTGATTTTCCATAAATGAAGAATAAGATTTATAGAATTACAGATTATCAGTAACCGATGACCGCTCTCCAGTTAAAAGAATCCAGTGATACACTAAAGTCGCTCGTCACCAAAGCACAAGGGAAAAAGGAATCAGATATAATAAAGTTTGTGAAACAGAAGATACAGACCCAAAACGAACTTATTGGTGCCATCCTTGAGAAAATAGAAAGCAAGACTGAAGGCCAAACGTTAGTGAAGTAGATAGAGAAGTGATGAGTCTGCTGATTAAGTAATTATTGACCAATTAACAAAGAGAGTTGTTCCCTTTCAGTATAGGTTTTTGTTTGGAAAAAGTCCGGAATGATCCGGAATTGGAGATGTGAAAATGAATATTCTGCTCGGTACTGTCGTATTCTTCGTAGGTTGCATACTTTGTGGTAGGCCATGGATTGCTATGACTTCAATGCTGTATTCTCTGAACCTCTTAAGGCATGTTTTTCTGAGTATAAGTACGATTAGTCAGTATTGAGTATTGTAGACCACCTCCCTGCTACTGGAAGAGGAACAACTCTGTTGATTCTAGCAGGTCAAAGAGAAGACCAAGTAAAGCCAAAAAGGCTACGACAGAAGCTTCTCGCAGAACATCTCGCAGAGCCACTGTTACAGGCCTTGAGACCGCTGCTGCTGCTTCCAGTACAAACATCGTGGAACCCGCTGCCGAGGGAACTCCCCGGCTAGAGACAACTTTAACAAGGATCAGGCATGATACTGAAGAGACTGTGAGTAGTAGTGAGAGTCGTGAGACTGTTTATAGCCGCCAAGATAATTGTAAGAGTCAATGATGAATCCCAGTTTTTAGTTTAAATTGAATTTATTGTTGTCTTGCACGGATTAAGATATGAAAAAGAAATTGTAACTATTTTTAACTGAAATTTTGACGCAAGAAAAGATATTATTGAATACTAATCGCTAACACTTAAATTGCTAACACTGCATCGCTAAATTACAAAATTGATTTCTATCAAAACTATCGGCCAAACTTTAAACGATACTGGCCTTTAAATAAAAGGTATTTGCAAATTGTTAAGAGACACGCATTTCAAATCCTCCAATAATATAAGGAAGGTGTGCTGAAGATCCACTGCAATTGCAACTACAAGTCAAATCGTTGCTTTCGTATGGATTTGTTCTTTTTTAGTAGCTGTTTACTGTAAATTGACTGAATTCCTTTCCATTTCTATTTGTCTTTATTTACTGATCATCCAAGTCTTTTACTCGTCCCAAAACAAACACGTCCATGATCAGGAGTGGATCTCGAGCTGAACTTCTCGAAGCTTCTCGAAGCTTCCAAACACTCCTTCTTTAATCTGACATTTTCAAACTTATAACAACCTAACAAATAGTCAACCAAACTTTAAGTGATATTTCAACTTCACCCCAGCTTCACTGTCACGTGTGAAGTAAGAGTTAAGGTTAACTCCTGGGCGATTTAAGACTCTGAGACTTACTTAACAGTCCTCTGAATTTATTGACAGACGCAGGGGTAACCTGTGGTGGTTCTTCTGAATTAGTTTTGGAAATGTTTTTGGTAATTTTGGTAATGTTGGAAGGTGTAATATTGTCTTTTGTTGAAAAGAAGTCTTGAGCTTCACTTGTCTGCCTCGAAAAAGGGCTGGGAGTGTTGAGGTTCTTGGATTGACCGGACATTTGGTCTAACTTTTTGGAGATTTCGTCTATTTTTTCTGTTAAAGTCTTGACTTCGTTTAATACGTCCCTAAAGTGAGGTTAATGCAGATTTATTATGATAGGGATTGTGTAATAATGAATTGTATACGCCCGCTTTCAGTAAGATTCAACTATAAGATGGAAAATTCTAGATTCATGCAAGGTTAAATCATCAAAACCCAGGTAAAAATATCGGTGGTGGGTTTCTTTTTGCAGCAGGTGAAGACAAATTAACGAAGATAAGTCATGTATGCTTATATAGTACTTAGCGTGTAATTTCGAAGAGCTGCAGAGTTCCAACAAACTCTACATTTTATTAAAGAATTCTTACTCGTGCTGATGGTTCTCATGTTCAAGCTGTATCGTGACAACTGGTGAATCTCGGAGTATTTTCTCAGAGTAACTTCTCACTGCATTCCTTCCCATGATACAATCACAGTTGGACACAAATTGTGCTCTCTGTAAACTACACATAGCCATTGCTCCTTCTCCGAGACGTGTGTACCTGAAAAACAGTGTGTGTAAAGTGAAAAACAGTGTGTTACTAGAGACCTACAATGTATAGTATTAGTCTCAGCTACTCCAGCTACTCCAGCTACTCCAGAGTCGCGGTGTAGGTGGTTAGTCGGCAGAGAGCTCTAATCGGTCCAACTCTAAGAGCAACGTGTTTAATTCAGATGAGGCTTATTCATGAACAAACTGGACTCACGACATAATCTTAGGACACCTAGAAAATAGTATTGGCTCTTTTTGGTTCCCTGCCAATTCTGGCATGTAAACAAGCCTGAACTTTTAGATGGTTCAGTAGATCTCATTCACTAAAAATCTTGCTAATAGTAATAGCACTGCAAATATTTCTAACTAAAAACCCAAAGGTGGTTAATATAATTATATTCAAAATATGTGAAATATTTTACCGGTCAGTCATGAGAGCAATAAATAGGTTTAACATGATCATAGCTGAGAGAAGTAGCCACATGATTGATATAACATCCCACCAGGGTCCTATCTTAACCCTCTCTGCGGAACTCTTACCCATCTCGTAGTCGTAGTCTACTACCAACATTCTTAGTACTACGAATGGCACGTCGTACCTGGGAGGATCATGGGTTATTTTACTTAGCATTTTATATTTTCTACTCATTGTACTTATTTATTTACTTATCATTTAATATTTTCCACTCATTTTACTAATTCATTTACTTATTATTTTATATTTTCTACTGTTTTTAAATATTTATATACTTACCATTTAATATTTTCTACTTATTTTACTTATTGATTTACTCATTTGTAATTGGATAAAAGTTTAGAATCTGCTGTTTGTCAGTAGTCACTAGTCAGTACTATGGTTACTATGGTTACTCGTTACTTAAATAATTACCAAAATATGTGGTATCCAGCTTCGGCATGTGTGTAGATAGTTTTCCAGAATATAGCAGTCATGGGAATGAACAGCACCACGTACACAGAGAATACCTGGGCAACGTCTCTAACCACCTGACATGAGAGCATGTTAAGGTACAAGCTTCTTGATATAAAAGTATTAACACAAGAATTTGTTAGCATTTAGAATGAAAATGGTAGTTCTTAAACTATTTACTTTGTCGATTTAAGACAAAGTTTATAATAAGTTTTAAGATTAATAGACCTCGTTAGAATCAGGTAGAAATGGTAAAATAATAATCCTAATTCAAAATCCTGTCTATCCAGGCTATTAGAGTAGCTATACTAAAGCCAGAACAGCTGCTTTCCCCGTTCATTCTCAAAACCAGGTAAACAGTAAACATGTAGACCGTGACAGGTTGCTATAATTAAGGACCCTGCTGAATCAACAACCCTGGCATCTTGCCAACTGCTAAACATGAAGCTTATCAAGAAGCCCAGATCAAATCTCCCTTAGATACCAAGACCCCTGCTTCTGATTGCTGAACATGTACCCTGAATCAAAACACTGAACATATACCAGCCACCTCGCGCGTGAAGACGACAAATCTCCCCACACTCTTGGAGATGGAGCACGCTGCAAACAGCTGGATCCAGATCATTATCAGGAGGATCGATACCGCGATGTCGCTTACTGGGGGGAGGAGATCAGGATTAGTCATCACGGCACGAGTGATAAGACATACTTACAGGTGCAAACCAGAAGTAAAGGTAAATCTAGCTTATCCAGCTGATGTATTAGTAAGTAAGTTTAACAGAAGAGAGCAGATTCCAATTATTTTGTAACATAAATTTGAATGTCTCATGAATGGAACTTACCGATGAGGTACATAGAAGTCTCGCTCAAATAATTGTCAGCTTCAGGTTCTGTTTCATTCCCTTCACCTCCTTCTCCTTCGTCGTGATGGTCTGCGTCTCCTTGTAGAAACGCGTTTACCCTCATACCTGTGGCAAATACACGTGAATTAACATTCTAATATCAATTTTTACATTGCGAAATTATAAATTTTCGGTATAATCGCCCATAATACTTAGCTGTTCGTTAATAGCGAAATTAAATAATGGTCTGTCTAAATTATCGATAAATCTAAATTTCAAAATCGTGGTCATTACAATTCGACACTCCAGCTATATCGATCATGACTCATGGTTTATGGTACTTTCTAAGACTACTATACGGCTCTGTCCGTATTTAAAATCTAGATTTATAGACCATCTAATACCTTTATTTTTAACAACATAAATTATTTTCTTTACCTAAAAACGTCATCCACAAGCTATCAATGAGGCACTTTACTCCAAATATCACCAGCGTAGACACAAACGATCTCCTCTTCATTAGTTTTTTGTTTTCTGTTTTAACGTGTTTGAAAGAGGATTCTGTTAAAGGGTGTTTTGCTGCTTTCTCAAACTCGTACGCTTGGTTTATTATCTTTGTGAGATAATTATTTAACATCTTCTTCTTGCTGAAAATAATTATTTTATCTTTTGTTAACTCTTAAATTGGTGAACATATATTAAAAATGAGGTTGTAGTCTGACAAATCCGGCCCAATTCACAGCTCAAAAATATTCTCAAAAAAGAACAATGAAAGTAAAACTAACATGACAATGTAAGCGTTCACAATGATATGGGCGAAGATGCTAAAACCCCCGATGAACATGATGACCATCCCCATGATCCGGAGATGCTTGTCTGAGCCGTGAGTGTGGGGCCACACGTAGATTGAGGTCCAAAATATGTTGAACATCGCTAGAACTGAAAATAGAGGGTCAGAGAGATATTTTTAAAATAAAGCTTTAGAATTAGCGAGTTCATTCGAAAGAGGAATTCCGTTGCTCAATTATGATGGATATTGGATAAACACATATCATATTTGAACCCGCTATTAATTATTTAAGTAACATAAACCAATGAGCTCTACAATCAAAGTAACTGAAACTCCCACCTATGAGCTGTAAGATGAAGCGTCTCTGAGCGTACAGGTTCCACTTTTTATCAGTCAGTTCTCTGATGACAGGGTGGTTGGTGGAGTCGTTACTAGCTGTGCTGATCATCACCTGCGGAGAACAGACACGGCCATCAGAAATTGGAGGATTAAAACAAACAATTCAATCAGAAACTATAGGATTGTGTTAGATTTTGGAGATAAGATTAAACTCTTGTGGCTAATTTTGGAACTGTTTCTTATAGAAGGAATCAAGAACTGAATATACAGGGTAATACATCGTTTTCGTCATTGGAAATAAGACAGTGCTTTTACCTGATAAAACGAATATTGTTCTTTGGAGTTTCCAGCATTAATGTCTCTCTTTACTAGTGGCTCCAAGTTAACAGTTATAGAGTTTGAGTATTCGTCATATTTCTTGTACCTAGGTGAAGCTTGGCGTTATTTTTTATCGTAATGGAGATTTTGATAAATTGAATCATTCTTCTTGAAGCGTGACAAAGCTTTGGTTTATTTTCATCAGTTTGAAAACATAAATAAACCTTTCTAATAATAGAAACAAACAATTCTATTAAGTAAGCTTATTTGGGTGAATATAGCAGATTAGTGTGTCTGTGGAAGCCATATCTTGTAGAGAGAGCAGCCAGGTTTCAGTTAAAATAACTGGCAGTGGAAGTGGCATGAAACTAATTAGTGATGTAACCAACAAATTTCTAACGTTGGCAGTTGGTCATAACATACAATTTAGCTAAACGTAGCACGTACAAATACAATGGTTATTTCTTATTTTCAGCGTGGCAAATAAATGAAGGTTATACGACTGATTATTGTGCAGAAACACTTCAATCAATGATGCCAAATCGTAACTCGGTAATTTACTAATTTTACACAATTGGAAGAGAAATTTTGTGTCATTTGAAATGATTGTCAATGTGATGAATCAATTAAGTTAATTTTGATAAATTAATTAGAACTAACCTGTCGAGCATCAACTCCCCAAGTTTGTCGTAGAACTGGTTAACAACAGTGACTGCTGGTATTTGGTTCCTGTTGAGCACGTCTCCGCTGGCTCCTCTCACTATCAATTCCTGCAAATATATTTCAATCAAATAATTATAACAATTATAGACATTGGAAAAACAGTTATAAAAAGTTTTTAGAAACATTTAATAATTATATTTTGTAGACGAAAAAGGTTTTTGTAAAATAGGTCGAAAGTATGTTCGATTTTTAAAGATGTCAATGACAACCATTATTAAAAATGGCGAATGTCAAGTTTACAGAAGTTACTGCTTATGCAGAGACAATGGACGATGGAAAAAACACTGTAACTATCCGAACACAGACAAAAAACCTGGACGAACGACCATTTAAATGATCATCATTTAATAACTATATTTTGTAGACGAAAAAGGTTTTTGTAAAATAGGTCGAAAGTATGTTCGATTTTTAAAGATGTCAATGACAACCATTATTAAAAACGGCGAATGCCAAGTTTACCGAAGTTACTGCTTATGCAGAGACATTGGACGATGGAAAAACACTGTAACTATCCGAACACAGACAAAAAACCTGGACGAACGACCATTTAAATGATCATTACAAAATATATATTGGTAAATACTTAAATAGGAGTAAAACGTTCAGAACCAGGTTCTGAACGGTCATTAACCACTCCACCAATGATTCCTAAATAAGGTGTGGTCTGCCACCTATATTCCCTCACCTCGGCAACGGTAGGATGCCCGTACATTGCAGCGAGTACAAGGGGTGTGCTTCCGTAGCCGTCTTCTGTGTCGATATGTTGGTCTGGAATGTTCCTTTTAGGATTATTGTGGGGATAAGGAAATGACTGGACCGGAAATTTCGGTAATTTTCTTGTGGGGATGACCAAAACATGATTTGATTTGAAAATTTGACCGAAAGTTAGATTACAATATCAATTATAGAATCTAGCACAGGGTTCCGGCATTCAAGCTATTTAGTATGACTGTATCAGGATAGACAGTGCATTAGCATTAGTCAGCAGATATATCAAATCACAATTTTGACCCGCCCACACGTAAACATTAGATGCTAGACTAACTAGCATAAGAGATGAGCATGTCCATGATGTCCATCTTCCCACAGATAGCAGCATAGTGTATGGGCATCCGGCACCCAACACTGTCCACCATGGTATGACAGGCTTTTGGCAACTCGCCAAACGTCTCCACGTTACCGGCTATTGCAGCAAAGTGAGACGGGGTTAGACCGTCAATGTCTCGCTTTAAAGGGTCTGATCCTGATGCCAACATCCTGAAGACGATGATGAGTGTGGGTAGTCTGTAATCAAATCGAACATGACAATACTTGAGTCCAGAATTTAGACGGTAATAAGCATTTAGCATGTCGTTGGTGGGTTTTCTATTGGTAATTCTCTATTTGTGGATGGTAGAATTCGATTTCATAACAATAATTTCTCTTGGGCATTGGTAAGTGGTCTAGATACAAATTTTCGACAGTAAAACTGACTTATTGAGAACACTCTTTGATAGTTTGGAATCGATCAATCTTAGATCTCAAAAGATAGTCACATAACGAAGATTGCATATTGGCATTAAGTAAGATACTGTCTTCTTTAGGGCCATAATATCTACTGGACATAGGTAGGCGATTTAGAATAAAATTTATCAAGAAAACTGACTTGTTTAGGACACTTTTTGAGCAGTACTGAGCTGCTAAATGTAGCGCTGTCTGTCCTCTGGCGTCCGTGTTGTTCAAATCTTCTGATTTGAGATGTGGTGTCAACTCTTCGTCTGATATTTCTATTTGCCTGTATTGTGAAAGGGTGATTATATAAAAGGAGGATTATATTTGTCTGATTTTTAAGGAACGTGTAATGTTTTTAACGTAAAGGAATCAAAATTAATTGCCAAGATATTTTGAGGGACTGAAATTGTCGAGTGAAACAGATTTGCACGGCCATTTTAATCGAATGATATATTCTACTTACTTATAGGAACCCAAAACTTGTCCAGATTCTATAATCTTATCGTTGATAAGCTGCAATAAATCGTTCTTCTGAGTAAGATTGTTCCGATAAATTAATTGTAAAAACCCCTTCCCGTTTTTCTGAACCATCGCTTTCTGCACCGTGTTCTTTATCAAGTCTCCTAGGTCCAGGGCTGACCCTGAAATAGAATGAATATGTTAAAATCCAGGCAGTATTTTTGATGATGATAATTTCCTTAAAGAACTGCCGAAAAGAAACACCGTTACAGAGTACTGTTACAGTAATTTGGCAACAGATTTCAATTTATACGGGTGGTCTTCTAACTTTCTGACATGTTTACACGAAACTTTAAATCCCTGATCGGGATCCCATTGGCGATTTTAGAGTTGGTCACAAAGAGTAAAAACTTATTTTTACTCTTTTACTGTACAGTTAACAATAGTGTACGGCTCGACAGCAGCATGTACAATATACAATATACATGCCGTATAATATATCTCTTACAAAGACTTGGAGTACGCGTTGGCTTCGACGGGATTGTTGTATCGGCTAAACTCCTCCAGTTGCTTTGAGCTGCAGCAGACCTTTGATTCAAGTTCAAACTAGCCTTTCTCAGATCCAGTTTAGCAACAGACGGCTTGTCTACTTCTGTCACTGTCAACTTTCTTGTTTTACGAAGTACGCCTTTCATTGATAACGGATCCTCAGTTTTGCTTCCTTGTTCGCTGATCTTGGTCATTTGAGTTTGATTTGTTGGTATGGTCACGTGACTTGCAGGTATGGTCACGTGACTAGTTGATGAGTTCCCCTGAGCCACAGTACCAACTTCAGGAATCGGACAAGTATTTCCGTCAGATACAGATACTTCAGTGATCGTCAAAGGGGTGGTAGTACCAAGTCCCAAGGCGGAGTTTTCAACCAAACGGCGAAATGTAGAGGTCCTTCTGTAACTTTTCCCATAATTTCCATTTCCCGTAGTCTTAGAAACAGATCGTCCGTTATCACTCATCCGCAGGGAGAGATCTTCTGTGTCACTTCCGTAGTGGTCGGAACAGTTGCAATTTGTTACTACGGAGAACAAACACATAACAAGAAATGAAGTTATTCGCCAAAATTTTGGAATAAACTCCCAAAATAATAATTTCACCCGGTGATATCACCCGAGAAAAAAAACTAATTTCTCGAATTAACTCCGTGTTACTCCACCTTACAACCACAATAGAATTTAATATTTAAATAATTTGGAAATTGTGCTGCACCATGACAACATTACATAACCAGTTAGTGCAAACGGTTAATCAAAATACTAAAATATAATGATGCAATGCCGCAAAGGTGACAAATATTAAAGATCATAGACCGTAATAAGTGGTAGAGGAAGGTACACAAAATTAAAACTATAATCATAACAGATGACGTTGATTACAAATCGAAAGTAGAAAACATTAGTTAAAATAACGAGAGTAAGGCAACTCAAATAGACGTCAATAATATATCAAAAGCAGGGATTTTCCCAGTAGACTGAAAAATGGTTGTAATGGTCGATTAAATAATTTTCTTTAAATAGGATATAACTCTTGTAAACCGACAGCAAACTATCTGTAATCAACTGCGGAGCAAAGCATTTAACGACAACCCAGTGCTTTTGCAATCACCACAGTTGATAATTATGTCTGTTTAGACAGCTAAACGGCTCGTTTTTCCCGTAATTTGAACAAAAGAAAAATGGCAAACTCGTTTTTGCCGCTTTTCCTGCTACATTTTGACATTTTTTTCTGCTATTTTATAAATTATTAGCTCTCTCATTGTAACAACAAGTATTCTTACTCTTGGGCAAAAATAGCCGTTACTACGTATTACACCGTGTACCTACTATGTAACTAGTAATGCCAATGGGATGGCAGCTTGTGTAATTTGGATGATATGTGGTGATTTGACGTACAGTGCCGCATGCAGGCAACGTGCACGTAATCAAGTGAAATGGCGCGCCACTTTAGGGTGTAATTATACCGTTTTCAATTCAAGTCGGTATCAAATCTTGGGAAATTGGGAGATTAGGTTTGGTCACGATACGCCCTATAATTAACGGCCTCTATATGGCCTCTGTACGGCCACGATACGGCCTGAGAAAGTATAGCGGGAAGAATCTAGAACCCCTTTTATTTCTCCAAGACCTGCAGTTTAAAGTGAGCATTTTCTGAGCATCATCCCCTCAGAAGTCAGAAGCCCTATTATTGTCTGTAAACGGACTAAAACTAATGAAGAAGAGGTCTTGAATTGTATTTATAGTATTTATAACTGACAATCTGTATCAGGTTTGATTTAGACTTTGATTTATTTGGTTGTAAATGTAAATGTGTAAGTATAACTATAATTAGAATTTCAATGTATGTTGATTACACCTTTTTAAAAATTTGACGTTTTATGTCTCTATAAAGTATTAAGTTTAGCGTCTCCATAAACCAAATCTAAAATATTATGTTTTCAATCAAATATGTCTCCAAAAAAATGTAATAAAGTACAAATGAGTTATAGCACTAGATTAATGTAAAATGTTTCTGAATTTAAAGCACAGATAATGCCGGCACGCACAGGGATTATAATATTTCAGCTTATCTCGCAGTGCACGGGATAAGTGGATAATTGATAATAATCCAAATTGCTTAGCACGAGGGATTGTTTTGAAAATATTCCCGACGTACGTGCGTTATACTTATACTTATAGCACAACGGGTTATTTTAATTTAACATTTTAAGCGCGAGGCGTTTCATATACTACATCACACAGAAATCGCTCCATAAAATAGTTCAACTTAGCTTAACCGGTTGAAGGTGATGTCATCGAAAGTCGAGTAAAGAAAGCTTACGGTTTCAAGCCATGTCTCAAATTTATTTTTTGCCCAGTGCTAAGGCGACTTTGACCATTCAAGTTGACAAAAAAATCTAAAATGTTTTTAATGTCCTTTAAAAAAGCTTTTTGCGGGGGTAGCGAGGGCGGACAACTCTAACTGTAATAGTGAAGGCAGGTTCTGGAACTGGTACAAGGAACTCAATAATAAGCAGCATGGTGGAACTTCGTTGTAGGTTTATAACCTACCAAGACGCGGGCCGAGTTGAACTTGTCGATGGTCTTGCAGGAACAAATAATAATATTATACGTTAAACATATCGTGGCCAAACCTAACCCCCAAATTTCCCAAATCTTGAATAAAACATATCTTTAGTTGTGATTGATAATGATATATTTCGATGCAGTTATAAGCTGTAAGAAGGAGCGAGTAAGTATCGACAGGACCGTTCGAATCATTGATAAATAAAACATGTTATTAGGGACTACGGGTGGAAGATGAATAATTGAAATTCCAACAGCATCTTGTTCCCTTCATTGTGCTGATTCCGGGAAGCATTCTGTTTACGCTCTCATCATTCTGTAGAATGAGATATCGTTCATTTCCCGGAATCAGCACAATGAAGGGAACAAGATGCTGTTGGAATTTCAATTATTCATCTTCCACCCGTAGTCCCTACATGTTATCAACTAATATAACAGTAATAGAATATTATAATAGCATGGTGTAATTAAAGGCCCTTATTCGAACAAAGATAATGAATATATTAAATGTACAGGGTGGCTCAGTGAGCTCTGGCTTGTTACATAGCTATTTTTCATGTTTGAGACTTCCTCGAATAAGTACTAACAGACGTATATGCCATGCCATTTGCAAAGTTACGAGTCTCGATCAACATGAAAAATAGCTATGTTATAAGCTCAAACGTTTGCACGTACTGGTCACTGACTTATGGGCCACTATGTATTATCCATGTGGTTAGGCTAGCAGTAGCATAACGCTACAGACCTGCCTACATAATTAAATGCTTATTTAAGTAGACGGCTACTACTGGTAATCGTACTTTATGTCTACTTTCCTTCCATTTACTACAGCTTTGAGAGCCGGTGGGAGATACTTGGATCCAATTCAGACAGTATCGAGACCCGGTATCCGTTTGAACTCAGCTGTTTTACAATAAGAAGTGCTATTCGGTAATCTGTTGAAGGACACATAACGGACGGTTAAGGCACGTTTAAGGCTGAAGGCACACTTAACGCGATAACGCACGGCCGTTAACGGTTCCTAATTGCCATAAAAAACCACTGATTACATACTGACATGCTTCTTGTACTTACTTTTGCCAGATGCCGGTGTCAGGGGGAATAGTGATGATAATTTACTGGTTTGTGACCCAGGAGTTCTACTCCCAGTCGTAAGTACAGATTCTTTTCTGTTCTGTGACCCGGGTGCCAGGGGAAATATGCATCTTATCGTCTCGTGTGACGACCCCGCCATCCCTTTTATATCAGACCACTGGTCAGGTGGCCAAGTTCAAACAGAGGCTGAAGTTCTGGTGATAAAATGGAGAAAACTAAACAAAACTGATTATCTGAGAAACAGATGTGAGATATTGCTACCGTTAGACTGGAAATTGTAAGTCTAGAGTGACTTAAATATAATAACTTAATAATAAAAAATGGAAAGCTGGCAGAAAAACAGACGCAAGGACACCGTGTTAACGAGTTTAACAGAATCAATTAACTCATTACCTATTGGAAATTGCTTGGTGAAGAACATACAACTACGAAAGTCGAAACATGTCAATTACAAAGTGTTATGTTGTTACATAGGAATACGTCAACAAATACGTCGGAATAACTTAAATGATTACGATTACTAGTACTAATACTAACAAAGAATAGAGTTATACAAGGAAATGCTGCTGGGAGCATTCAATATAGCTCGTCATGGGGTTGTCTTAATTGAAGCCCTTTCTTTGGTATCAACCAAAAGTAGTTTATAAAAGTATTGAATTTTAATTCAGAAAACAAGGTTGTTGCTAAAGGGCAGCGCGTTGAGTGTTTTAAGGTTACATATTGCAGGCCTCATCGTGAAAAAAATTGCGAACTTTAAAATGTTGACATAGTTGGAATAAAGCAATCTCGTACATATCCTAACAGTTAAAACCCAGGAATCTGTATCAAATGGTAAAGTGCTCACACAAGAACGGGGCTCACTAAATCACGTGTAACACCTGCAATACACTATCAAGTTGAGGTTTGAGACGTTTGGTCGGTAGTTGGGGTTGTGGGAGTATCTCCTCTGCGTATAATAGTGCGAATTAACCAGCTGTTGGTTTTTATCGAGGAAAAATAAATACAAAACAATAAACATTAACAATAATAGCAACCATCCAGTTGTTGCACATCGAACTTACGGAACTTTGACTGTCTTCCGGTCTTGAGTACCGCTGGTCTGACTGGTGGCTCATCTTTCTGATCAGGGTTCAGGGAGCTGGGTATTGGCAAGGTGCGCATTTCTATTTATCTACGAAACTGATAACTAATATGACCAAAACAGTCCCAAACCTAGCTGCAGATGAAAGACGCTCAAATATGAAGACAGTTATACCACTAATAGTAATAACTGTCTACCAAATAGTAAATAAGTAAATTGTCCTCACCAAAGCGTGTGGAACTGCAGGAGCCCCTGGTACAACAATAACAACATAGGTTCATATTGTAGTTATTTGTAGATTTAAAACTAAACGTTTCCTTGACATCTAGCTTCATACTTCATGTGGGGAGATGCAGGACTTCAAGGTGGTTTCAGAGTTATAGTACTGAACAAAACGCTTTTTGAATAGCTAGAAAGATGAAGCTGATACAATGGTACTGTTGCTGGGCAGATGAAAGTGGAAATATTTCCACGTACGTGACTAGCGAGGACATAATTCCAGCAGGAATGTTGTTCGCCGTTTGGTCTTTAGTTCATTAAACGACGTGGGAGCAATAATTAAGCAACTCAAGCGAGTATCGTTCAAATTGTTATAATTCTTAGCATTTTGCTAAAATATGGAATGAAATTTCCGTTTATCCCATCAATAATCACAGCCCAAAAACATTTGAACTTACTGAACAAAGAGTCGCTCCGGCTCATGTCCGGAGATCTTCAAAACCTTTGGAATCAGAACTGTGCGATGGTTGAAATTACTCCGGAGGGCGCACTTCGACGAAGATAAGTGCGACAGAAATGTCTAGCAAACGGTGAGTCGATCGGTGGTACTGCTACGGTGGGACGAGACACCGTACCAATAATTAACGTTGTGTTAATATCCCCAACTTAATTGCGCGCATTATTTAATTTGTTATTGCTTTATTGGCTGTGTTTCATTGCAAATTTCATTTATTAGAGAACCAATTAATTAATATAAATTTACGACTGTTTATTTACAAGGTATTAGACCATGACAAAAAATATCAAACATTTTATCTCTGTAGTGTACAGTTTTATGTGAACAGTTACCAGGCATAAAAGAACCATAAAACTTCACAAAAACAAGGATAACCACCCAGCAGTTTCACACTAACTTACTGAAGGTGGATTGTCGGCGTGTCTTGAGATTGAGAACTCCCAGACCTCCCCCATTCTGGTTAGGAGAGGTGGGTACGGACGTGGCGGCGCTCACTTTCGTCTCGTTAATAGAGTCGAGGTTTAAGAAGTCGAGGTTTAAGAGGTTTGGTCGGAGAGGGGTCGGGGTAGCGGAGTCGGAATATTTCCGCTGCATAATGTGTGATGGTGCCAGCTGTAGGTTTAGTTAAAGGTTTATGTTTGGACATCACAGCTCAGCGGCTTATTAGCAGTCCATCGGAGAGAAGCTATTAATCGTTAACTTAATGATTGAGTTATAAATTATGTATATATCATTAGGAATGTTGGTAAAATGAATAATTGTGTTAGCTAATGATCAAAAACAGTTATTAAGTGGTTTAGTGAATTTATAAACAGAAAATAATGAACATTTCTGTGCAGCAATTAAGTTGTTAATGATCACAGTCCCGAATTATTATGCAGCCAGCAAAGATAATGAAATGCAATTATAAGAGTACGAATATAACTTTATTAATTTTTAATGCAGCTTGCAATAGTGAACAAATAATTCGCTATTCATAGACAAAAAGTAACCAATTTTTGCAGCAAAAATGTGCTAATAAAATGAAAAACAATGTGTAATCAATGGACAATGACAAACAAAGCTAAGCTCACAGTTTTGTGCCGTTTCGCCGAACCTCTACAAAATGATATCCACACGTTAACAAAGCAATTGAGGATGTCTCGAATAAATGATGGTCCGAAAAAGCTCAAACAAATCCTAGGAAATTACTCCAAGCAGTGCTCACCTTGAGACGCTCGACACTGTGAACTGTCAGACTGCAGACAAGAATGACAGAAAAATTGATAAGTCATGAAGAAACAGGAAAGAATTTGTTTAATTTGAGGCTCGCTAATGGTGGGAAATTGGCTAGTAGAATTAGTAGTGGCACCAACCTAGCACGTACAAATCGGACCACCACGTTAATGCGAAAATTGAAAATGAATGAATTTTGTATGAATTACAGAATTATATAATTCCGTGACAATTATCGGAAGACGGTATAAGTAGTGCTGAATATAATCCTTCTATTAATATAATGTTCGTAACAGCTAAGGCAATATCCGATTCATAATTAAAGATAATTTGACGATCAATCAATGATTATTGATTACCATGATGGATTCTTTATTGATCCAAGCTCCTTGCCAGCACCACGGACAAAGGATACTCAGAATCTCAACAACTCAGAAGATACTGTCTGCCACAATCATAGAGTCGGGCAAACTCTAATCACAGGTTAGTCAGGCAGTGGCTCACACTCTGTTGATATCTCTTTAGGGAGTTTTCAGGTTTCTCAACCTTTCCTAGTTGAGTGTGTCCCACAACCATAAGCACATTGCCTAGAAGTCCGGCGTTATGTTTTATAATGATCCTGGACCTAATATAAGTGGCAAGCTGCTCTATATAAAACTATAAAAATATTAAAAAAAATGTCATATATAATAAGGAGTATTACAACTTTACAATTGCAAAGGAAGGCAACGGTAGAAAATTTCATAAAAGTTACACTCAATATGAAAACATGGTCAAATGTGTCAATTTGTGATCTAAAATAAATTTATGTTGAATCAACACTTTCCATGAACACATAAACGAATGTAAAACTGTTTTTGGTGTGAAGTCATGTGCTGTGAAGTAAAATTGGAAAATATACCGGAAATTTGTGTGCGTGACCGCACACAAAATAAGGTATATTATTGAATTAGGAAAAAGAGTTAGACTCTAATTTTATATTTTAAAAAATCTAACAATGTAAGGGCATTAGTGATAGTCAGACACCACATATGGTACTAACTGCTTAATTACTTAATGGTAAATATTGGATAATATTTAAGTATGTTCGAAGTAAATTTTAAACCGTTATGAGAGTTTCACTGAAGCTATAATAGTGCACAATCTGTGATAGCTATTTAGAATCGGTAATAAGATATTATTTAAACAAGCCGGAAGCCCATTCTACTAACAGAATACAAACTGATTCACGACCAATATCTACACCCTATCAGAAGATTGTAGCCGAACACATTGAGAGTTAATGTTTGCTCCCAAACATATGGTCGTTATAAATGACTGGGTAAGTTAATCCAAGAGTTTGCGAAAAGTCCCGGCACAAGTTACTTATATTCTGCCTCGGAAAATGATTGTAGGTGCAAAGGTCAACAAGCTCGAATCACAAAAGGTTATAATAAACACACGTCCATTCATAGTTAAATAAAAAAGCTTTTCAGAAACCACCATCTATTCGATCAATGGTTCACATGTTTGGTTATTATTTGTTCACAAATGATTGAACGTTCATCCCATTTGTCTATCCGGAGGCAGGACTTTTATCTTCCAAGTTAGCGAAGATGCCTGGAGCAATAAACCATCTCTGAAGTTTATCGAATCAGCAACATCTTTTGTTTTAAATTTGGTTAAACCACTGTTCGGACGTTTTCTAAATACCGCTGATCAAAACTTTCAGATATCAAAGAAACAAATCAAAGTTTGGAAGAATTTTCATCTGAAAACAACAGATAGCGAGAATAACCAAAAGGAGCTATGACGTAACGACGTACCACTACTTTGTTGTGTTATGCAGAGTGCTCTAACCTTTAAAGCAAGCTGTACTGAATACGAACGAAACTGAAGTGAGCTCAGACAAAACGTTTCACGGCAGAATCTGTCACCACATCTGATGTTGATCATTAGTAATTAGTAATTAGCACTTAACTCGGAACTGATGATCAGCATCAGCTTTGAAGATTTCGGTTTGCCGAAACTCTTAAGTTTCATCTGTACACAAGAAGAAGAAGAAATATAAAAGTACTAAGTCGGGTAGTATTCTACCGCGGGTAATATTTCCGTATAGAATAAATGGTTGTATGTTACAACCATTTATTCTATTACAATGTAACAGAAAAAATTAGATGTATTACTTGCCAAATGCCACTTGGTGCCAATGTTTGGTACTGTTGGCATAATTTTATAATTATATGATGTATAATTTCGAAAACTAACATTGGTGAGATTCGTAGCGACTTATCCACCTAAACTTTTAAACATTGAAAATTATTAAAATTTTGTTCGAAGATTAATTGTACCGATGTACGACAACTTCGCAACTAATTTGGCATCAAGCCAACTAGAAAACGTCTGAAGAGAAATCAACTCCATACTGGATTAATTGTCAATTATAGGTTCATCGATTGTAAAATTGGGTAACTGTAGACCATGAATCCCCAGGACGTTTTGCCCCAGGACGTCTTGCCCCAGGACATCTTGCCCCAGGCTTTTACTTTTAGTTCCAGTTATCTCTGGCCTAGCCCTAGGACACAGACCACCAGGGAACTCGTGTTATTAACTTCTCCTATCACCCAGCTTAGCAGAGTTACCACTGTAATCTCTGCTAAGCTCCCACGCGTGATCAACACCAATGGTTGCCAAGACCCGTTGTCGTGAGCCCGAAGTCACTAAAGCACTCGGCCCTGGGGATCACGGACACAATAATGTGGGACAAGAAATACTAGAGCTCAGTCTTGGGTATACAATCTTGGACATGTGAGATTATTAGAATTGAGATAATAGGGCAGGACGCCGCGCTGTAAGTATATTGGTAATGGGCGCCGGAGTAAAAGTTCATGGCGGAATGATTTCCACAGAAATCATTGCAATCAATTTGCAATTAATTAGCAATCAATTTGCAATCAATTTGCAATCAATTTGCAATCAATTTGCAATCAATTTGCAATCAATTTGCAATCAATTTGCAATCAATTTGCAATCAATTTGCAATCAATTTGCAATCAATTTGTAATCAATTTGCAATCAATTTGCAATCAATTTGCAATCAATTTGCAATCAATTTGCAATCAATTTGCAATCAATTTCAATCAATTTGCTCCGCCTTAAATGAACCTTGCTCAGCAGAATTTGTTTGAACGTATCATAATCATTATGACATATTCTAGACACATATCTTACACAATCAAAAAGTCAAAACAAACTATATATTAACAACATTTAATCACTAAAACGAGGAAATACCCACATTTTTTCTCCGTTCTAGCCTCGACGACCATCTTCTGAGTCACAGCCTTCCACGATTTCTTTTCCAGCCCCACTGCTGGCTGTGCTCCACACACTGTAGTCCTCTTCACACTCCCAACGGGGATCCCATTGGGGCGGGGCCTTGCTGGGGTACTTGTTTCGGATTCTCTTCTGGCTGCAATCAATTTGCTCAGCCTTAATGAACCTTGCTCAACATTATTATATTTTGTCGCCATGATTTGCTTATCATTATGTATCTGTTTATCATTATGTATTCTAGACACATATCTTACACAATCAAAACAAAATGTAATTAATAAAACCAGGAAATACCCACACTTCTTCTCCGTTCTAGCCTGGATGACCGCCGCTTGGGATACAGCCTTCCACGTCCTCTTCTCCGGCTTCACTACTGGCTGTGCTCTACAAACTGTAGTTCTTCTACCGCTCCCAACGGGAGTTCCATTGGAGCGCGATCTTTCGGGGATACTTCTTACGGGGGTACTTCTTGCTGGGGTGGTTGTCGCACATTCTCTTCTGGTGGCAGGTCTCCAGTTGCCCGGGAATTTGGGTTCTGATAGGATGTAGGGTTGGAATTCTGACATGTAGGGTTGGGGGTCTGACATTATCACATGTTCAGGGCTGGAGGTGGGGAGTTAGTTCACATATATAAGCTTATTTAGAGAGGTAAGTTCAGTGAAGTGTGAGGTTGGACTAGGTTAATTGTAATGTGACTTGTGAGGTTTAGCAATGTTAGTTCTTTAGTTATAACGTGGCAGGTTAGGTAAGTTTTGTTTGGACTGACTGTCCAGTTATCATATCCCCATTAATAAACGTGTCACCTAATTCTTCGCGAAGGTTTGCAGTTTGCACAATCTTCAAAATGCCGTATTGCTTTAAAGTCTAAATGTTACACAATTTTAGTTAAATCTGGTCTAGACTAATAACCGCTTTGATTAAGTTAATCTCCATACTGAAATTAAATCTAACTTCAATTTACAATAATGTTTGATAATTTACTTAAAATACAAGCGACATATGCTCCAACCTTTTCGTGGCACACCACTAAAATTGATTCATTCTAGACTATAATACTGACTAGATTAAACTAGATTAAGGCTCCAATATTCTAACACTAGGCGATTGTAGGCCATCTGCTCAGCAAAATTTACGGTACAAAGTTTGAGATTTAATTTTTTGAACTAATTAAGATTAAATTCTGGTGCCATGAATCTTTTGTTGGTGGGATTCAATTAGCAGGTTGGAGATGGTTTAAATCCACTGAAAATCCAGGCACTTTTCACAGTTCAATTTGGCTTTATTTGTTACGCAAGTCATACGGATTTCAATCGTGATTTACATGATTTTTGCGGTCTTAAATTAAGATTTAAATTTTTAGAAAATTGTCGCAAAGAATTAAAATATCAAACTCCATCAAGCAACATGCGTTCAAGGTTTTTAAAATGAAATAAACGAGTATTGAAACATGGGTAAAATAGTCGTAAGAATAGCAAAAGTGTGGCGGTAATGACTGTCATTAAAGAACAACATTTAAAGACTTAATAGCATTTCACTCTCACTGTTGGATCGATAAACTACTGTGAACAAAACAAACCAAGAAGCTAAATAAATACTCAGCTTAAGGAATTAACCCTACTTTTGTCTAGATAAACGCCTATAATTACAATTTTGTCCAAATCTTCCAATCACACTGGCGAACTGGCACTGCTCCTGAATCCTCTGGGCCTGATTAACTTTTGTCAGATGGAAAGTCTAGTGTAATTAGTGATTAGTTCTGATTGTTCAACTAGAATTCAGCATGATAATGATCACACGATCAACTTAAACTGGTAAAATTAACGATTTAGACACAAATTTTATAATAACTCTTTATGATGGTGAGATCATAACAAAACTTCTCGTTATAAGATATGAAGCTATTTCTCCTCGGCTTACTGCCGGCCCTTATCTACGGATATTCATGTCCGTCAGATGCCGGACTCTTCAGGGACCCAGAGGACTGTTCCAAGTACTACCAGTGTTACTCCGGACGGGCTCATCATAAGGACTGTCCCGGCGGATTAGTGGTAAGAGATTTATCACATTACACGAAATTAAGTTAAAACTTAATTAAAGTTTCGCCTTTAGTTGGTGGTGATTATTAATCATTATACACAAATTTAAGGTAGGCTGTCTTAAATTTCATTTTGTTTTAAAATTGTGATACCTTATTTTTGTGTAATAGGTATCCAATTTTGTGTATAAGGTATCCAATTTATTCCTTATCCAAAATCCCCTACTTATTCACATTTATAGCAACGTGGAACAGATACAATTTGTAAAACTGAAACATTAAATTGTGTCGTAGAACTAGATCTATCTTGTTTATAAGTCCATGACTGGCTACAGAATTAGTTCAATTAGTAAGTTAGACGCTCCCAAGAACTAAAAAAAGAACTAAAAGAAGGCAAGCTTTTTGGTTTCCAATTCTAAGGTGTTGAAATGAAAAAATAAGGAACGGCTAAATTAAGATTTTTTACTCTAAACTGAGAAAGTGAAATATTTTCTGTGATTAGTGAAACGCACTTTCCAGTTCAGATACAATCCTCAAACGTGTTTATAAATGAATATAAACCGTTTAAGTTTTTGAGTATAGCTATGTTTGTATATTTTCGTATGCTGTCTAGGTTTAAGGTGTATGTCTAAATTTTAGTTGTTGACATGGAAGAACAAACATAGCTATAGTGGAATTTATAACACTAATATAAACTGAGCAAATAAATATATTAGTGGCTCCTCCTTGTCAGTTCAAATCTTGTAATTCTTGTAAATCGTGTAAATCTAGACTAACTTAAGAGATCACTGGTATTATAGTACAATTAGCTGTCTGGTATGTGAAAGGTTTCTTAATGCTAGATATCATAAATCAAAAGCTGACAAGTTGAAAATGTTGTTAAAAACGCCCAGTTCCTCGCATAGTGACTCAAATCAGTTTGATTAACCTCTTGTCAGTAGTCCTGGCAAGTCAAAAATATTTCCCTAAGTAGTGATGAGTTGACTTTTAATATCATACGAGTGCAATGATCTCTCTCAGATTAGTTTCTGGTATCAATGTTAAATTAAAATTGTAATTAACAAAACGTTAAGCAAGGAAAAACTATTACGCTGTTACTTTGAACTAGTAGAAAAAGTCGCATTTACGAAAGAAGAATACATAAAAAAAAAACATCATAATATTTAACCTAGGCACCAAGATTTTATAATTGGCTCAAATTAAATCGATCAAATTAAATCGATCAATAAACAATTTGTTTCATGTTGTACACAATTTAAAAAAGAAATGTTTCAGTTCAACTGGAAACACAAGTACTGTGACTGGCCAGCAAATGTGGACTGTACTCCCGGACCCACCCCTAAACCAACACCTAAACCTACTGATCCACCAACACAGGCACCGGAACCCACCAAGGAGCCTAAGCCTACACCTAAACCTGGCGGTAAGTTATGTAAATAGTTAATATCTGCAGATGTGCCAATAATTAACTGTTCACCGAAGACTGGGGGCCCTCGTAAAATTTAAAGTTACAACTATCAGCGTACCTGGGGAATGGGGATGAGAGACAGCTTTTCATCATCAGCAAATAAAACGGAAAGCCACTCGAACTTATTTCTCCATGCGATCAGCAAGGTTGGAAAAAAAGTAGCAACAAACAAGATTTGCAAAAAAACTAGCGATTTAGGTGAAATTAAGTGATTTCAGTGAAATTTTGTTGTAAATTAACGGAATGGGCAGTTTCATGCAGTATTCATATGTCAATATATGATGCGACAATATACTTTATGTTTGGCAGGAAAGTGCAATTATCAGAACGGCAATGCCGCAGAGCCGCACGCCGCCGCCGCAAATGTAGCCACAACCCGTAGAGCGTACAGCTCTATAACAATTTCGGTCTGAAGGCCTCTTTTTCTAACCTAGGTAGCACTGACGTTTAAAATCTGACAGCGCTATTATACTTTCTAATACAATAAAATAGGCCTAGGAGCAAGATCACAACCATTAGTTACAATGTGGTCTGTCAGAATGAAGCGGAAACTCACGATCACATAAAATTATAATGCTTTAAAGCATGCAATCACAAACAGTATCAGCTGCATATTACTCATTGATAGTGATACTGTTATTATTACTAATAAATTAAGAGTTTCAATAGGATTACTGAATAATAATATGAAGTGGTCTCAGAAAAGCTTTCAATTACAAAAGTGTTATTATAGTTGCAACCATGTTAGAGTAACGGAAATGTCCAAGATTAAAAGATTTAACAACATTTCACTAATGACGAGAGTAATCCAATAAAAACATGGTTAATGGTTATCCGTTAGTTAACGTAGTCACTGTGGGGCTCATTAGACCTTGTTTTGTTTTAACTGGGACCAATCACTGGGACCAATCACCAATTTAGTTGTCCGCACATTGATTGGAATAAGCTGTGACTAGTAGTATGCAATTTCACAAATATTTAGGGTTGATTTCTGCAATTTCACAGATATTTGATGCTTATTTCTGTTTGGTTCCCGAGAATTTGGTCGGATATTTCATAATGGCCTGGTTATCTTCTCGGCGCTGGCCACTTGTAAAGGCGGCATTGAGGTTTAGGAAATCTGCGATTTTTTTATATTTGCCGTTCTTTGTGCTATCACGTACCATGGTCATCAGTGCAATATGGTGTTGAGGTCGGATGATGATTAATCACTCTACACTCGACTGTCACGTGACTTTTTAAACACGTTCTCTTGGTGGCCCTGAATGACTATTCGAAATCCTAGCCCTCTAATCTGATCCCAACCCTAACAGTAACCCTAACCCAATCTCTAACAAAACATATGCTGAAACCCTAACCCTAACGAGAACTTAGACCAACTTCCTTATATGGTCATATCACGTGATCGAGACAGTCATATCTTGAGGTCATGTTCTTAAAACCGAATACCATCTTTACTCGTGGCACTAAAAGATATAATGACTGTTTACAATTACCGCTAAGTATCTTCTCATGTGATTTAACTACTGGAACATTAAATATAAGCGCTTAAATTACTTTCATTTAAATTCGATATCCATCATAGTTAGTAATATAAAAATTCAAATAAAAAGCTCGAATTCTAATACAAATTAAAGAATAAAGCTCAGAGTTTACAGTTCTTAAATCACAAGTTTCATTTGTACAGTAAAACTAACTTTAATTGCCCGGGTTAGAGCAATCAGCATAACAAAAAAAAACCAGCAATACAATAATTCTATTACTAATATTCAGTATTATAGGTACTTGAGTCTTGTAATTGATGATAATTGGTAAACAAAATACCGGTATTATAAATATCATTTACCAATATTTCAGTGGGAATCGAAGCGTTCTACAAAGAAGAAGACTTCAACAAAATGTTCCCTAACCGAAATATCGGAGGTAAAGCCAAATACAAAATCTACGAGTACAAATATTTCCTGGCTGCATCCAAGAAGTTCCCCACCTTCGGAACTCAGGGAAGCCTGGCAATGAGGAAACGAGAGGTATGTTTTTAAGCTTTATTTGTTTTTTCCCTTGAATCAAGACAGTTTTGTGTTAATTAATCACATGGCTTCAATATAGGAAAAATTAATTACAAAATAAAGACCGTAATACTTGTCAATCGCCCTGACAGTGACATGTTGAAATTATCACATGGGTAAAACAATTAAGCGAATGAATCGTCTCATAGAATTTCAATAATATGATGAGAACGAGATTATGATAGCGCTTCGGCTGGTATGAGATAAACTGACAAAATGATAAATTCAAGAGTAACTAAAAGAAGCTCCTCAACTCATGGGCCAGGCCGATTTGTTCATATTATGTGCGATAAGTGATAATATGTGGGCTGAAAGGTGTAAATTTCTTTATATTAACTAATCATGACGTGATACAATTCAGAGAGAACCAATTTTCATTTAGCTTAATTCACGAAAATAGTTATGTAATTAATGCTCAAATAAAGCAAACTTTCAAATAAGTTAGATATGGACAGGTCAGATATGAAGATAGCAGAATTTACACCATACATAACTGCATTGATACACTTAACTGAAGATGCAGTGAATAAATATCTAGTAGTGAATAAAATAACGAACTGTGTTGACCCTACTAATTTTGCAAGCCAAATTCCTTTGACATGACCGCGCTGAACAATCGAGCCAAACCTTTCACCATGCAACATCATTAAATAAAAAGGTGAATATTGTCATTTATCACCAACCAAAGCTTCAGTTAGTAGTAAGATATTAACCCTAATTTGTCTCTGAAATGATACAGATAATCATAGAAAAGGTAGCAGCTCAACAACAGTAATCTTATGATTGTGATCAGTGGACGATTTGGGCATGATTTTGTCGGCAAAACAGTTAATGGTTAACACGGTAGAATGATTTGGCTTGTATTTTGAAATGATTTTCCCGTTAAATAACCAGTTTTACTATCACTAGGTTGCCGGATTCCTGGCTCACATTGCCCAGGAGACAACAGGAGGCTGGGAAACTGCCCCCGGAGGAAGATACGCTTGGGGACTTTACTTCCCTGAGGAGGTGGGTTGGGCTGTTTTATACCACCTTTTGACGGATTTTTTTTTGTTGTTAAATACTTTTCAAACTTTACAGAGCACAACAATTATAACGTAATGCCATCTGCGATTTTCCCTTTTCTACCCGATTGTTTTTTTCACTAAAAAACATTTCTAACAAAGTCACACAATAGAATCACAGCATTTATAACCACAAATATTTATAATGTCCCCCTTTCCAGATGGGTTGTGATAAGGGTAACTGTGCCCCTTACTGTGCTGTTGTCCCAGATTACCCCTGTGTTGCTGGAAAAGGTTACCACGGCAGAGGTAAGATTTACACTGGTTTTTAGATATTCAAGTTATGCTTTTCAACATTTCATACTCATGAAGTATTCTGGGCAAAAGATAGTGAATCAAAGATATTGTAATGCATGTAATGAATTTTCTGCGCAGAGCAAAAAATCCTAAATTTCTCTGGTCGAAGGCTGATCGAAGTTTTATAACGCGTTTTGCTAACTGACAACATAATTTTTACTTTTAAAACTCAAAAGAACAGTAAGTCGATCAGATGAAAAACGGTATAGGTACTTAATTTTGTAATTAATTGCAAGACTTGACTCACTTAAAAAAAGAATGCACATTTACGCATGATATTGATATTGACAATAAGCAAATCAAAAGAGCCAAAAAAGGAACATTTAGAAAATTGAATAAGACAATTCAACGGTTATAGATAGAGAAGTGATAAGGAACTAATTTTAGAAATTTAATACACTTTAGACATGGTACTTAAAATCAAAATGACCAAGAAGCAAAGATCATTCCATTACTAGTCTCACAACAAAGGTTAAAGGATGACAATCTCGTCTGTCAAGATAAGAGTCTACCAAATAATATTCGGTCTGAAACAAATATCATATAGTCTTCATTAACGAATATATACAAAAATTACTTACGCCTCAGTCTTTCCAGGTTCACGTGTCTTATGCGGTATTTTCTTGAGGTAGGTGTCATTAGAGCTGTCGTGCTTTCTGCTATCGTGCTTGTTGTGCTTGTAGACATCTTGGCTTCGGAGTAGGCCATTTCCACGACAAACTAATGCCAAAGATAATATCAACACAGCGAAATCATTTAGTTAATTGTCTATTTTAGTTGCGGACCTCTTCTAAATTAATGATCACATCGAAACATGCTTAAGTAAATGCTCTTTCTTCAGAGCCATTAGTGGTCTACTTCAAATCAGAATTAGAGAATTGCAGATAATGCGGATTTGACGAACATGCTTAGCTTATATTATATTAAATCCTAATAGATTAATTGAGTATTCCATATGGATACCGTTAAATTAGCTTCCAAGTTTATCTAATTAATCTAATATCTGAATTAAAAGTTCGCATAATGAAAATAATTAAATAATATAGTGGATCTAATTCCTTGAGAAGCTATGGGAAGTACGGTAGAGTATGTTATCGGAAATGCCATTATTCAATTGTTCAATTATTATTGGTCGAAACTTTGCACGTGCATTGTTCTGCTTTACCGATCTATCAGGATTCAGGAGATTATAATGTCTTACATCAATTGCATGATGTAGGTGCCATTGTCTATGTTGACCCTTCTTTCACCCCTGACACTTAAAACGTGTTTTCTTAGGGGCACAGTTAAACCTTGGTTCAGTGTAAGGGTTAACGTAACGGTTGATAACATAGCTAGGATTAAGGGTTATGGTTGGGGTGGGCGTAAAATCACGGTTACATACTTCTAAAGTTCTAAGTTAAAAACAGTCTCAAATCAACAAAGCTGCAATCTAACCTGAAGAACAAAAACAAACCACGTACGCTGAATAAATCATGTCAATTGTCTAAGCACATTTCACGGTTAAATAAGTCAACAAAAATCTTTATTTGTATAAAAAGGCTTAATTGCAGTCTTCCACCACGCCCTTGGTGGTACAGCAAGGTTTCCAGAGCAAATTCAAACGAAGGACAGGTTGCCGGCTGGGTAGTGGATCCTCCAATGGCCACGTATTGTTTAACATTAGCCGCCGATAACAATTCACTCCTACTAACGATGGTTCTGCCGGTTGCACTTGCAGTGTTTACTACTTACTAGCAAGGTTACGTTAGTCACCTCTAAGGCTAATAAATAGATAGGCCGGCGTAAAACATGGTGAGAATCACGTATCTTACACCAGAAGGGGTACATAAAACGAACAGAATAGATTATATGATAACGGATTAGGTATTAATATCCTGCTCGGGGTGCAATACTATTGTGACTATTGTTAACAGTTTTTAGCGGAATAAAAAAATACCAAAAACCAATATTGAGCAAGCCTGCTGAGCTCCAGCATTCATTAGAAGTACCAACAATCATTAGAAATACGAGTATAATAAATTCATTAGTTTCTTACTTCCGTGCAGTAATAAACTGTTCAATAGAATACAAGCAAAAGATTAGTATGAATAATAGGGCTGATTCGAAAGGATAATGATTACTGAATACCCATAGCCGTCAGTGATCCTGTCTTCATTAACAAAATAATCAACTTAGTAACTTTTATGTATTACTATTACTACTGCTATTAATTATAATTAAACAAAATTATGCAAATTGATGTAGTTATGTGAATAATGGTAGCATGACTATTCAGAATGATGGCCTTGATAAGATTCAATAGCATATAGATGAGTTGTTAACTGGTCGTGGAAGATGTCTTCATCTTAATAATAAACAAGTTAATAGACTGAAAAAAAACGACCTTTCGTAACCTTTCACTATTTAATTGCTTTTTTACAAAAGGGTGAAATGGAAAAAATTGAGAAATACATGCAGATTTGAGATTACCATAATTTGGTACTAAGGTTTTCTATACTAAGGTTTTCTATATTACATAGAAATTGTGACATTTCGTTATAGAGAAGTTCAACACAACAGAGAGGGAACTTGTAGCTCCTGAAAACAGTCGAAATAACTGAGAACAGTCGAAATATCAAATAACTGAAAACAGTCGAAATAACTGAAAACAGTCGAAATAACTGAAAACAGTAGAAATAACTGAAAACAGTCGAAATAACTGAAAACAGTAGAAATAACTGAAAACAGTAGCAATAACTGAAAACAGTCGAAATAACTGAAAACAGTCGAAATAACTGAAAACAGTAGAAATAACTGAAAACAGTAGCAATAACTGAAAACAGTCGAAATAACTGAAAACAGTAGAAATAACTGAAAACAGTAGAAATAACTGAGAACTGTCGAAATAACTAAAAACCTGCAAGTTGCAACTCACAGTTGTATTTCTCAGACACCTTCTCTCGAATAACTTCAATAGGAATATCCGCATTCAGCATACTCTCTATCTCAATCTCACTTTGCTGTCGTTTCATTGATCTGCCTGCAAAATAACGGCTTTAAAATCTCGAAATTTTCGTTGCAGGAACCGGGTCTTAAAAGTTAAAGAAATTTGCATACATAAAATTTCATACGATTTACCTAGGATTTATTGTTCATCGCAATTGCAATGATCCAAATCCCAGCAAGAGAATTTCGACTATAAACTTCACATTTTCAATTTTAAAACAAAAGACTAGGTTTTGCACAAAAAAAGTTAGCACAATACCTAAAAAAGGTTTGAACTCTGCTCACCTTTATAACTGAGAATATTAAAATGTTGACTGTGATTACTGTGTTGACTTTGCTCGTCCGTAACAGCTGAATCATTAACTGGGCTGTACTTAGCTTTCAGGTTTAAACAATCCATTAATTCAACCTAAAAAGGGGGATATTAAGTTTAATTACTAGACTAGTTTTTTGTAGGCAGCAGGAATAGTAAATGTTAGACTTGTTCACAGTTTAAGCACAAGGTCTTCATTTCCGTATGATAAAAAATGAACTAATTCTTTACAATATATAGACTAAAAAATAACAAAAACCAAGGACATAGCAATAGTAAACATGAAACATAGAATAAGCTATGCAGGACTGAGGACAGTCATGCCGCTTATTATTAACACGTAAAGCGAGTAGGAAAACCTCGAGCCAATAGTCTTTCTGCGGAACTGGAGCCACATGACACATTGCCATAACACTTTTAGTTCTCTGGAACTTCCCACCATTTCTAACAAATCGAATTCTCCGACATATAACGTAGAAAAGAGGCTAATATAACGGGCTAACCTATTTACTGGAATTAATTGGGCCATTTTTATTTTTCATACCTATATAATGACGGAGATTTATAAACACAGTTAATGCGGTAGTGAAAATTAAATAGGCCATATTTTCAGGTCCCATCCAGATCTCCTACAACTACAACTACGGGCTGTTCAGTAAGATGTATCTTGGAGACAAGATGATCCTCCTGAACGACCCAGATAGGATTAAGAAGGACGGTGAGCTCGCCTTTGTTTCCGCTCTCTGGTTCTGGATGACTCCTCAGGTTTGTTTCTTCATTTGATAGTAAATATTAATTATTCAATAAGCACCGGTGACGGTTTTATGCTTATTTTTTGCGGTTTATAAGTTGTATCCTCGACAGTCGACATTTATTAGATTTAGTACTTAAAAGTGTGAACTAACGGAATAAGGCCGACAAATTTCATTCTCTGAAAAGATGTCGGCTTAAAACTGTGATTTTTAATCTTAGCCTTTGTCATTCAAAGCTATGACATAGGTCTAGAAATGGTAGACATAAGGTCTAGAAATGGTAGATCCAAATAAAGAAGTAAATTCTGCTTTTCAGTCACCAAAGCCTTCTTGTCACGACGCCCTGGTCGGAAACTGGAAACCAACTGCAAAGGACCTGAAATGTGGACGAAGAGCCGGATTCGGAGTTACAATCAACATCGTTAATGGAGGTTAGTGGGAATGTTTCAAAACAATTTCTTGTTCCAGACACGATATTTGGACGAAGTTCTATAATCTTAATTATTCCTGCTCTGATCTTAAATGTGATACGACGTATCATGTAATTGTGATGTCGGCACAAGCTTTCATGACTTACATTTAATCTTATTTTCAGGAGTTGAATGCAACCACAAGCCCATGAAATCCAAGACCTTCCACCGAGTTGAAACCTACAAGCTGTTCTGTAAGAACCTAGGAACAACTCCAGGAGCTAACCTGAATTGTGAAACTCAGCAACAGTTCGCTGCTTTCTGCGGATAAGCTGCAGAGAGTGTACACGAGATGAACCCCCTAGGATGATTCCTTTTTTTTCCTTTAATCACAAATATCATGTAACCAATTAACTCTTCACCAAATGCTCTGTGTCTTAATTTTTCAAAATAATATCACATAATTAGATAAAGTAATCAAAGATCGGTAATTAATGGATCCCTTGAAACTCCCAGCAGTTAAAATGGGATGGATTCTTGCAACCATGCGTGGAATTAGAAACGTGTTCCCCTTATCTTTACCAGAATAAGTCCAAATGTTATGTAACACTATCCGGTAACTTACATTAGATAACAAACTTAATTAACGTCGTATAAGATTTTCAGATGATTCTCATAATGATCAGATTTCCTTCATGGTATCCCTAATGAAGATCAAATCGTCTTATTCCCTTAAATTACATTTTGCCCTGTGTTTGGTTCTGTTGTAGTCATGATAAATGGCATCATGAACATTAAACAATTTTAACGCCATCGGCCGGTATAACCCTACTGCAGAGGGCACTTGACATCACGTGTGATATCATAGTGCTCGTGGTCACAGGCCACAGCTGATGCCATTTAAGTACATTTGCACTGAGTATACAATTAAGTTGTCAGTATGTTGTATAACGTATATCACCTTCCCGAACTTCATTCTGCAAACCTGATTCTGCAGATTACTGGGCCTAATTTCGACCGCACGGCGACCTCGACATTTTTGTATCTTACAATTAACTAAACAATCTGATAAAAACAGCCTTTTCCAGACCTTTACATGCTTCTTTTTTCCTGCCAACTGCGGCCCTTATTTTATTATCACTTATAGGGCCTCAGGGCCCGAACCAACTTTAAAGTTGGCAATATTCATCACGCTAAATAACGATATTGACGTCCTGCTAAATATAAATTGGTTTTAATTGAACAGCTGAAAGTGAAGACTTGTTGTTGTATACAATCCGACTGATTTAACATCATAGTAATATTAATTCATGCCGGAAGCAACAAGTAAGCGGTGGTATGTATAGTGTATCCATAAGTTCACATCTGACCCTGGTAATTTCCCCATTAATTTGCCACCTAATAGAAACATTGTTTTGGTTTTCTTAGGAATATACTCAATATACTTGGGTCTTTTCAAACTTGGTGATTGTTCCACGAAAAGGAACATTATTTAGATTACCTTGTTTACTTTCTTACTGTTACAGAGCAGAGTAAGTTAATTTTATTAATTAATATACATGTCGTTCTCCTTTTTTCGACCTGACATTCGTGGCGAAGATCAGTCGGGCTCTCACCTCTCAGTCCTTAGGGACTAGGGTTGAACTACAAACTGAGACCTGGGTCCTGGGTGCTGCAGAAAGAAGCCGTAAAGTACATTTGGCATTTGCTCACGTCGTAACAGAATTAACTTGTATCGCTGATTTTTGACATGACTCATGATTAGATAATTGCAGGCCCTTCACCGTAACAACACTACCGGCTGGCAAAAAGCCACAGGCCAATTGCCGTTAATTTGATTTTGCACTTGCAGCTTGCTGCAGTTTAATTCCTAAAATTACTGTTTCCACTTCCAGTTCCACTTCCAGACGATATAATCTGCAGATCAGAGACGTCTTAACGTGGACAAGCAATTTCTTTCTCCTCAATCTTTGCCAGTTGAGCTCGGCCATCTGGGCAAAAAATCTGTCGGTATGGACTACAGCCCCAAATCTTTGTTGTAGAAAGAAGCCATAAAGTTCTTCTGATCACTTAAAATCAATTATAATGCTGTCACTTTTTCATACATGAAGATATTGATAATGCACCTTTACTACGCTTCCAGATTTTCCCAAGTCCAACATAAGCGACCACAAGGCCTTTTATATGATTTTGGCCTACAAACTGAACAAATTTAATTGTTCAATTAAGTGCAAATAAATTATTAAGTATTTTATTCCGGGCTATGGTTATGTCCAGCAAGTTCCAGACAATAATCTGCATGGACCTCTTCGCGGGGGTATTTAATTTCAGTTTTCACAACTTACTCTGTAATTTTGACCGTATATTTAACATTTATTGGTATCTCTCTCCAGCATTTATTGGTATCTCCAATACTCCAGGACGGTTTGATTCGAGACTTTCACAAATAGTACATATACAATACATCAATGATATAAAAGAAAGATACGACATCCTAAGGCATTACGTAGGGTAAAAAGTGTGCTTAAAAGACCATATATTAGTCACCATGTGCCGTGTATCCTATCAAATATCATGGTCTAGAAGAATGATTAGACATGAAATTATTGCTGTTATTCAGGTCACATACACTCACTCATACAAATCAGTATAGAATTAGACGCACATATCTTCTTATCGATATGATCAGCACAGATAAGGTAAATACGCAGTTTTTACACTAGATCAGTCTTATCCGCCCTGCTAGATCGCATGATTCGATTACTCAAACTGCTACTGATCTATTATTATGTCTGAATTCTATTCGGATGCTAGATCAGGTGTTCATTTCAGTTCTGTTGGTTATTTTGGTGATGAAATCAATGTTTGGAATTTGATAAAAAAGTCACATTATCACCAGTCGTTATCTGCTTGTCTGTGGCATCAAAACTCAAAGTTACCTAGTTACATTGTTGCAGGTTATAATCTTATTATTTTGTATTTGACCTAGTGATGAGAGGGTTGGTATTGATACTTGTAGTGCTCGGTGTGCCCGTTCTATCTGATAACGTTACAGCTGAACTATCAGAGGGGGATCTCTCTGGTGTTAACAGCGCGGTTAACAGCGTGGTTAACATTACCTCCACTTCTCTTCACCACCCACTACCTGGTTAGTCATGTACATGCTTCAGCTATTGTAAAGGCCGGGGCTAAAATCTTAGATAAAGCCTAGGCTAAATTTCCAAGATTCCAGCAGGGGCCATGGCAGGGGCCAATCGATCACTATAGTATGCTGTATGACATATAGTATGAGTTCCAGTTTTTTAGTGACAATTTTTTGATTTGCAACACGTACCTTACCCCTATCATTTAGTCAATTGTTGTTGTTTATTAAAAGATTTAAAAGATGATATAACATGAAAACATAACAAAGATAGCGAATCCTTTTCCTCTTTCAGGGTGCCAAATTATTGTTGAAAAAGCTAAAGTGGTGAACAAAGGAATCGCTTCAAAACTGTCGGTAAGAATCGAGAGATATGGACAAGAAGATATTGAAGTGGTCGTCAGCTCGGACGGGTGAGATCAATTGTTTTGTAGCTCAAAAGTATAAACATCAAGTCGCATAGGAATATCGATATTTACGAACGATCGAATAGGCAAAGTGGAATTGGCACCGAAGCAGAATAAATGAGAAACCGGGAAACCAGCTTGTTATGAATATTTTATAGTTACAAGTACAACATTAGCACCAATTTAGCATTAGTACAGTATAACTGGAACCGCGACAAAGAACTGGCGGTGTTCGGCACGGCCTGAGCGTAATTTTTCCAATTAATCTGGCCCGAAAGTTTAGAAGTTGTACGTTTTACATAAATTCATAGCTATCTATTTTCTATTCAGCAATTAACATTTAGTTTTTCAGAAATTATACCGCCGGAATGGAGTTAAAGAACGGATATGCCCGAGAGTTTGAAACAGAAATAACAGCGTTGAAACTAGGAACAACTCATTACAACATTTGTGTGTCAGGTAAAATCAAATACGTTTCGTACACTGTTCCAAAATTTTTAAAATATGCTTATAGTTATACAAAAGTACAAATCTGACGGTAAGACAATATCAATATACTGCAGAGATGGCTTCGACTTCTCAAATAAATGGCAGAAAAATTACAAAATATGTTTGTTATAGCAAAAACCTGCGATATTCCTATTTCTAATAATAAGTAATAAAAGGGAGTAGCACTAGCAGACTAATTTGTGGTCATGATCAGGACAATTTGTAACAACCGTGACCACAAATTAGTCAGCTACTCCCTTTTTATTACTTATTATTACAAATATTGCAGGAATTTGCTATAGCAAAACTTTTTGAAAATTGAATTTATTTTATAATTAAGATGTATATAATATCCAACGTAACTAAAAGTATAAGTATTTATTTGCAAAATACAAACATATTTGAAACCGCAACAAAGTACGAAATTCAATTGATTTGCAGTGCTGTAACTTATATCGTTATAACGATGGAATGCTCAAATACCTCAAATGCATTGTTCCTGAAGGGGGCCTTTTAATTTTAAAAAACAAAGCAAAAACCAAAAGTAAACGAACTATAATATGGTTGTAATTTATAGTTATTACAGCTACATCATGGTTACACATGACTTTGTTAAGGTTCTCGAAAAATATAAGCTGCATTCTGCAAGAGTCTTGCACAATGCAGCAAGACGGATGTGAATCTGTCTCCATTAAGTCTAATATGCAGTCTAATATATATAATTAAGTCTAATAATAAAGTCTAAGATGTGTTACACGTGAATAATCATACGGTTATTTCCAGATCTTAACGCTACGCGCGCTACATTCTTTACCATAATATAACTCTTACACTACAGTAAACCAGCTTTTAAGTCCCCAATCCAAACTACAAACCCTAAAACCTTTTTCATAACGTCCGGGACCCAGCAGTTTAAAATTCAAATATCCACACCAAATAACCTTCCATATTGATATACTAAAATCACAACCATAGTAACTATTATAAACTAATTTTCCCACTTTCAGGATGTGGAGAGTGCGAGAAAGTGGCCCTGTTTGCTATCCCAGCTCCCCTGACTCTACTACCTCCCATACTGACGGTCCTTCTAGCTATAGTCACCAAACAGGTGACATGTTAAAACTAGCCTTCAATTTAAAGCTTCCAATAGAGACTATCACCCAGAATAGTGTAGAGTTTTTAGCATTATGCAGAAACCTACTACTACTAGTTATAAACTAAATTACCCTCAGGTGCTGTTGTCCCTTAGTTGCGGAGTGTTTGCTGCTGCCTTCCTAGCCAACGCCTACAATCCTGTGGAAGCGTTTATCGACACTTTTGATAACTACCTTGTTCTTCCTTTCCTGGACCCTGGCAAGGTTAGAAGATTTTAATTATTAAAATGCTATTTTTATGGTAATCTACCCTTCATAAATACTTAAATACAGTGACACTTACACTGTCATGGGGTTATAAGTTGTTATAAAGATATTTGAAACCAACATGCCATTAATAAGTTGGCACGACTTTTAGTTTGATCATACACCCTTTTTAGTGGCCTCATAAAACTCCAGCAATCAGTTTAAAAGTAAATTTGTCAGGCAGGGGTCATCCTGTTTACCTGTCTTATGAGTGGTCTTATTGAGATCCTAGAGAAATCCGGGGGAGCAAAGGGCTTTGCAAACATGATCTTCAAGTTAGCTTCCACCGTTTACCATGCTGGAGTATTAACTGTTACCATCTCCTTCGCCTTTTTCTTTGACGACTTTGCCAGTGAGTGCTGCATGTAGAACGACGAAATTTCTAATCTGTTAAATTAATCAAGGTCAATAAAATCAAATACGCTAATAAAATGATTAAAAAATTAATTCCACTACGTCATGCTGAATAGAAAAATGACGATCACATGTGAAGATTAAAAGTGATTCTCTGACCTAATAAAATGATTATTGATTATCACCAATTCTATCATTAATTGTTCTAATTCGCTATCAAATGTGCTGTCAGTGTGTTAGTTTAAGCTAATTTTCTACGTCACCCAATCAAGTCAGGGGTAATAGTATTCTGTGCACTGATTGGTGGACTGATTGAGATAATGCAAAAGAGCGGTGGGGCAGACAGTCTGACCCGACAGATCTCCAGATTCACCAGCTCCCCACACCATGCAGCTGTTGTTACTGCCGTGCTCACCTTGCTGTTCTCTTTTGATGACTTCGCAGGTTCACGTTTCATCGAGTGATTTATGTGTGATTTATGTATGATTTATGTGTGATTTGTGTGTGATCTCTACTGCTGAGTGCTGGAAATTTATTTGTATGTTTGGCTGAATAGTTTGATTAGTAATCATAACTTTACCTTTCTTCTTATCCACTAAATCTAACTAAAATCACAACCCAGGTATCATGATATCGGGTAAAAGTATGGGCCCTCTAGTTGCCAAACTGGGGCTCAGTGTTCAGAAGTTCTCCTTCATTGTCCACATGATGGCAGTCTCTGTGGCAAGTCTCTGCCCACTTTCCAGTTGGGCTGGTATTCAGGTAATTTGGCATGAATATTAAATACTGCTGCATTGATTCAGCTGTAATTTGAAGCGTTAATATTAAATACTTCTCATGCATTCATTCCATCAGATAAAACTGTTTGGAAAAGGTGTTGACAGAGTAACCAACGTCATAATTAAATTTGATATTATAACTTATAAGTATTAGTAATATTATTACTAGCTGTCTTTAAACATAAAGTTACAATACCTCACGTTATCTTGACACCTGCTTTTGAAAATAATTCAAAATCAAATACATTTTCCATTTTTCCTGTTGATAAGATTTTTGCGGCAACAAAATTCGTTGCAAATATTCTACAGTTTCATGTTCGGTGCCTGGTTGGAACGTGTTTTGAGTCACGTTTTCTTATCATTTTCAGGCCATTGCAACCTTTGTTATTAATATTAACGTGGCCCCTGTATAATGTATATAAAAGGGTAAAGTCTTAAGCCAATTGAATTTACCAATTTAGATACTTCCTAAACTTCCTAAACAATGCAATTGCCCAAAAAAGATAAGCTAACGTGATTTAAAACCTTTCCATCATTGCACGACCTTCTATTCTAATTGATATTTAAAGCTTAATTTGATTACATATAATGATATCATGGACGGCCGATATTTGTATAACAACTTGTATCGTTCGAATTCATGATTCATTACCGATATTCATTTATTACTTGGGTTTGTAAACTAATTAGCAGCTAAAAGAAGAAACCCTCGTGTTAAATCGAATTTACCAATTTTAGATATTATCTACAGATTAAAAGTGGCATAAATGATAAGCCAACGTGATTAAAAACACGCTGCGACCTGGGACCGAACATGAAACTGTAGAATATCCAATTCCCTATATTCTTTTTTTTTAATAAAATATTCTAGTGTTACCATGTTGGGGAACCTCCTCCATGCCAGCCAGTTTCAAGCTTGTCTTCTAATTACAAAGCTGTGAAACTAAACTGTTTAAACTATTTCAGATCGGTTACATAGAATCCTCCTTTGACCTGGTTAACGTGGAGGTATCCGGCTTCAGCTACCTGCTCCAATCTATACCTTACAGATTCTTTGTAGTGACCGGGCTACTCTCCACTGTTATCTACATCTTGTTTGACAAGGACATCGGTAAGCTATTAACATTAAATCTAGATTTTAAGTTTTCACTTTTCAGGTCATTTAAAAGATATAAGCTTTAAGCTATGAAAATAGTTTACTCTTCTAAGGCAAACATGAATTCCAAAGAATATACTGGTTCCAATACTTTGATGGCGACTTGTGTCACTCTCACCGACCTCACTGATTGGACGCTGGTAAAAAATTCAGCCAAAACCACGAACGTTCGGTCAAAGAGACGGCAGACAAGCTTCCCTTCAAAAATCTTCGAAAAACTCTTTTTCTATTCTGACGAATTTCCCTTTATCAAAGCTTTCTTTGGGAATAAAACTTTGAGAACCTCAATCTCGTCTTGAGCCATCTTCAGTGACTTTGCTAGATGATGATTCAATAAAAATTCAATTAAAACAGTGAAATTTGGGTTGCGGAAAGCTAAAATGTGAAAATGTCCTACCGGTAGGACATTTGCAAAACTTTCATTCCGTCAAAGTTTTTTCCGGATTTACCGGTTCCAATACCTTGATGGCGAGTGGCGAATAATTCCAAAGGACTAACATCCAATATTTAATCCTGATGATCAACGAATTTATAGGGGATATTTTAATTTACCTAATAAATCTCCTCTTTCTTAGTGCCGATGATAACATACGAAGAAGACAACCTCGCTAAAAAGGAGTCACCTGACCCCGAAAACATAACAATGAAGTATGAAAATGATGAAGATGAGGTTTCAGAGGAGAGTAAAGTACCAGAAAGGTGGTACAATGCTATCGTGCCGTTAGTGGTACTGGTTGCCATATCACTCCTACGCATGTACTTTGACGGTGAGAGGAAATAAGGGCTTTGAAAGTTTTGAGTAGATATTGAGTGAATTTTGATGCCATCTTTATTATCTGCAGTAATAATCTTCATCATGTCTGCTAACATAAATTTAAAACTTAATATTTTCTGCTTCCCTCAGGAAAACAGGTGATATTAGCATCTGGTGAGGATATTGCCACAACGTTCATGAACTGTGCTAGCAAGTGTAACTCTATAAACTGTCTAATTGTCGGAACTTCTGTATCTTTAGTGCTTACACTTGTAAGTTATTATACTATTTTGTTAGAAATAATTCAAATATTAGGATTAATTAATTGTTGGACATTATTTATGTTGGGGTATGAAAGAGCTCAGAAGCCTTAAAAAGTTGTAAACCGGTAATCTCATTATAAACCTTGGTAGTCTGATCAAGCTTACTCCTAATTATAACCCCATATTTGAGGTGTCAACCTCAATCTCAACCTCTGGATTTAACTTTCTGAACCTCAGGTGTTAATACCAGTACAGAGAATAATGGGGGTAGCAAAATGTGCGGAGTATTTTGTGGAGGGAGTAAAGGGAATGTCAGAGCCTATAATGATACTGATACTGGCCTGGTCGCTAGGGTTTGCTATGAACGATATTCATACTAGCGAGTACATTGCAGGAGGTAGGATGTTCTATTAATATAAAATAGTTATACTTCTTTGTGGTTTATGTCGCATAATGTCGCATAAATCATAATATGGCTACAAAAATTATTCTTCAAGCAGAATTTGACCACCATGTTGTACAAGTTTAGTGTTTACTGACCACTTAAACAGGACAGCGAACAATATGAAGTGTTTGAAACGAGAATGAATGAAATGATTCAAATTTACGATTTGAGTTCACACTGATCCCACGTGTCTTCCTAAACCAACCAGCTAACAATCTATTATTTTCAGCGCTAGGTGAGAACATGCCGGTAAAGTATTTCCCATCCCTGGTGTGTCTAATTGGGTACGCTATGTCCTATGCTAGTGGCTCAGCTATGGGAACCCAAGGTAGTTTACAATGTGGGATTAAGTTTAACAGACCAGCAGTGTTTTGTAAATTTGGTCATTTTTGCTAGAGAAGATTCTTAGTATTTTAGATAATGATCCAGGAAAACTTATTATCATCCACTCCTATATTACAGAAGACTCTTTAATATTATCCCTGATTTAAATTCCATGTCCCACAGGTATCATATTCCCGCTGATAGTACCAGTGGTGGTGCACCTCACATCCGATACTGAGATCTACGTGAAGACTATTGCAGCTGCGTTCAGCAGCACAGTGTTTGGTAATCTGTGCTCTCCTATTGCTGACACCACTATTGCTAGTGCTCTCTTTACAAGTTAGTGAAGATTAGAATAGAGACTATCATGGAATGAGCTGTATCGTAAATTCAACCGCTAGGCCAGGAAATGATTTCTGATCTCTTCGTGAAACGTTGACAAGTTTATAGTTTATACTGTGAATTGTGAAATGGACTGTTACTGATTTGAGTGATTATTCACATAATATATTATAATGTTTAAGTTCGATGGTAGTAACTGAACCCCTCCCCCAGATTGCCCTATGGTGGACCACCTCAAAGTAATGTCCACATTCTGCGTCCCTATCGCTGTCCTGACCATTCTATTCGGGGACCTATTTGTAGGAATGGACCTCTACCCGTACTACGTATCCTACCTCATCCTTATCTTCATAGTGGCGACAGTATTTATCCTGTTTGGCAGGTATCCAGGGAGGAGGTCACTGTTTCAAGTCCTGTTGGACGAAGTGCGGGGTATTAGGAGGGTTAAAAGTGATAGTAGTACTGAAAGTGAGGTTAATGAGAGGACTGCTCTTGTGGGAGGGGATACTATTTAGACTGTGTGAAGTTAAATGGTAGGGGAAGTTAAGACACACTTTCATTGTTAAGAAGGGGAAGTTAAGATGTCTTCATTGTTAGGATGGTGAAACTGAGATATGTCATTGTTAGGATGAGGAAATTGAGATATTTTCATTGTTATGATGGTGAAATTAAGACGTTTATCATTGTTAGGACGGAGAAATTGAGGAGACGTTAATAACATTGTACAGTTGAATTTTATAGTGAAATTGCAATGCAGCATATGATTATGTTACTGGTCAATAAACTGGAAACTCGTTGACCGAATTGTTAATTTGTTGATTTATATCTTGCTTATGTTTTATATGAATACCATTGATGATATTTTTAGAAATAAAATGTATGAATTTCATTGAGAAAAATCTGGAATACTCAGCTTGAACAACATTTGAAACAGATAAAATTCCTCAATCTGAAGGGCTTTGAAAATGAAATAATTTGATAAGAACAAATTGATAACGAACCATGGCAGACATACTTTGATGTATCACAAGCTAAATATCGAAGATAAGAAATAACCGTCCACCTTCATCAATACAGTATCGTTAAAACATCATATTCTCACAAGTTATCTACTATTATTTGAAATAACTGCTCGAAAGTTGGCTGGCTCATAACCCTCTCCCTCGTACACATACTGATAAGATTTCTTATTTTATTTACTTCAGTTACAGTAAGAAAACGTACATCAAGCTTTTAGGAGCCTGGTGCGTGCCATCCCTATTCCCTAATATCCTGACAAACTTCCCATCAGATCAGATATGATGAGTAATATAAGCGATTTTCATTTATTCTATTCTGAGTATGATTGTCCTTTGAAATTATCCCAATTTGATTCCTTGCTTCTCCAGGATATGCACTAAATCGTGCTTCCATTTCAGTCATTTAGCTTCTAATGAGAATTCCATTGACAAACGAGTCGTTACAAATGAAAATCATCTCAATTTGATCCTTTTCAAACCCAAAGAATACATAATTAGTTCTTCCAGTCATGTACTTTCAAATGTACACAGATTACAAGAACTACACCGACTAACTAACCGTTTATAACATAAATCACCTTCACCGCAATATGATTCTTTTCAACCCCAAAGAATGCATGATGTATTGTTTCGGTCAGGAAGTTACAGAAATTCCACTGGACAATTAACCGAGTAAAAGGATAAAAAGACTAAAAGTCTCAGTCAGAATCGTTCTTTTCGTTTTTCTTGTCCTGAGGGCCTGACTCCCAAGAAGGTTTTTTCTTTTTCCTTCTCCTCCTCGATTCAGATCCGCTGGAACTACTACTAGAATCACTGTCACTCGAACTGGATCCTGAGCTGGAACTGGAACTGGAACTACCACTTCCCTTCTTCTTCTCAGCATCCTTTTTGTTGGAGTCTGAGTCACTGTCAGAGTCACTGTAGGCTGCCAAACCTGCTAAACCAGCGGAGGCAGCTTTGGGTTCTGGCTCTTTCTTCGGTTCTCTGAGGGATTAGAAGTGTTATAGAGGTTAATTTCAGCACTGGGGAGGCTACATAAGATACAGTGCAAATACTTTATATCCGAGAAACGTCAGTGGAAAATGATATTATAGAAACTATGAAAATAACTAAAGTTAGTGCAAATCTTTTAGAACAGAACTATTAGAGGCATCACAATAATATCAACAAGTATTCAATAATATGCACGTAAACTCAGAGGCAAGTGTTGGGATCTTGCGGTCCACCCACTTGTAGTCCTCGACTCCTCGCTAATCTCTTGATATTTAATATTTATATTTTATAACACTGTAACTTACACTTTTCTTCGTTTTACAGCTCCACTCAGTAGTTGCTTCTGTCTAGATACAGCAGTAGATTTAGGCAGGACCGGGGTTACAAGCTGGGTGGTGATATCTAACTGCGCATCAAGATCAACTATTCGTGCCTGTGAGAGAGGGGTTTTAGCTTTAGAGTTATTCTTGCTTCTTCGCCGATTTAAAAGTATATTAAAATAGAGTTAATGGCTCATTTTGTATGAAAATTATATTTAAGCCACCCATGGGTCAAATAGACAGTATAGTGGCAATTTAATAGGAACCTTAAACTTTTGAAGTTCCTCAATCTCCATCTTGTTCCTTTCGCTAAGTTGTTTCTTCTTAGAGTTCTCCCATCCCTGAAGGAACTTGTGTTCGTCGTTGTCCAGACCACTGTACACCATGTTTTCTGAGGATGGTAGTTAAGGAGATGATCGTATAACTTTAGGGGAACCCGTTTGTGTCCACGTGATCGATCCAATGGTCTGCAAAACAATCAACAAACAGGTCATTTTACCAGCACATTTCAACCGTCGAAACATACGGTTTAGCCCACTAAATACTTAAAAAGAGCATTTCAGCCAAAATTTGGCTGCGTCACAACACAATCGTTTAGCTTGTTCACCTGTTCAACCTACAACAAAATAACTCACTGTATCGGAACTGCTCCTCTATTTCCAGCCTCTTTAGCTCTCTGTTCTCAGATAGACGCTCATACAGGGTTTTAGTCTCGAAATCTTCTTCTTTATCCTCTGATAAGACGGATGAATGAAGCTTCCCGGCCATTAATTGCAGTTGAAAGTCAGTTCAATCGTCGTGAGAACAAGACCGAACGAAAATTTAAAATGTGACAATGATATTCGATTCATTTTGACAGAGCTAAACGAATCATTTTGACAGAGCTAAACGATCAAAATTACTTGCTAACGCTCTGATTAAAGTTAACTCTCCCAATCTATTAAATAATATGCATTTATTCTAAAAATAGGCATAATAACCGTACTTACTCTCGGTAATGACATCCGGGTTTCGGACTTTTTGCCATTCTTCCTCCCGTCTCACTTTGGAGATTTTGAGAGCTTCCTCCTGCGCGTCTTGATCCATATCGGCTAATTAATTAAATGAGTTTAATTGATCTCAGGTAAAAGTATTACAATAATTGAAGTTTCATTGATTTGAATCAAATAAGTTTCGTATTATATCACAAATAACATTATGCATATAATATTAATTATATGTCTGTCAGTGGGCAGTCAGTGATCGTTTAACTGTTTAACTTTAACCGTTTAACTCTAATAAACAGTCGTTCATGATTTCATTTAACGTATCCAACTCTAAACCTTCAATAGCCAATCAAGCTCCATGTTGACAGCACACCATGATTGCATACTCGTCCTTGCCAGAGAGAGCAGATATGCAATGATTTTACTTTTGACGTGTTCGTCAGCGAAAATAGAGCGGCCGAACAGGCGGAGCATGTCAAGCATAGTGCATAAAACTGTAAAAAGTACTGTGACGCACATTGTTTACACTGGTAAAGCTTGCACGTGAAGGTGTAATTTTCAAGATTAGACCATTTTTTGATCTTTTTCAGAGTTATTCTCTCGAAGATCTGATGTTTTTTGCAGGGTAAAAGTTTTCGTTGTTGATCGGAGAGATTAATTTTAGGTTATAGGAAACCGCCTTGCCAATGTTGTTGCTTAATTAAATTACTGTCTAACATCATAATGTGATAATTGCTTGGTCTATTTTCAGTCTTCTGTGTGAAGATGAAAATTAACAGATTTGCTGTTGCCAACTTTGATTTCGTAAGCATGAAAGCATGAATGATTGTTAAATTTGTGCCACTCATAATGATAAACAACATCTCCCTTTGTGGTCAGTAAGATAAGACTACCCCAAAACCCATATTAGTACATCAGGACATGACAGTCTGTCTGCAAGAAAATATCACACTGAGCACGGAAAACCACTCAGTTTGTCTACAAGACAACATCAGTATAAACTCGGAGAACCACCCAGTTCTGGTCCAATCAGAGTCCACTCAGTCAAACACGTGTGATCTGGACGAGCTGTTTTACGAGAGTGTCAGTCTATCAGAGAAACTCGGCAGGTTAGTCGATTCAGGAAGCTTTTCTACAGAAGAAGATTTTCTACTATTTCACAAACTAGCCTGTCTTTAAATGAGTTACGTTTAGTAACTAAATTTTATGCTAGATGGAATTATCTTTGTGTAATTTACCTCCTTTTATAAGCGTTTTTGGGCAAAATTTTCCATCCCTCATTAATCCTATAATGTGAAATATTGAAATAGTTTATAAACTGTAATATATACAGTGAAGCATGGATTCCTACAAGAAAAAGCTCTTCTAGTATAAAAGAGCATCAAGTTAAAACGCAACATGGGCACCGAAACCTGACTTATGTGCGGCATGCGTGCAAATATCGTTTTTTGGTCTAAATTATTTCTTCCCTCAATGTGCGACGTACAAAATGATCAGAATTATGTTACCAGTAAAAAATCAGTGCATTTTAACACATTACTAGTAGCGTCGAGTAATATCCACATTTGTGCTGAATAAATGAAGTGGTAGTCACGAAAGTTGCGCTCATTGCATCAGATATATCAAGCAATCCTAGATTGATATCAAAGGATATAACTGGTAAATCATACCTATATTATGCGACGCTGGTACTGGACTATTCAAAGAATCCAGAGCCACTTACTATGCAGCTGTGCGACGAGACAAGTTTTCTGTCGAACGTAGTAATGTTCTAGCTTTTGTATTATTAGTGTAGCCACTAAAATGTACAATGTTTCTTTCCGAAGATACGTGTCAGAATGCCAAGGGTTTCTACTAGATGAAGAGTTCAAGAGAGAGCGTGACCAGTGCGAGGAGGTACTGGATCAACAGATACCAGGTAGATACCAATATAAATCTACCTTCAATAGTTTTATAGATCCATAATCCATATCCTGGATAATTGTTGCAATTTAAAGTATCAGCCTAAAGACAGCTTCAGGCATAAAACGTGCACTAAACTTATTTAATGACCAGAAATTGCACCACCAACGAAGCCAAAAGAGCCTGAACCCCCCAAAGAAACCCCTAAAACAAGGAAGAAGCCCCTCATGTCACACGAGATATCAGACGCACCAGATGATGAACACGTGACAGAGGAGATGAAGGTATCCCGCTCCTCCTCTGTTTCCTCTCTTACTTGTTCTGATCTGGAGCTGTCAGATGAGCTCACAGAGGTCTCATCAACAGGTCGGTGTAATCTGTTATTAATTTAAATCAACGTATTGATTTGTGCGATTAATATTCGTTATCTGAGTTTCCCGTGAGATTTACAAACAAATCGCAAAAACGTCTGAACGCTTTTGACAAATTACAGTGTTTTTCGGATCAGCAAAGCAGCCAAAAAAAAACTGCTGAACCAGCAATAAAGAAAGACAATTTCAGATTCGATCAGCAACCCCTCCGACAAGGAGTCAATAGATCTAGAAATAGACGATTACAACTTTAAGGACTGTTCCATCACCCGCAGAGTAAACCCTCGACCCCCCGCCGAGAGCAGGAAAGTGTCTAAGAAGGAGATTAGTGAAAAGGAGAAGACCAGAATCTATCTTAACCAAGTCGACAAAAAGGTTTAACTTTAATATCTTAATTTAACTTTTAATCGCCTAATCTGTTAGATCTAACAGTAACATTACGGCATTCAATCTGTCAATCATCATATTCAAAATCCTCCGATGGACGATCTATGTTTTTGAACCTATTATGCCCACAACATCGAGCAGTTATAACAAAGTTATAACTTCACATTTTGTTCCAGGTATCGTGCAAGTGCTGTCGATCAGTGATGGGTCGGATAGTCCACGAAGTACGCCAATGCGAGAAGGCAGTGATTATAGCCAACATTAAACCCTACCAACCGAAAACATCCCTCATCACCAATGTCAAGGTGTGTTAGTGATCTCTGATATATAAACTCTGATTTTCCATATCTAAATCTCAATCTTGACGATTCCTGTTCTTATTGAAAAGAGGAGAAATTCCGCGTAGATCGAACATTGACCCACTAGACCCACTTAAACAATAACTGAAATTAAATTGTGTGAAAGAAACCCCTAAACCCCCTAAAAGCAACTAATCAGTAACCTAGCAACTAGTCCCCAACAGGAGGCAGTGGATTTCCAGATCCAGTACGAGAGGGAATGGTATGCAGCCATCATGATCCAGCGAGCTTGGAGATCATACCACCAGGAAAAGATCAGACAAATCAGGTAGTGAAGATAAAATAACGCCCAGTGCATACCTAGCTAGAAATTAGTTTTAAAACCGGTTTTCATGCCTGCTGAGAAATTGCCCCGAAGTTCGACAACATCACTTATTTCATTATACCCCGGATGTGAGATCGTCAGTAGAAAAAGACTAGCCGAAAGTTTGACAGAAATTTGAAAACTGAATTGGTTTAGGATCTTCACAAGACCATAAACTGTACTGATTAGTCGTTTTCTAAGTCTGAGAAGTTTATGATGGCCGTTTACTGTACCAACTGCTGATCAGTCTTACTGAAGTAATTGACAATAGAGATTTAAAACCAATTTCCATTCTTCCATTTCTACCAGTTATACTAATTCTCACTGCCGACAAGCACACTTCCGGGTAATTAAACCCAAATGAAAAGCTGGCTAATACTTATGCTTGTCAATAAAAGCAAAGGGGTGTTTTCTTATTAAGAGATATTGCTAAGGACATGAAAGAGATAATAAAGTGTTTAGTAGTATTTGTGCACTGACCAGATGCCGATGCATTAAAGTAAGAGTAAATGAGTAATTATCATATTAATAAAACTGATAATTGTCAGGAGATTCGAGAGGATCAGAGATAAGAACGAAATGAGGCTGAAGTACGGTCACATTGCAGGCTACGTTATGAAGAGAGACGCTATCAAGAGAAAACAGTTCGGGTATTAGTGTATCTGTATAAGAGACAGCTTACTAACTTATTAAATAAGAGACAGCTTTTTTATTAAGTTCATTGTAGATAAGTGTGAATTAAAAGTGACAAACTGTAGTTCGTAGAGATTTGTACATCTGGGACGCTATTAGAGGGACACAGTTTGGGTTTGAGAAGTGATATCAGACACAGCTTTTTAACTTATTATGTGAGACAGGCAGCTGTTTTATGTTCATTGGATAGATATGAATTGGAACTGACTTTTGTTCGTGAGTATCATGCAGTTTGACAATGATAGTAGCGTAAGGTGAACATATTGTTATAACGTACCTGATAGTGTTGTTTTTGTTAATAGTGACATTGATAAATCAGATTCTTCAATAGTAACAGACATATGAGAAACTTTAAATGCGTCGCAAAATACATGGCATGCTTTTCAGTTTTTGACGAGTTAAATCAAAGGTTTCTATTCATGCATTGTAAATTTTAGATAACCACAAAACCATCTCATTCGTTTTATTACTAATTCTTAATTTCGAAAAATGACTTTCTTAAACTCATCAATCTGTTCCATAATAACTGCCATGTAACTGTCATCTCCCTCTATACCCATCGCTCTTATCTTCCTGTAGCTACCCTCATCATCAATAACATCCAGCATGTACCTAGCTACATCCGCCCTTGATATTCGTATCGGACAGTTTGGAACGTAGCTGTGGTTGTCGTCTGTCAGTATTGCTTTGTCTGTAAATAGGAGAGTACGTCAGAGGTTAGTCTTGGAGATGTGATACAAGAGTACAAGTGTGGTCAGTTGTGTAGATCGTGATGTTATGTTTTAATATTATGTTAGAATTATATTAGCATGGAATAATGTTATTTTATATATTGGAATAAAACACCAAGATCAAATGATACAAATTTAACATTTACAAAAACACATTATCAAAATATGTTTGCAACTTAAAGTTTGAGATCACGGTTTAGTTGATAACGAAGAAAATCGATTTAAACATAAATTTAAAAATTTGTATTTCAAAACATCACTGATAACTGATTCATAAAGATAAAACTGAAAAACCGTTAATAATTTATTTGATAAACTGACACCGACAACCTTTCGTATCACAATCCAGCCGAGAAGAACCTAAAAAACTTGAAAACAACAATCTGGCCAATATAACCCCAACCTTATTACTTTATTACACTTCAAACAAACAAAGATCATTCACTTAAAATTCCAAATCTCCCAAGTCTGTACCTAGAACCACCCACAGGTTCAGTAGTGTAGTATGCCACAACACTACCGACTACTTAGACACAGGTCCGTCCACAGCAATAGCTCTTATCTTCCTGTAGCTACTCTCGTCCTCAATAACATCCAGCATGTACCTAGCTACATCAGCTCTGTTTATCATTGAGGGACACCCCGGTACTATGGACTGTCCGTCGTCGTTTACGGCGAACAGTTTCTCTACAGGGTTATAGTGGTGGTTGAAGATTTGACACCAAGCTCCAATTGTGATGAGAAAATATTATTTTAACTTTGCAATTGCAAAACAATAAGTCAGATTTGTTTTTAGATATTATCTTAAATCATAATTTGAGAGCAACGGAAGTGGGAGACAGTAAATCACAAAAATTAGACTAAAAACTTAATTCAATACTGCTGCAACACTGGATTGCCAACTGAAAAACGTTAAACCCTTTAATTAACCCTACCTGTAACAGGTTCATTAGAGAGCCCAGCTGGGAGCACACACGTGTAATCCAGATGGTCGGTAGTCTCCAGAAACTGCTCACTGAGTCTCATACCCGCCAGCACCTGACCTATCACCAGTCTCAGGAACACGTTCCTCATTATAAAACTAGCGTTAGACCAGGAGTCTGTGTTTGTGTACCTAGGAGAGGGAGGTGATGTGAGAATACAGGGCAACATAGCTTCCTACAGGGTGCAAGTATTGTACGGATAAGAGTTTTTGGTTAGAATTCGCAAAACTTTAAAAGCTGTAGTTACTTAAGGAGACTCTCCTTTGGAGATGACATTGGTTGATGGATAATGTATAGTGAAGATAAAATTCATAAAGATAAGTGCAAAAAGTGTAAAAAGTGCCAAGTAAATGTAAATCACAATCTCTTACCAGGAGTGCATAAAGATAACTCTCCTCTTTCCAAACTCTTTCATAACCTCTGATAAGTTCATAGATATTTCACGAAACTGCCTGAAATTTAGGAAAGCATTTAATGAGAGAATAATCATATGAATAAAATATAGGTAACTTAATTTTGGATTTTAGTTCGTTTAATCACTATGACATCAATTATCATCTAACCCAAATTGTCATCAAACCACAAATTATTAAAAGACTCTTAAGTCCTCTATAACTTACGGGACAGGCTCACTCCAGGCCAGGGCAAATCCAAGACAACTCATGACCACATCTGCTTTCTCAACATGCTGTTTCAGATCTTCTTTGTCAAAAATGTTACATTTTGCAACATCCAGATTCTCATTTTCTATCTCAATCTTAGTAGGATCTCTTACCTGGAATATGAGTATAATTATATAATCTTAATAGCAGGCATCAGATTGATCAGTTGGATCATCTTTCACTTAGACGCCTGATTTGCGAATTCATGAAAATTCGTTCATTAAAATTCGATTTTAAAATGGGAGATTTGCTGATAATATAGATAGTATCAATTACTCTCCTAACCGCTCCTAAAACTCAACTAACCAGAGCGGTGACATGGTGGTTCCTCTCCAGAGCTTGTTTGATGAGGTTCTGTCCCGTCTGTCCAGACGCCCCCAGTACCAGTAACCTCTTACCCATAGCTAATGGTTGTTTTATTGAGATGTAACAATGGTGGTGCTTTTATGAGATAATTTCAACATTTCTAATAAACGCACCGAGTTTTTATAAGATATTAAATAGAAATGTAATCTGAAGAAAAGGTGAAGGGACCGTAGTAATCATATCATAAGTTTATACGCAGTGTCAACACGTGAGTAATGAGACGTTCTGTATAATATGGTACTGAAATTCTTTAAATACACCACAACATCATGTTATCATATCTCAGAAAATGAGGACACACAACATAAAAACTATAAATTCTGTAAACTACAACATAAAACTATATTTATTAAATAATAAACTAAAAAGCAATTATAAAGGTTCGTCTGATCAAAAATGTTGAGGAAACAGCGCATAAGGTTAGGTCCACTGTAATATTTAATCATTTACAAATTGGCCAAATTACAACACTACAAATCTATTACAACACTACAAATAATGTATAGTATTACATCCATTAATAATGTTATAGAATGATTATATTTAATTTAATTTGAAGATTTTATCCTCTTCACGTACTGCAGGAGTGGCGTCTCAATAAATTTCATAATAAATCTCCTATGTAAGTTCTTGTCTCTATCTCCTAACTATCCCAACACTGTTGTCCAATAGCTCTTATCTTCCTGTAGCTACTCTCATCATCAATAACATCCAGCATGTACCCAGCTACATCAGCTCTGTTGATGACAGGAGCTGCCTTAGGGACCCAAGAGTCTGTATCATTTACCATTAACGTTTCATCTGATGTAAATAGAATAAATAAATAGATGAATTCTAGTGTTTATAACTGACTTTGACATTAAAAACAATAAACATGAAAGATATGTCCAGGCCATTCATACAATGTTCAACAGAAGATATCAAGACTTCTAAGAACTTGATTTAAGTCATCTGATAGTGATAAGTCATCAGACTATACAAATCTCGGGTGAAATCAACCGTAAATTGGGTGTTAATATTAACATATGTTACTGACCTGTAACGGGTCCATCCAGCAAATGAGCTGGCTGAATACAAGTGTAATCAAGATGATCAGTACTCTCCAGAAACTCCTCACTCAACCTTCTTCCGTCTAGAGACGGTCTGACAATGTAGGGCACAAAGAAGTTTCTTAGAATGAACCCTGGGGCTTTATCTCGAGATTCTGGGTGCGTGTACCTGCAAACAAATTAGACTGGAGTTGTAATAATATTTAAAGCTGACGACGGTAAATACAAATTTGAACCATATTTCAATTTTCAACCATAAGTACCAGTCAAGATCTCAATCTCTTTTTTTTAGGCAAAAAATTGAACATTTTGTACCATGAATGCATAAAGATGACTCTTCGTTTCCCGAACTCATGCATAGTTTCTGATAGAACTTGAGCAACTTGTAAATAATACCTGAATAATTAACTGTCATGATATTTATTGATACGGTTGGATTTTCACCATGTTACTGTGCGGTGAAGATTGTTTTAGTTCCATCTTTACTGTTTACATATTAAGTTTAAAACCCTTAATATTACTACGATCATCACCTACGGAACAGGCTCCTGTTTCTTAAGGAACCCTAAGAAACCTCTACGGAACCCCAAACAAGACAGCACAACCTCAGCATTCTCAACATGTGGTCTCATTTCTTCCTTGCTGAAAACGTCACATTTCTCTACAGAAAGTTTATCGTGCTCTATATCTATCTTTGCTGGATCCCTGACCTGTGAAATTTATCATTGTGAACTTTTAATGATACGAAGATTAAGTTCAAATCAAATCGGAATATTTTTACATCTATAAAATTATTCCGAATCGATAGAATTCGCGGATCCACTAGAACTACTGACAAACCAGAACTGAAGTGCTTCAACTCACCAGAGCGGTAACATGGTGGTCTCTCTCGAGCGCCTGTTTCACCAGATGTTGACCTGTGTTACCAGAGGCTCCTAGTACCAGTAGCCTCTTACCCATAACTGGATGATAGTTTTATTGAGATAAAGTTTGCAGAAGATGACAGGGTGAAGTACTTTCATGTGAACATTTCAAAGTATTATACGGTCTTTTTGAATTTACTGAGACAGGAAATAAGAAAATAAACATATTATGCATTTGGTGAATAATTCTGGAATTTGCCAAGTTTGGCAATAATGATCGTTAAGCAGTTCTGCAATCTGCAATATAATGACTATTAATACTCTAATACATCACAGTAAAATATAAACATAACTCAGCACCCACAGGCGAGATAAAACGCACAATCACAATTATCTTTTGCTCCAGTCAAAACAAAATAAAAGTATATTAAAAACTTAAATTACACAATAAAACTATCATTAAACAATAAACTAATAAACAATTTAGGTTCGTCTGATTGGAAAGGGTCACGGAAAAGACGTATAAATTGAATTGTAAACCGAATCTACTCTTTAATCTGTTTGCATAGATAATAAGTATATTATAAATACTAAGTTTAGATTTTAAAATTTTAGTTTCATAGAAAATTCGTATCTGCTCCTTAATTAAGCTAAGTAAAGCACTTTATCGGAAAAATTAACACAGTTCAATATCATATTCATGAGAGATATGTATACTACTGTCACATTCCTAACGCACATTGTTCTTGTCTCTATCTCTCTGTCTTCTAGCCATCCACACCAACACCAATAGCTCTTATCTTCCTGTAGCTACTCTCATCATCAATAACGTCCAGCATGTACCTAGCTACATCAGCTCTGTTGATTTCTTGTGCAGCATCGGCGATACAAGAGTCTGTTTCATTCAATATGAACTTCTTATCTGTTGGAATTACAAAGTTAAACTCATACAGCTAGTTTTAATACCTACCTGACAATATCAGGACAGGCTGAAATTATAGCAATACCTGTCCACGAAAATCAAAACTCTAGATATTAGCGTATTTCATAGGATCTGATATAACTTAAAATTGGGCGACAAAAAAAACTTGGCCAACCTGTAACAGGTCCATCCAGCAAATGAGCTGGCTGAATACAAGTGTAATCAAGATGATCAGTACTGTCAAGGTACTCCTCACTCAGTCTCATTCCGTTAAGGGACTGTCCTATAACGTAGGGTAGAAAGAAGTTTTTCAGAAAGAATCCTCGGCATCTAGCTCGAGATTCTGGATGCGTGTACCTGGAAACAAATTAGTCTGAAGTTTGAACGGTAAACGCAAATTTGAGGCAGATTCTAATCTGAACTTGAAGACACGTCGGGAGCAAGTTAAAATGCTCCTTTTACTGTTCCCACCCATACTAGATAAAATCTCAAAATGTGAAAACAAGGAAAATTTTGTACCATGAATGCATGAAGACGACTCTTCGTTTTCCAAACTCATGCATTGTCTCTGATAGAACTTGAGCAACTTGTAAATAGTACCTGAGCAATTCAATATGATGCTATGTTAGCTCTGCTATCTATGCTGATTGCTGAATAATAATTGATTGGTTTTCAACAGTAAAATCGATAACTTCAAAAAATCTTTGGGGGGGGGGGTCCAACCCGATCATTTCCGATCATTCCGATCCCGATTTTGGCCTCATCAACCCTCATATCGGAAAAATCGGGAAAATTTAAATCTTCCCTCTGAGGTTTCTAGGCGATATAGGTAGCTATTTCTGTACTTAAATATGACAAGAAATCGATTGGTGGTGGTCCCAGAACCCCAAAATGGTATATTGTTCCAAACAAGAATCGTTTCGTCCGAAAAAAACAACACACTGTCGTATCAACTCTTGTTTGACAGAAACATCCACCCCGGTCCACAATTGAAAGAGGTACGGTTGGTAATAACAATCGTAACAAATAGCGAACGCTTTAGTAACTTTTGATTTAAATTGTCTCCACAATTTGTAACAGGCTATCTGCAGAAATGGGTAGCACGGTTAATGACCATGGTCCTTTCTCAAACTTCCAATCCTCAGTTAGATACAAAGAATAGTCTACACAATTTTTGATAACATTAAAAGGGATGAAAATCACTTTATTTATCAAAATCTTTATTTATCATGTAACAACTTTTCCATAGTACTGGAGAGTAAAACTCTGTTAAACAAAAATATTCTCGAGCACATTTTGAGTCAGTAACAGTAACATGTCAATATGTTACAGACTCAAATGTGTTTAAAAACATTTTAGTAACAATAAATTGTGTTAACTGATGAGGAGGAGGAGGAGGACTGAGGAGAAGGAGGACTGAGGAGGACAGAGGAGGAAGACTGAGGAGGACCAGGACGAGGACTAGGAGGATGAGGACGAGGACTAAGGACGAGGACTAAGGACGATGAGGATGAGGACGAGGACTAAGGACGAGGAGGAGGACTGAGGAGGAGGAGAAGGAAGAGAAGAAGGAGGAGGAGGATGAGGATGAGAACTGAGGAGGAGGAGGAGAAGGAGGAAGACTGAGGAGAAAGAGGAGGACCGAGGAGGACTGAGGAGGAGGAGGACTGAAGAGGAGAGAGAGGACTGAAGAAGAGGAGCAGGATTGTTGTGGAGGAAGACGAGAAGGAGGAGAAGGAGGAGGACGAGAGCGAGGACGAGGAGGAAGACTGAGGAGGAGGACTGTTAAAAAGGAGAAGAACGAGGACTGAGGAGGAGGACTGAGGATGAGGAAAAGGAGGACTGGGGGAGGACTAAGGACGAGGAGGACTGAGGAGGAGGACTGAGGATGAGGACTGAGGATGAGGAGGACTCCAGAGGAGGAGGACTCAGGAGGAGGAGGAGGAGGAGGAGGAGGAGGACTGAGGACGGGGAGGAGGAGGAGGAGGAGGACTAAGAGGACGCGAGGACTAAGGACGAGGAGGACTGAAGAGGAGGACTGAGGATGAGGAGAAGGAGAAGGAGGACTGGGGGAGGAGGACTGAGGAAGAGGAGGACTTGGGGAGGACTGAGGAAGAGGAGGACTTGGGGAGGACTGAGGAGGAGGAGGAGGAGAAGGAGGACTGGGAAGGACTGAGGAAGAGGAGGACTTGGGGAGGACTGAGGAAGAGGAGGACTGGGGTAGGACTGAGGAGGATGATGAGGATCAGAAGGAGGACTGAGGATGAGGAGGAGAAGGAGGACTGGGGAGGACTAATGAGGAGGAGGACTGGGGGAGGACTGAGGAGGAGGACTTAGGAGTAGGAGGAGAAGGAGGAAAAGGAGGAGAAGGAGGAGAAGGAGGACTGAGGAGGAGGAGGAGGATGAGGACTAAGGAGGAGGAGGAGGACTGATGAGAAGAAGAAGGAGGAGGAGGACTGAGGAGGAAGACTGAGGAGGAGAAGGAGGAGGACTTAGGAGTAGGAGAAGGAGGAGGAGGACTGAGGAGGACTGAGGAGGAGGAGGACTGACGATGAGGAGAAGGACTGAGGAGGATGAGAAGGACTGACGAGGAGACCTGACGAGGAGGATGAGGACTAAGGAGGAGGACGAGGAGGAGGAGGCTGAGGAGGAGGAGGACTGATGAGAAGGAGAAGGAGGCGGAGGACTGAGGAGGAAGACTGAGGAGAAGAAGGAGGAGGAGGAGGACTGTTGAGGAGGATGATGAAGATGAGGACTGATGAGGTCTGAGGAGGAATACTGAGGAGGACGAGGACGAGGACGAGGACTAAGGACGAGGAGGAGGAGGAGGACGACTGAGGAGGAGGAATGATTAGGAGGAGAAGAAAGAGGAGAAGGAGGAGGAGGAGGATCAGGAGGAGGAGAAGGAGGAGGATGATGAGGAGGACTGGGGGAGGACTAAGGAGGAGGATAAGGAGGACGAGGACTAAGGACGAGGATGAGGACGAGGACGATCATGAGGAGGACAGAGGATGAGGACTGATGAGGAGGAGAAGGAGGAGGAGGATGAGGAGGAGGAGAAGGAGAAGGAGGACTGGGGGAGGACTGAGGAGGAAGAGGAGGATGACTGAGGAGGAGGATGAGGATCAGGAGGAGGACTCAGGAGGTGGAGGAGGATGAGGAGGAGGACTCAGGAGGAGGAGGACGACTATGAGGAGGACTGAGGAGGACGGATGGGGAGGAGAAGGAGGATCAGGAGGAGGATGAGGAGGAGAAATGAGGATGAGGAGGAGGAGAACTGAGAAGGAGAAGGAGAAGGAGGAGGACTGGGAGTAGGACTGAGGAGGAGAAGGGGATAGAGGAGGAGGGTGAGGAGGACTGAGGAGAAGGAGGAGGACGAGGAGTCAGGAAGAGGACTGAAGAGGACTGAGGAGGAGAAGGACTCAGGAGGAGGAAGACTTAAGAGGAGGAGGAGGAGGACATCTAAATGTTTTGTCTGTTTTTGTCCGTTTTTGTCCGCCCTACTTTTTGTCCGTTTTGAAAATACAGGGTACCGAACGGACACAAAACATGATCCCCCAGCCAAACATGTGTTACGATACAAATGTACTTGACTATACATTTAAGGTGCAGTGTACTAGTGATTTTATGGTATGTTTAAAGACCGGACCACAAAATATAACCCGGTACCTAGTGTTGTACTAATACATAATAACAAGTAACAGGGATAAAATTAATGAGCAGAAACAATCGATCTCACGTCAAGAGGCCAAAGCACTCGGGTCTGGGAGTACATGACAACTCCAACTAGTAGTGAGCATACTAGCCCCTGCAGTGGAAAAACACATAAAACATACTATTGGAATGTCCAATTGGTTTGTTTTCTCATAACAATATAGCATTAAATTATATGTAGGGGTTCTGGTTGAATTATATCACTTCTGAGAGGTTTTAGAATTTAGAGATCGATTCTGTAAATTTCTCAATTTTCCGATTTTTCCGATTTTTCCGATTCCGATTTTGGCCTCATCAACCCTCATATCGGACATCGGGTTGGACCCCCCCCCCCCCCCCCAATCTTTATAGGATCACGATCATGACCTACGGGACAGGTTCTTTTCTCTGAAGAGGAAACCCCAAACAAGACAGCACAACCTCAGCATTCTCTAAATGTGGTCTCATTTCTTCTTTGTTGAAGACGTCACATTTCTCTACAGAGAGTTTATCGTGCTTTATCTCTATCTTTGCTGGATCCCTGACCTGTAAAATTCATCAAGTTAAAGATCACTTGATTAAAACTCAAACGGAAAAGTTTACGGGTAATAAATTTCGAATAAAAACAAGAACCCATCTAATAATTCTCAACTTCAACTCACCAGAGCGGTAACATGGTGGTCTCTCTCGAGCGCCTGTTTCACCAGATGTTGACCAGTGTTACCAGAGGCTCCTAGTACCAGTAACTTCTTACCCATCACCTATTCAAGAGTTAAAGTTAATTAACCCCTCGCTGTTAAGTTTAATTAACATTCAGTTTAGCTATAAATTGTTAACTGTGACATAAAGAGAACTTCTGCGATAAGAAAGTGTTCAAGTTTATTTTAATATACAAAACGATAAAAATATGATTCGGTGTATGTTATGAAACGAGTTCGAACATTAATAAAATTTATATAGCTCGGTAGAATATATTGTGTTGTTGAAATTTGTTATTTCGGAGAAATCTCTCAGTTACAAATTATAAAAGGAAGTAAAATTTGGTTTTATGAACTGAAATTTTATTTCAGGGAATTTCAAAATTCATTCTTAGAATTTATGAAGTTATTCATCATATCAAGAAACACACATCGTATTCACTATTCAATTTAATTTCTTACTCACTAAACTATAAACTTAGTGATTTCCAGGAATATTAGTTCTAATAAAACGAACCCACGGGTTCAACAGGAGCTCTGCTCTAAAGATGGTCATTTCAAAACAAGTCGAGGAAGGGGGGGGGGGGGGGGGGGGGGTCAGCACTTCGGGATGTATAAAGTATAGGACACGCATGCGCGTGCTAAATTGCATATCCACACAAGGGCTTTAGCCCGCCGGGTTGATATATGATGAGTTCCCGGTAATTCGGTGGACACTCAGTGACTCAGTGTCAAGCAGGGAGATTCGCAGTACATAAGAGCATAAAGCATGTGTCCTCTCTGATTGGTATCGTTAATGGCCTGAGATCTGTACCTCCAATGATGATATGTACATGTCACTTGCTAATTACATTAGGCTGAATCATATGGGGTGACAAATAGGAGAACCCGGGATAGGGTACATTCCTAAAATTTGAATAGTTGAATGGTAGGGGATTTTATCAAAGGGTTTTCACTTACAATCGTTCTTATTCTTTGAGAAATGAATCAATTATTTCATAAAACGCCTTAAATAAATAAAAATATTTGATAAAGATCATAACGTTTCTTGGACCGAGGATTACAATCACAATATTCGCAGCCAAACGGCCTTGGTTTACTATGAGTCAACAAATGTTTCGTCAGACTACCTGATCGGTTAGTCTTGAAAGCACACTTTTTACAAATAAAAGGTTTTTCTCTGTTATGAGAAACTATATGCTTATATGCCTTTTCAAAGTTGCTGCCGTCCCCGCCTTATAGTCGCAGACAGTATAGTGGTGAGGTTTCTCTCCCGTGTGTGTTCGTTAGTGAACTTGAAAACTACTGTTGTGGGCAGCTGAATAGCCACACACATCACATTTATACGGTCTCTCTCCGGTATGCTTCCGTATGTGCATTTTAAATATGCTAGGAAAGTTAGTCCTAAAGTCACACAGTGTACATTTGAGAGATTTGTTAACGAGCCGAGCTGACTTCTGTCCAGGTTCAGATAGAATTGTATCTTTAACATAAGGTCACCCACATTTCCATGAGGCTCGGTAATTTCAGGAACAGGATGGGACTCTCCTTCATTAGGCGATGTATTAAATGGTGTAACTGGAAGATTACAACTATCACACTGAAATTCTTTATAGTCCAGAGGTTAAGCTTTAACAAGTTCGCCACACAAATCCTTGATATCGCCCGTCTTTACAACTTCTCCGTTTGTGACTTGGTTTTTAAGTGTTCAAAACTAAATTCTGACTGTTTAGCCAATACGCCGGCATTTTTCACATTATATTTTTCGGCGTCATCTTCACATTAATTTCATGTGCACAATAAAGAGGGCCAGGGCAAGATTGATTTAGTGTCAACCTGCTGACCATCTGCCATCTTTTCTTTAATGAGAACCCCCTCAATTACTTCTGATTCATGAACTGACATTCCTACTAATAAGGTTTCTTAAGATTGTTGTTTCAGTTTAGCAAGGAAAATAATAAATAAGGGGATCACGTTATTTGTTATTTGTAAGATGACATACTAAATAGATTACCAAACATGTTATTTATCTGTTTACCAATCATGGTTTACCCTAAAATAGGGTACACAAAGCAATCACATCTACAAGTTCAATAACAAATGTCTTGTAGTGTACTGCAGCTGTAACTAATTTTGACAATGGGCAATAGTCAGTGCAATTAGCATTATGAGTTAGCACAGAAGTTGTTGTCTCCGATTTTGAAACACGTTGGTACCATACGGTGCCCTAAAGTGTGAATAATTGCAATTCACTGTGAATTGGGTCGACCTGTATCTTCGGGTCCAACGATTTTATAAAATATTACTTCTTTAAATATAAGTATGAGTAACAAAAGTTTCGTCTCGCTCAGCTGAGCCTAATTACGACCCTTTAAAAATTGTTTCAAAATAATAGATACTGTAAATTTTTTGCCAAAAACTAGAAAAATTGCAAATTTTGTTCAAAAACTGGAGTAGGTGAATCCTTATAATGGGCCCTTCCGGGCAGTTAAGCTTAAGTGTAATCGAGTTAGTGATACCGATAAGTACGCCTCTACGTATCTCAAAATGCCTTAGCTATATATAAACTTTGGAGGAAGTTCAACAGTAATGGTACTCATATCCTATTTAAAAGTGAGGCACCTGTTTTGGCGAATATAAACAGCGTTTGTGAACCCTTATTATTGGTGGTTTTGTTTTGTTAATCCTAGTTGTATTTGTGTCCACTAACCCTACTTGGGGGTTTATTACCCAACAATCATCATTAAAATTGGGTTAACGTGAGGGTTAAAAATATAAATGTATACATATAGCCAAGACATTTTGAGATAAGTAGAGGCGTACTTACCACAAGCGATGTGCTAAACATCACCTAACTGCCCAGAAGGACCTACTATAAAGATTCACGTTCTCTAGGTGAGTATAAGTACCATTATGTTTGCTATTTCCAGCTTCTGTTTCTACCAATTTTCATGGGTAACCACACTCAACACATTCCTGCTACTGGGGTAGATATTTAGATTTTATATAAATATCAAATTCAATTATTCATTGTTTGAATTTTCTTAATTTAAATTTCAAATTGGCATGAAACATCATAAAATACGCAAACTCAGGACATGAATACAACAGAACATCCACCAACTACACCAGATGTTAGTCTTCTCCAACTAACTGAGTACAGAGTATATGATGGCTTGATAGCAACAGGATTCCTGATATGTTTGGTGATAGGACTTCCGGGCAATTGTCTAGCTTTGAGGTACTTTCTTCAGATAAGAAAACGGAATCTCTCAAATCTTCTGTACATATCAGCTTGCTCCTTAGACATAGTGTCCAGTATCATCCATCTTCCAGTAACTTTTAATTTGTTAGATAGAAGACATCCTGGCTTATTCGGCAACAGACATTTCTGTAGGATGTGGTATTTCACTGTCCTCTTGGTTCAAGTCATTTCCATCTATGTGGCGATGTTACTCGCTTTGACTAGAACTATTGTCATCCTGTTCCCATTCTACAAGATAAACAAAAAATTCGTCATCATCTCGATCATCGCAGCTGTCCTGTACCACTCAGCATGGAATACGATTGATATGATCCTACAGGATTACATTTATTTCTATAGTTTGGGATTTTGTACAGTTGGACCAACAGAGGCCTTTAATGACTTCAATACCTTTTACATGATTAACTTCTGTTTGTGTCTTGGAATCCCTCCCATGGTTGTTTTCGTTTCAGTGGTGGTTTCTACAGCAAGACTTAACACTCATCATTTAACAGATGCTTCCCAAAGGAGAAATCGGCAAGCATCACTAACGATCATTTACTTTTCAGTTAATTTCCTCGTCTGTAATTCTCTCTCGTTCTTCAACAATGCTCTACTCACCCTCAGTTTATATTGGCCAAATTTTCCATGGTCATTCTACAACAACAAATTCGTGCATTTTTACAGCTGGATGATCAGCGAAATATTTTGCATTGTTCTAAATGCAGCTCTGAACCCACTCCTGTATCTGTGGAGGATGAAAGACATGAGAAAATGGATAAAGAAACCCCCGCGACAGTTTCAGCACCACCAACACTATCAGGAACAGGACTGTTTCAACGATATCCCAGTCTCAGATTGAGTTGTCGCTTTGAAAACCAAAGGGGGAAACAAATAAACACAAGCCGTTAAACTGAAAAAATATCTGAAGGAAAATACTGATAGCTGAGTTGTGACAGAGCCGTCCATCATGTGGAACGGCTGACTTTATGTATAGCAGTGACCATCAGTACAGTACCCTCCACAACTATTCCCTCATCATCATCTATATTCTTATATTATATTATATTATAAATACGGACTGTCCATTCTATGAATTGGGCGTGATAATATTAACTATTTTAATACGGAACACTGAATGTGTGATATCATCAAGAAAAATATATTAACAAAGGACAAGCGCTATTTATTATGCTAAGAATATTAGCTGTATTAGTATTAATTATAGTTGAGACATGATAACTTGAAAAAGACGACTTGTTTTGCGTCGACAATTTGATTTATTTCAGTTCTAAAAAACTAAAGACACTTCCAGTAAAAATTATAAAATTAGTAAGTATATATATATAAACAAAAGCTCTAAGAAACAGATAGTAAACAAAGTAAACATTTCTGTCCCCTAATCTTTCTCAAACAAAAGTCATGCAATTTGCATACTTCTCCATTTAACTCTATTCTGAGCAATTAACATTAAATAGTCTAAATCACATAAATTATTTAACGATAATTTTCGGACACTAAGGTCGTGTAGAATCAGTGAGAAAAGGTTTGACTGCGGTCTTCCACGCCGCCCTTGAAGCTGTAAGGTGTTGACAGCAAAAACAAGCGACGAATAGGCTGGGCCATCTGTAGGCCCACGCAGTACATGTCCGAGCATCCTCCACCGACTACGAGCCACTTTAGCTGACAATGGTTCGCTATTGCAGCGTTTATACAAGTTCTTGTTGGAGATGATGTGAGGGTATTTGTAATTCAAAATTGATCGCAGATGACGTCTGTGAGCAATATCTAGTTTTTCCAATACTGATTTAGGGGCAGC